CAGCAACTGCTTTTCCAATTGCCTTGAAATTTTGCACACATGTATGTCTAGTATGAGCGCAGACAATCCCAAATTTTAGAGGTTTTTTGTCAAGAATTGACAGAGATATTGAGGTTGCACATTTGTGAAAACCTGCATTTGAATATCTCAACAAATAATAAAGGTGGTACCTCATAGACCGAGATTCATTAACAAGGACACTGTAGGTACATGCTCACAAAATTTCAGCATCATATCTTCAGTGGTTGCTGAGATATTGCACCAACACTGTAAATAAGTGTGCTGCTCTCAAGCTCTAAGTCATTTCAAACTCAGACAGGATAGACACTCATGCAAGGGGTGGAAGCTAAATATCTTGGGAACTGCTACAGCTACTGCTGGGAAAATTTACAGGCAACTAGATTACACATTTCTGATGATGTCTGTAAAGTGAAATGTTACTGCAATGAGTATTGAGCGAGATATGGAGATGCAGGTTTTTCAAAAAGCACACAGGCTATTCCTCCTTTGATATTCCCTCTAAAATGTTGAACTACTGAGGAATTGTTCATTTATACTCTGAGATAAAGTGTGCAAATTTTCAAGAGCATAGCTCTAGTACTTCCTGAAATATTTAACTCAAGAGGAACAGTCTGTCTGCTGTATAGGGAGGGGGGAATACAGACCACATGTGTCTCTTGATTATTGGTTTTGCTTTAAGAATATCCTGGGGCTTCTACAGAGCTCTTATATACTGTACAATTATGCATCTACAATATTCTAGTATGATCTACTAATTTCCTATTTGTCTGAGGCTATGCTAAGTGAGTCAGAATATTACTAATCAAGTATTCTGGTAAGTCTGAGTAAATGCTGGGTTGGCTAACTCCAACACTCCTCCTCAATCCAGCATTCTGAGTGAGGCAAAAAATGATCCATAGTCCAAAAATAGAAGCCGATAATTAAATGTCCAAATTTCTGACAAAAATATTGCTCATGGCTGCAAGGGAGATCCTCAGCCTTCAGCTGAGCATCTAATAAATCTGTACCTTATGGAAGGAGTTCCTCAAACCTCCAATTTCAAAGTTCTGTATTGGCAAGAAGGGAATTCCTCAAATCTTCTCCCAAAATCAATTCTGCAGAGAGATCCTCAACCTGCTATCCAAATTCCATCAGGAAGGGAAAGCCTCAACCTCCAATAAATCTTCTTCAATCATGAGTCTAGCATTTCCATGGTGCATCGTTAATGTGTACGGGCACTAATTTTGATTGATTGATCAATATGCAAATTTGTTCAGGGTTTTGCCAATTTTGGATACATAGTTCGACTTGGTGATTTCTTGTTCTTGCTTGATTCCTTTGAGGGCAGCAATGGTCATTTGAGTGGTAATGACCTTTCCATCTTTAGTTTTGTGGTGTGGCAATCCTTGAGAATGTGTCCTTTGTATCTGCATAGGTAACATGTATGTGTTTCAATGATTCCTTTGCATCAATCATGATTCAGTCTGTATCAGCCTGGTGGTCCTCAGCCATTGTTATTGATGCTGCTGCTGTAAAGGGCAGTAACTGCACATCAGGAAAAACCTTTTTGTCTTAGGTTGTCCTTAAGATTAGCAGCCAAGTCAGGTGCACCTCAGGGCACTTGTGCTGTCTTGTGGTTGTCCTGAGGTGTCTTCACTGTCTTGACCTCCTCCTGGAGACATTCTGGGTTCTCCTCATTGGTAAATAAAATAAAATTTACACTATCTGGGCCCATATAAATCATTTTCTCATGATCTTCTAGCTGGGACACATGGGAAAAGAAATGTATGTCTGATATTTATTTAGATGGACAGTACTTGAGTTTCAATAGAAAACATCCTCCAAAACCAATAGAAAGGTATTTCAGAATATTCTTATATTCATTCTTCAAGTGCTTCATTGAATAAAAAGACACCAGGTATATTATTTGTGCCTCTGTAGAGGGGGAGTAGCACAGCAAGATTTGCTTATAGCAGGCGCAAAACAAACTCTCTTGCTCTAATTTTCTGCGTACATGTAGATACATAAATAGCGCATGTAGTCTCAAATTTTTATGAAGATACGTCCAATATCGCCAGAGATATAGATGTGCGCACTTTTCTTATTGAGCAAAGTCAAGAACATCACATTCTGTATGCAAATGGTGACCAAACTGGCTGAAACTTGGTACACATTATCACATGGATGTATACTATTGGGTCCCAGAGTATAAATGCAATGGACATAGCAATTATAGAGATATTGCATGCAGAAACCCAGAAACTGCAAACTCTTTACAGGAATATTGTTAATTACATAGAAAGAATGCATTTATAAGAAAAATTAATGCCATAACCAGAATGAGCATAAAAATGCAGTTCTGACAGTATATAATATGTAGGTAATTGGACCTGATAAAGATGTGCTACTACACATAGCACCAACTTTGGGTGATTTATCACTGAAGCATACTGCGCACTCAGCACAGCCACTGCTGAGCACTTTGTCAAGGGTCAAGATGAAATTCCTCAGCAACCGCTTAATCAATTGCCACAAAAATTTGCACACTTTTAGACACTCTATATGCACATGCACTCATAAAATTGTAGACAGTTTTCTGAAGAAATGATCAAGATATTAGGGTTACACTTTCTCAAAAACCCGCATTGAAATATCTCAACCAATAATAGTGCAGAAAACTCATAAGCTGAAATCCATTAACAAGTGTATTAAAGGTACTTGCACACCAAATTTTAGTCCAATAGCTCAAGCAATTGTTGAGATATTGAGTCTTCAACTGCAGGTGAGCTATGGCACACTGCACTCAGCACAGCCACTGCTGGGCGCTTTTCCAAGGGTCAAGATGGAATTCCTCTGCAACTGCTTAACCAATCTTCATGAAAATTTACACAGTGCTAGATACATTATATGCAAAGGTGACTGCAAATTTTCAAACATTTTTTCATTAAATCACCTGAGATATTAGGGTTGTGCTTTTTCAAAAACCCGCATTTGAATATCTCAGCAAATAATAAAGCAAAAGCTTCATGAGCTGAGATACATTAACAAGGATACCAGAGGTACTTGCACAAAAAAGTTCAGCTTTATAGCTTAAACAGTTGCTGAGATATTGAGCCTACACTGCAAGGAAGTACATCATTTTCAAGCTCTAAGTCATTTCAAACTCAGACAGGCTGAGCGCTCATACAGGAGGTGGAAGCTGAATATCTCAAGAACTGCTACAGCTATGGACATAAAAATTTACAGGCATTTACAATACATACTGTTGATAATTTCTGCAAAGTTATATGTTATTTGATCAAATATTTACTGAGATATTAGAGGTACACTTTTTCAAAACTGTGCAGACATAATATAAAAATTTGAAATTTTGGAATATTATTCATTCATATCATGAGATCACTGGTACAAATTTTGAGAAGCATAGCTGATATATTTCTTGCAGTATTCAGCTAGGGAGAATGGTCACATCTGTGCCATGCATGGTGCAGAATCGTCACAATGAGTTGTGCATCGCACAATCAACAAAGTCACATGATGGTCATGGCACATTGTTTGGTTGTCATAGCTCCACCAAACAAAGTGTGCAGCAAGTGTTGTCAAACCTGCTGGCACTGTACTTGCGCAACTCTTCCCATTCCCTTACCTCATCCACTTTCAAACGCGCTATCTTCTCTTTTCAAAGTTATGTTTTCTATCACACATTTGATGATCTTCTTATCACTCAATACCCATATTTCCCCTTCACAGTGTGTCTCTCCTGCCAGCACATACTCATATAGCCCCCAGTTCATGGTCTCAACAACAGGTATGTACTTATTTCTTTTTCATTTAATGATTAGATTCTCATGAACATATTCCAGAACATGGTGCAGGACAAGAAGAGAATTGAAGGAGTGGCAACGCAAGAATTGGGAAAGTGAGAATTTGGGAGTCAGGTGGCAGCGTGATGGGTACCAGAGTGAGTCATAATATATTTTTTTTGTCTTCATCCTACTGACTATATATCTAGATTATGATATCTTCTTTCTATGCTATGGGTGAGTGCATATTTCAGTAGAAGGGGATTGTATTATAGCATACAGTACTAGTATTAGTGTAATCTGTTCAATGTACATTAGATAGAGAAATATAATTGAGTCTTCTTTCAATACATGAAGTGTGAACAGAATAAAAAAATAAAACATCCTGAATAACATCTACTGTAGTCTTAGCCTGTCCTCTGAGCATCTTGAGGACACCCTGAGGATGCTATAAGATTTTACACCTAGGAATGTAGGCTTAAGGAGCCTTACTGTCCTTGGTGTCTTAGATGTCTCAGATTGTCCTCAAGACAACCTAAGACAAAAAGGTTTTTCCTGATGGCCTTTCACCCTTCCCTTGAGGCCACCTTTGGCACTCTGGGTTTCTGGTGCCCTGCTGGCCATGATTTACTGGCACTGTAAATCCAATGTAAATCAAGTCAAATAACCATACTTATTGGGCCTGATTGACACTTACCAAGGCTGATCAGGAAACTCAAATTTTCCTGATGAGCCTCCCAAAGCTGGGCCTAAGCCACAGCTTTCAGGCTGAGCCAGGCTGGGAAACCACTAGTCATGCTCATTATGTGTCACCTCAGCCCATTCTTTCTGCTTGACACAGAGGTGCACCCTCAGCTACTTTTGTTACATTTATATTTCGCTTACTACTATTATTTAGAACTCAACTTTTAATATTTTAATGGGTTCTGACAGACTCCTTATCAATCTGGAGGAAATTCAAGAAAACAAATCAGTAAAGGTACTTTTTTCCTGAGGGGCACTCTATACAGAGGCACAGCCCTGGCAAGTGCATTGTCCTGAGTGAAGCAGGTGAGCAAGTGCAGCAAGCCTGCCGTCATCAGTAAGACCTGACCTTACGTCATGCAGGCAAATACACGTACACATGATAATAGAACGAATCAGTGTCACACTCGGAAATTTCTCTCAGCAGCACTTATTGCTCGTCAGGATACCAGCATGGGTAGGTCGACACCTTGTATCTCCCTTGTCTATATAGCTGACGGTGCTATTTCAATTTCAGCTCCTAAGAAGTCGAAGAAAATCCCGCTGAATGAATTCCTAGGTGATAGCAGTGCGTAGGACCAGTATCCTCCCTTCATTTCTTCCTCGGTAACTTTTACTAGCGTTGGGATCATGGGCCGACGAGATGGAATCGCTTCCTAACGCTCGTGAGTTTCTGTTCTCACCTCTATCCACTGTTTGTCATCATTCCCATTCTCTAGCTGCGGCAAGGACTGATGAAGAAACGTCGGGTGATCGTTTTGGACGCAGAGATGATTTTCTAAGTTCGCGACGTGAGTTTCTTTCATTCTCTCGCTTCTCAGTTCCGAGCTACACCTTGCGTTGATCATAGCCGATCGTCAACATCTACCTCCGCGCGAGGATGTCCCTCTTCCGAGCCAGCCTCCCTATACCGCGTTTGTGGGCAATCTGGCATTCGATCTGACCGAATCTGAGCTTGGCCAGTTTTTCTCTGGAGTCAAGGCATGTTAGGTCACTTTGGGGCCTGTATCGCAAACGTTGACATTCGACAGACTAAATCCGTGAAAATAATCAAAGACAGGGATGATAAACCCAAGGGCTTCGGATACGTGGAATTTGAAGAATTAGAGGGCCTGAAAGATGCCTTGTCAAAAAGTGGCTCTGTAAGTGAATTACCTTGTCTGCGAGACATTCCGATTTCCTTCAATTTTCGTAGAATTTCTCGGGTCGAGTCATCCGAGTCAGTGTTGCTGAACCACGTATGTTTCCGTCGGCGTTTGTCTTCCTTTCGTGTCGTCTAACTACAGTAAAGCGAAAGAACGCAGCGGATTTGGTGGCCCTTCGGACGACAACTCTAAGTTCGATAGTCCCTGGCGCCGTGACGGCCCCCTCCCCGATACCACGTCTCGAGAGCCATCGCGTCGTCGTTTCGATGGTCCGCCACACGATCGACATGTCCAGTCGGCTTCTGATGGCCCGGAGGACTGGCGTTCCAATCGACCTCAACGTGTCCCCGATAATGAACCTCCGCCATTCAAGCGAAAAGGTTCCGGCTTCCTGACTCCTGAAGGAACAGCTAGTTCGGCGGACAAAGAAGACGTTTGGACAATTGGCAGTAAGTTCAAACCTTCGGGTCCCGGCGATGAAAGTTCCACAAAATTTGGTTCAACGCGGTCAAGGGGTGACATGGGCCCGCCGAAGGAGACACCGAGCGATGAAGCGGGCTGGAGGAGTACAACCCGTGGTCCAAAACGTGGCAGTGTATCGCGTAGGTTTCACATCCATGACATTGTCTTAAAATTTGATGCTCACGCTCTCTAGCGACGAACTCGACACCCCCGACGCCCCAGTTGGCGCGCAGAAAGCTGGAGCTTCTTCCGAGGTCTGGTAACGCATCGGTTTCACCCAGCCCTTTGTCATCCCCTAAGATGGCACCTACGCCCCCTACTTCGGCGGGCTCGAGGCCAAATCCTTTTGGTGGGGCACGGTAGATACTTTTCCCTTCACACATTTGCAAAGGTGCTTATGGATGGACACCAGGCCAGTCGATGTTAGCTCCCGTGAAAAAGCCGTCGAAGAACGCATTGAAAAGGAGCGCGAGTCCGTTCACGAGAAGGTTGCAATGTCGAGGACAAGCTCTCGTTCTGGTGTCGAACGGGGTGTTCTGCATCGTCCTCAAACCCCCCCCGTTTCGTCAGCCCCTAACCCCAAGGTCTCCTCCAAGCCAACACCTGTCTTCGCACCTACTGTTCGACCCAGCCTGAGCTTCGCCAATGTCGCCGCAAAGAAGGAAAGTGCTGCATCGAAGGAGGATGCCCATACGGAGAGTGCTATTGATCAAGAAGCTGATGATGTTGCGAATGTTGCGATATAATATTATGATTTCTCCGCCCATCTACACCAGAGGTTGACCTGTCCCTCTAGCCCATTAACATTACCTCCTCTCGCCGTAACTTCGTGTTCGACTTCTCGAACAGCAAGATTATTCATGTCAATTTGTGTGAAATCGATTGGAATAGATTGTGCCTGAGCACACTCTTTTGTTTTCTGGCAGCAATCTACTGATACAGGCCGGACTCTCACGGCAAACATCATGCAGGGACTTGATCCCAATTGCGACCGCCTTCCTCCAGGTTGACCAGGAACCCCATCTTCCATATATCCAGACCGCCTTGCTTGCTTTGGTCTCGTCCGTCGCCGAGGGGGAGTGTCCTTCTCATTGAGACGACTTTGGCTTTTGCCACGTTATGAGACAATTCAATGTAGTGGTCCTTGGTGGTAAGATCTGGCGATATGCTTTCTTCGACCATTTCCCTGACCCGCTGAAGCTGGAGGCGTTGGCAAGTCTGCGCTCACAGGTGTGTTTCCCCTCTTCCACCCTAGGTCGGCTTCCTAATCATATTTTCGATCTGTAGTTCGTTTCATTCGGGACGTTTTTGTGGAGAACTATGATCCAACGATTGAAGGTCGAGACGCCTGTCCCAGCTCTTCTAGTCGCAATTCTGATGGGACACATAGAGGAATACCGGAGAACTATCACGGTGGATGGCCAACTTGACTCGGTGAGCCCAAAATCCTCTTTACTCTGCCCAAACTCATGGGTGGTGTGCGCTCTCGCCTCTAGCTCGAGGTTTTGGATACGGCGGGGGCTGAACAATTCACATCTCTCAACGAGGTGTACATAAAGGTTGTAGAGCATCCTCCATTCGTCATGGCGGTACGCTCACAGGAACTAGTCAGGGCGTGGCTTTGTCTTGGTGTTTAGGTTGGAACTTTTTTCCCAATGTGCTGTCAAAGTATTCACCGTGTCCAAGCCTGACCCAAGAAGCAAGCCTACAAGAGGTGGATAATCTGCGAAAGCAAATACTGCGTATAAAGGGTGGAGACATAGTGCGTTCATGAATTGATTCGGGGCTCATGCGTGGATAATAAACTTGTGCAATAGGCTGTGCCCATCGTGGTCGTTGGAACAAAACTCGATCTCGTGAACGAAAGGGAAGTTCAGCGAGCGACAATCCAGTCTCTTTCGAGCCAGTGGGATCTCCCATTCTACGAAACGTCTGCGAAACGGAACTGGCACGTGTCGGAGGTCTTTGAAGACCTACTCAGGCAGATGCGCGAACACTACCCAGTTGATCCGTCAAGGAAACGCAGAAAGCGAGCGAGCGGATGTGTTATGATGTGATGATCATGATTTCTTTGCATTTGCTATGGAATTTACTACCCGGGAACTTTTTAGAATGTATTCATATTATCTACCAATGTATTTATCTCGAGGAGGACCATCTTGAAGTGTGGCTGTCCTTATTTGCAGTTATTTGCCTTGTCAGCGTCCAAAAAACGCTCCCCACCAACCACGGACCTCATTCTCTTGCGACGACCACCCCTCGACCCCTTCTTTCATCTTCTTTCTTTCTCCACAAAAAATGGTATGTATCATCCTTGCTCCCGCCCTCCGTAGTGCTAATTCATCGCTTAGAGTTACGGCGGCTATCACGGTGGTGGTGGAGGCTACGGAGGCGGTGGGGGTGGTTGGGGAGGAGGCTACGGCCATGATGACAGGATGTCTGGCCTCGGTGGTGGGCTTCGCTCGGTCGACTGGGCCAGCACAAAACTGTCTGTCTTTGAGAAAAATTTCTACATAGAAGACAAACGAGTCGCTGCCCGGAGCGATCGAGATATTGAAGAATTTCGTCGGGTGAAAGAGATCAAGGTCCGCATGCTGGGATTTTCTATTGAGCTATCATAGCTGATCATATATCTAGGTACAAGGTCGCAACGTTCCCCGACCTGTCACCTCCTTCGAGGAAGTTGGTTTCCCCGAGTATCTGATGACCTCCATCCGAGCTCAAGGATTCCCCGCACCTACTCCAATTCAATGTCAGGCGTGGCCCATGGCACTCAGCGGTAGAGACGTTGTTGCCATCGCTCAGACGGGTTCAGGGAAGACAATCTCGTTTGCCCTCCCTGCCATGCTGCACATCAACGCGTGAGTCACTTCCACCTTTGTTGTCACATCTTTTGTTTCTTACGCAAGATTGCTAGCCAACCTCTTCTTGCTCCAGGAGATGGTCCCATCGCCCTAGTTCTCGCGCCTACTCGTGAATTGGCAGTGCAAATCCAACAAGAATGTACCAAATTCGGGTCAGTCAGGCGGGAACGTCATGAAAGCGGTGTCATGCTGACTTGGCTTCCAGATCCAACTCTCGTATTCGTAACACTGCGATCTATGGTGGTGCCCCGAAGGGCCCTCAGATTCGTGACTTGCAGCGCGGCGTAGAAATTGTCATCGCTACTCCTGGACGTTTGATCGATATGCTAGAGACTCAAAAAACCAACCTGCGACGTGTGACATACCTGGTCATGGACGAAGCAGATCGTATGCTTGACATGGGTTTCGAACCACAAATTCGCAAGATCGTCAGCCAAATTAGACCAGATCGCCAGACCCTCATGTTCAGCGCCACCTGGCCCAAGGATGTTCAGAAGTTGGCCAACGTATGTATTCCCAATGCTTGTCATCGTCGCTCGTGTGCTTAAATCTTTATGTTCAGGATTTCTTGAAGGATATGATCCAAGTCAACATTGGCTCCATGGAGCTGACAGCAAACCACAACATCCAGCAGATTGTCGAAGTCTGCAGCGACTTTGAGAAGCGAAACAAATTGATCAAGCACCTCGACCAAATCAGCGCTGAGAATGCTAAAGTCTTGATCTTCGTTGCCACAAAGCGTGTTGCGGACGATATCACCCGGTATCTTCGTGAGGACGGGTGGCCAGCGCTGGCAATCCATGGCGATAAAGAGCAGTACGTCGGCATTCTTCTTTCTTTGCTCTTCTATTCATTTACCTTCACCCGAAGACGCGAGCGTGACTGGGTGCTTGGTGAATTTAAAGCAGGACGTTCTCCCATTCTCATTGCCACGGATGTAGCATCTCGTGGTCTTGGTACGTCTCCTCTTGCAAGAGCTGTTTCTCCGTGTTGGTGCTGTTGCATCCATGTCACCAAAGCTTCTAGCGGTTGTCGCCAGCGGCGTAGTCCTTTGGGTGCACTCACAGGATTCATTTCGAAGATTCTTTCCGGACGTAAGGCTGGAGAGGTCGACGACTTCAGTAAATGTATCCTCCTTGGCATTCAATGGGCTTCCTCAAGGCGCACCTCCAGAATCGGACAGGTTCTGTACCATGATCAAGCGGTTGGTACGTTCAAGAAGGAACTGGGCTAGACTTGATCGGTCCCTCTGACCTCGGGCAAGCGGGCCCATTGTTGCTCCCTTTCGACGGAGCGTCAGTGGGTGTCCACCAACGAACAATTTTCATTGATAGTTCTTTGGTGTGCTGCTGGTTACGGACTTTCGGGGCACCGTCTATATCGGACTGGACTCGCGAAAAGAGGTCTCTTCAACCCAGTTTTCACGCATGAACAATGTCAACCTGTCTTCGTTCTGGACTAACTCGTCATGATCTGCTGTATGATTGTGATGTCCATGCTTTTCATGTGATGTGGATGTGCACGTTGCCATCTCGCTTTAAACATCTTGTTTTTCTTATGTCTGATTTTGTGTTGACTCATCATGTCTTTTCCTTTTATGCTACTCTTCGTGTCTCGTCGATTCCACTGGACGTTGTATGATTTGCCTCATTCTTCTCATTGGCGCCTTTCACTTGTGCAGACGTGAAGGATGTAGGTTACGTCATCGTAAGTGTTAGTTGTTTCTCGGGCTTAACCATTTGTTGATCCTGTTCTACCAGAACTATGATTTCCCCAACAACTGCGAGGATTATATCCATCGTATCGGTCGTACAGGCGTAAGTTCTCATTCGGCCTTGTTAAACGTGAAGCTCATCAACGGCTCCTTATCTAGCGCGCTGGCATGAAGGGAATTTCGTACACTTACTTCACCACGGACAACGCCAAGTCTGCGAGGGAGTTGATTGGCATCTTACGAGAGGCCAAGGCTGTTGTTCCGCCTCAACTCGAGGAGATGGCGTCCTTCGGCGGCGGAGGTGGACGAAGTATGTTGCATTTCTTCTGTTTCTGTCCAAACTACCAAACTAACATCAGAACCTCAGGCCGTTACGGAGGGGGCGGACGTGGACGCGGTGGTGGTGGTCACCGTTATGGAGGCGGGGGTGGGCACGATAGCGGATATCACGGCGGACGCAACAGCCACCACGGTGGTGATCGTTGGTAAAGGAGGACTGCCACTGTCATTTCCCGGACTCGCATTAGACGTAACCTGCCGCTGCGCGCATTATATAACCTTAGCCATGCTTGTGTTTGATGATTAATCAAACTCTCTAATATCTATCGATTTCGCACCTGCGATGCGTTCTTGTTCTGATTTGCCTCACCGACTTCAACTGCGCACACCATGTCGACTGTTGAAAAGTACGTTATCGGCGGTTTGTCGATTAGTGCGTACACAAGTTCAGCACCTCTGGCAACGTCAACTGCAGTCTTATTTCTCTTACACGGCCGCCATGGAAGCGCGGAGGATATGGCGACCCTTGCTCGGACATTTGTCGAGAAGACAAGGTCCAGCGGAGAAAGGAGTTTGATAGTAGTGACACTGGTGAGCTTGGTGTGATAATTCAGCCTAGTTCAAACGGTACTTGTTATCAGGATCATCGAAACCATGGTACACGATTAGTTGAGCCAAAGGCCAACAACAGTTGGACCGAGGATACACCCAATCAGAATCATGCGTACGTGAAAAGCACACAACCCCTCCGTGATAAAAGTTTCTAAGGCGTTCTTTAGAATGGACATGCATGGAATCCAACGTCAGTCTGCTCATCCATTCCGAATCAAAGGATCCACTCATGCTCCGATGCGCAGTGGGCACCGCGCACGACGTATCCTTCCTGGTAGATTTTCTGCCCGGTTATCTCTTCCCAGGAGGAGAGCACAAAGTCGAGAACTGGGGCGTGGCAGGAAGAAGCCTCGGAGGTCACTCAACATGGATATTGCTCGGGCAAGGTACATACTTGTTCTCCCAACCGAAATACTTCATTTCTAGACGCATAGATCCGAGAATCCAAGTGGGGATCCCCATTATCGCATGCCCGGACTACGTCGCGCTCATCAAGCACCGCGCAAAGGAGAGCAAGGTGACGTTCGGGGCGCCGTATATACCGGCCACCTTCCTCGCGGCAATCGAGAAGAGCAACCCAGCGTCGCAGGCGTACAGATCTGTGGCTGGGAACCCGTTCCTGGGAAAGAAGATCCTGGTTCTTTCGGGGGAAGCGGACACGCTCGTTCCGTGGACCGCCAGCAAGGAATTTGTCGACAATCTGGAGGTGGGTACCGACGGAGTGAAGTCGGTTGTCGTCGAGGCTGGCGTTGGGCACAGGTGCACTGGGAGGATGGTCGAGTTGGCGGTCGAGTTTGTTGGGCGCCACTTGCTGTGTGGGAACTAGGTATTATGTAATATGGTGATGACAAGGAAATGTTTCGTCTCTCCTCCTTTGAGCGCGACTGCTTCGACCTCCCACAAATGCCCCGCCGCTCTCAGACGCGCGTTGCAGTCCTAGAGCAGACACCAGCAATATCAGAACAACGCCACCAGAGCAACTCTGATGCTGAGAATCTCGCCGTCCTCCGCAAGCAATGGCGTTGGGCCGCATTCTGCCAGTTCTTCTTCACTTTCGCCCCTCTTCTGGCCATGAACGATGTAACCATTGCCGTGAGCTGTCTATTTCCATCAATAGTACGCATCCACCGCTAATTACCCTCTATATTCCTTAGGACATCGAGCGGGACTTGACTCAGCATACTAGCGTAGTACTCCCTCGCATCATGACCAGGCTCTTATACACCCTTTCTTATGACCGGAAGGTGTCGTACGTGTTTTCTTATCGCTTTTATATCCATTTCCTCTCCGTTGACCCTCTGAATAGACTCGACAACTGGCAGACCGCGTTACGCAAACAATACAACAAGAGAGATCCACAAGCCAATCCAATCGGCCCAGAACCCATCGACCCGAGGCTATTGGAAGACATGAAGGAGGATGAGGACGATGGTGAGAAGGAAAAGAACGGACCTACCGAACCGTCCATCCATCAAGATGACCGGTCAAGTTCAGGGGACAGAGGCAGCCGGGCGCCTAGAGCAGTTTCTACCTCCGCAGACCCTATTAAGTCTGAAGACGCTTCTCAGCGAGACGTGAGCATGGACGCTGAATTCTCTGAACCCGTCAGTTGTGCCGACCCTGCCACCGAGAACCACGAGGCACAGCAAGCTCCATCCTTGGACTGGCTCCAACTCCCGACGCTCGCTCAACTCGAATCTCTGCACACCCTCGCCGAATGGCAATTCCAAAACCCGACGCGATTGAGGATACTCATGAAAAGTGATGATGAATTGGCGTTATGGGTCAGTCAACTGTTCCAACCGTCTCCGAAGTGTCTGACAGCTTACACAGAGGATTGAACCCATCGGGTATGACAGTAAACGGAATGCCTATTGGTTTATTGGCAGTCAGTACCCAAGTTTCATGTTCTCCCTTCACTGAACTAACCTACTGTAGCTGATCGACTCTGGATACAACGAGCTCCACCCCGGCCTAGTCGGCCCAAAGCCTTGAAGCGGAAACGCCCAACACAGTCAGTTGCACAGAAAAAGCAAGCCAACGGCAAGACCACCGCTCCCAAAACCAAACGACCTCGCCTCGAAGCTCAGCCTACAATCGACTCCCCTTCTACCAGCCGCCACAGTCGAGCAGCGAAAGACCAAGCCAAGATGAAGCTCGACGCTCAGGCAAAGGAACTGGCAGAACTCAACCGACAAGCTAACATCCGCGAATCCAAATCGCGGTCCGCTCGACAAACGCCCTTGCGATCTCAGCCTTCTCGGACAAGCTTACGAACTGGGACTCGACTAAGTGCGAGGCTGAGAGGGACACAGGACGACGAATGGCAGCCTATACCTGATGAGTGGTTGAGCGATGGAAAAGCGAACCAGGGGCAGGATGAGGGTTCGAAGCGGAAGACAGGCTTGGAGAGCGACGAAGAGACGATTAGTGATTTGACTGAGCTGAGCGAGGATGGTGGGGAGCTTTCTGAGACGGAGTCATCGCCTTCGAAGCCTCCTGCAAATGGCAAACGTGGCAAAGCGTCGAAAGCTGAGGATGCAGAAGAGGAGGTATCTCAAGAATCGCCAGAAGATTTTGTGGAATGGGAAACGGTGTGTTAAATTATTTCTGGTAAAGGACATTGTATTGACCAGTTGAAGATATGTGCTACCCTGTACGAATGGGAACGCATAGCAGAACGGTTTCAGAATGCCACACACTACACAGAAAAGGCCCTCTATAAAGTCCTTGTGAACCAGATCGTGCCCGCTGTCACCGAAGAACTCAGGGTAAACCGTCTTGTTCAAATCTAACGGTCCGAGATGCTTAATGTATGCTCTAGGAAATCGAACGCAAGCGAAACCTCGAAGAAGCCATGGTCCACAGGAAACGTTCTTCACGTATTGCGACGAAGGAGAGCGAAAAAGAAGAGGCCCGTTTGGCCGCCAAAAGGAAGCAGGAAGAGGACGAGAAAATGGGTCGTGCGAGAAGGCTCGAGGCTCGACAGCAAAGAGAAGAGGAAGAAAGGATCAAACGGGAGACGGCTCGTGAACAGAGGAAGAAGGAGCGAGAGGCCCGCGAGGAATCGAGAAGAGCCCAAACCGAATCCGCTGTGTAAGCTCTGCTTATTCCTTTATATACGATGTTTTCAACGGCTTTCTTTGCAGACAATCGGACACGAACTCCAAGTCAGAAGGGAAGAAGAGCAAGTCGCCCCAGCGTGAAACCCGCAAGGCAAAGTCCACAGCAAAGGCCAATGGAAATGCACCTGCGAATAGCCGCACTGGGTCAACGAGCGGCTCACGAACCCCAGCGGGAGAAGACTGGGAGCTCTGTTGCGAGATATGCCAGCGGCGGGGGATCAACTTGGTTAGCTATTCTCTTGTCCTGCTAATGTCCTCTCTTAATCTTCCCTACAGGACGATGGTACTCCTATGATGTCCTGCGGCCGTTGTTCGAGATGGCAGCACATCCAATGCCATGACCGTGCAGATCAAGCTGCAGGTCGTCCGCGTAGGAACTGGAACACTGTCGAGTTCATCTGCAAATGGTGTCGCGCCGACCTGCAAGCCCGCCGGAAAGAATATCCCGTCGCTGCTGCACCCGTTAAGCAGCCGTACCCGCTCATCCTCAGTACGCCCCAAGTACAAGCATATGGGTCGTATCAGCACCAACAACTCCCGTCAATTAGCAATCTGCATATGGACCACCGCCAGGCCGGTCATTATTCGTCGAGCTATCAGCAGCCTCAACAGCAGAGCTATTATTCTAGGCAACCAGTTAATGGGCATCAGCACCCTTCAATGTACAGCCAGCATCAGCACTCGACGGCGACGGGTGTTCCCGAGCAACGGCAGGCGATATCTTTCAGCCATTACCAGCCCTCGGAGCGTGGTTTCTCTTCTGGGAGCCAGCGGCTTCCCACTGAGCAGCATCATTCTTATTATCAGTCTAATAATTCTCCAGACTCATACCGACAAGGTTCATCTAACTATTACAAGCCTCCGGTAAGTCCTCTATTATTTTCTGAATTCTGGAGGCTAAGGAACTATGTATGCAGCCCATAACCCCCTCGTGGAACGTCAACACCCCTGTTCAGTCCTCCGGATACCCCATGTCGCATAATTCCTCCACCTTGCCTAGCTCGTCAAGCGGTTTCAGGCTCCCACCGCCGGAGCACCTCCTCAGCCGGCCTGTCCAGCAGTTTCCTGTTCATGAATCGTCCCACGGCCAGCATCAACAGTCATACAACCGCTCATATCCCACCGACCAGCACTATCCACCCACCACCCAGTTTAAGCACCATCCCACGTCATACCAGCCGCCTTTGGGGAGGTGATATAGTAGAAGACTCTGGCTCTCTTCTCTCTTCGACTTTTCAGTAGATGTATTGTACAGACTTCCTTCTTTTATCTTTTCTCTTGTTTGATTTATTGATTTATTGGGTAATATACAGTGTTGTTGGAATTGTTTGGTATACGTAGGTAGTAGATAGAGATCTAACGGTTTGATTTGATCCCACCGTCAAAGGTCAGGACACAACGCTCAGCGGAGGGTCTCATACATCCTGTAGTTTGGCGACTTGAACGCGAAGGCATCGTCCGCCCCTACAAACTCTCTGTAGCTGTTCAATATCAATAATTCGTTGTGTGTGTGCCAGAACGACGTACTGGACGGGCCCGAGCACTTTGAGTCCCCGGACATGCGTGTCTTTGCCGCTCATGTGGTTTTGGGCAATGATAATTTGTAGTTGGTATGCGTAGACGGGGTTTCTGTGAGAGCTTGAGCACGAGGTGTGTAAATAGAAATAGAGGGCTCACAGTCCATCTCCATCTTCGTTGGGCTCTGAGGAGACATCGAAGGTGACCCAGCCATGTGGCTTATCTAGAGTGACCATCCGGATGTCTTGTAGGTCACTTGGGCCAGTTCCAGCACGGATTGCAAGAGCAGAGGGGGTGTACGAGTCGTCTAGAGGATAATTTAGGAGGACACTAATTTTCTAAGCAACAAAACCGTTAGAATGTGGAGGAAGGGTCAGAGAGTGGCTTCACCTGTATGGCCATCTTTCGAGGAAATTCAATGGTAATAAAATGCGGCTGAGGTCCATCTGAGCTGGAGGTCCATGAAAAATGTAGAATGGGAGGAAGGCAAGTCGACTAACTGCCAGAAAGTATCCGGGTCATCGTCCAACAGACACTCCGCACCAAAACCGAACTTGAAAGACGAGACAGACCATTTCGCCCTATGCGAGATATCTAGTGGGTCTATCGGCTTGTCCGCTAATTATACCGTGTCATCGTCAGATGCGAAGCCTTTAAGAGCAGGTCGAGTGCTCACTTTTGCGTTTCGTTATGGGCTCTTGACGAGCCTGAGAGCTGCTAGTGGCCATGATCGCGTTCAAAAGAAAGGGGCTGTTGCTCATGTCATCATCATATCGCACTTTCTTCTACCCGTCCATGATGTCGGCACCGCTGCTTCCCTTGCAGGATTATCAACGATATGGCCGCCAGATGATCCTCGACGGGATCGGTCTACCTGGTAGATATCTTATTTCATTTCATTTTCGTGGACTCATTCAACAAGCTTTTCGCAAGGCCAGGTCAATCTGAAGCAAGCCTCCGCAGTTGTGGTGGGCGCTGGAGGTCTTGGGTGTCCTGCCATCCAATACCTTGGCGCTGCAGGAATAGGTGAATAATCTCGTCGTTTCTTCTCTTTTTTTTCTTTCTAAAATTCTTTTTCAGGTCGGATAGGAATCGTGGACCACGATCGCGTCGAGCTGTCTAATCTCCAGCGCCAAATCCTACACACCGAAGAAGCAATCGGGATGTACAAAGCCGAGTCTGCCTCTCTTGCCTTGAAGCGGTACGAGCATTCGCTCCTACTGGTCAGCTCTCTGTCCGCAACATGCTTCTAGAATCAACGCGCAGATCCAGGTCGACGTGATGACAATCGCCCTCGTTCCAGAGAATGCGCTCGATATCTTAAGGCCTTACGACATTATTTTGGACTGCACGGACAACATACCGACGCGCTACCTTCTGTCTGACGCTGCTGTATCGCTGGGGAAGCCACTAGTCAGTGGGGCAGCGCAGAAGTTTGAAGGGCAACTGTCTGTTTTCAATCTTGGACCAACAGGTCCATGTTATCGATGTCTGTATCCTACACCACCTCCGAAGGAGACAGTGGGCTCGTGCGCTGAGCTGGGTATCCTTGGAGTCGTAACGGGAATCATTGGCAACATGCAAGCTCTGGAGACAATTAAAATCATTCTTGGTCTCAATGGTAGCGTTTAAACTCTGTCCATCGCGTTCCTGACATCTGAATATTGTTCAGATCAAAACCCTTCCTTATTGTTATTTTCTGCCCTTGGATCGCCGCCATTTCGCAGCATCAAGCTACGCTCGAAGAAAACGACGTGTACTGCCTGCAGTAACCCCAGCGAGAGCCTGGCAAACGTTCCAAGTACAGATTATGTCCAGTTTTGTGGAGGCGCCTCTCCGGACTGGGTCGAACGAGGACTGGCTAACGGAGAGGCCGGTCACCGAGCAAAGCCAGAGGTAGCGCAGCCTATTCACTGTTGTTGAACAACATGCCAATCTCTAGACAGGAGTTAGAAGCGGCAATCGTGACTGGCACCCCGCGAATATTGGACGTTCGACCCGCAACCGAATTCGGGATATGCCAACTTCCCAATTCTCTAAGTATGTTATTCACTTTCGCCTTCATTCGCCTTTTCGAGCCCTGACCATTATCCTTTCTCAGATGTTCCCTTAAAAGACCTCTTGGCTACGCCAGAGAGTTACGTTTCACCAGAACGTGATACGTACATCGTCTGCCGATTAGGAAACGACTCTCAGATCGCTGCTGAGAAGATCAGGGAGCTTGGACGTGGCGGAATTGTGAAAGACGTTATTGGAGGACTCAAGGCGTGGTCAAGGGATATTGATCCTGAGTTTCCCGTGTATTGATGTAGACATGCAAGAAATAATTGATGACGACCTAGAAACGTATGCGGTCTGAGGCAATCTACTTCTCTGTAAATGCGGTCAGTGATCCGTCAATTAAGGCGAGGGAGGAAACACTTGCTCCCCAGCTTGAGCCATTTTGGCACCTTGATTTCCCCCTTGCTTGTTCCAGAAGATGATGGTTTGGATGTAGAAGGTGCAGGTTTCGTTGGCGCATCCTCTACCGACGCAGGTGGTGGAGGAAGGTCAATAGCTTGCGACAAGACTGCTGAGTCAAGAGGAGCTGGTACATTGACGTCTAGGAGGGCGAGAAAGATTCAGAATACACGAACAGTGTCAGAGACGCTGTATACATACGATTCAGCCTATCGTCCTCGAATCTCAGCAACAAGACACTGGACGGGGCAAGCTGCAGTGTTGCAAGGCTCTGATCGCGCACTTTAGGATCGGAGACCTTGAGCTCATATTTCGGAGGCTGGTCTTGTATGGCTCAGGCCAAGCGACAATTGAAATGGTATGAAAAACATACAAAGAACAAACTTGATCGGCTTCGTGTCCTCTCTCAAGCAACTGCGGACAAAGGCGTAGACAACTCTGATCTTGCTCGTCGACGTAAAGGACTTCTCAAGCTGAATCCCATCCGTGAACTTTATTCGGATCCTAGTCTAGTCCATGGTCAATGGACTGTCTTCTGCTCAAGGGGTACGACGAATACCTCTGGCCACCGGTCGCGCTTCGCCTGCAGTTCTGCTTCTCTGTCCTTGCGAAGCTGAAGAGGAGCGTTGACCAGCGCCTGAGTGCGAGCGCTCAAAGTAGCCTGTGCAGCCTGCAGATCTGCGGTAGTTGGCTTGAAATAATCATCCGATAGAGGTGGCAGGCTGCCTGTTTGTTGTTGATCACTGAGCGCAGGCAGTGATGATGACGCGTCCTGATCTCACCAAGCTGGAGCTGGGAACGATTTGGGGCCCTATAGATTTTGAAATCGGTGGGCAGTGGAGGCTCAGCAGGTGGGTTGGGGGTAGCAGATGAAGATGGTTGGGATCCAGACGGCATGGTGGAAGTAAAAGGCAAAGACTATCGATTAGGTAATTTCTGATATACACTGACACTAATGATGAGGTGACCTGAAAAGAAAGACAGTCAGTATCGGGTTGTTGACCTTTGAACACAAAGCTCAGCGAAAAAAAAATTGTCTCATGGCGGGTCCCCAGGATGCACTGGCTGGTGATCCCTTTGGTATGAGGACGGCGACAATCGAACGCAAATTACATTAAAACATCACGAAAGCCAGAAGAAACATCGAACTCACCACTTGGTTTGAATCAGGTTCCAACAAAGACGCGGGCGAGTTTGAAGGTTCCTTTTCTTTGGCTGTATTTGTTCCAGTAGTCTGGTTCGCGACAACCACCATGCCCCATGAGCACCACGACGGATGTGGCCATGAAAGCCACGACCATGACCATGAGCACGATTCTCCAGAGCATGGGTTCCAAGACAACTTATTCAACCACATCGATCGCCAGAATGTTGTTGTTCTAAACTCTGATGGTCTTGCAACCGATATCATCAAGCCATGGCATGCTCGCTTGGACGAAAACAAAGTATGCTATCGCCGTAAATGATATGTTTTCGCTGAACGCCTTTCCAGTATGTTGAATCGGATGCCGATGATCAACTGTGCTTGCCTTTTGATCTCTGAGTCTTACTCGAATCTCATCTCGGGATATGCAGAATCATACGCGTTCCGTTTACTGGTTCAGTCCGCCTGAGATCTGTCCTGCTCAAGGCTGGGCCAGGAGACCAAACTCCTTCAAAGATCACCCTCGTCAGTACCTAATCAACGACGCTAAGTACTAATGCCCACCCCGTGTACTCAGTTTGCAAACGAACCAACTCTCGATTTCGATGACGTCACCGACAAGCAGCCAATCCAAGAGTTCGACGTACCTCGAGGTAGGGAGGTAGGCGAATATGCCGTCAAGTGAATTGCCCCTTCGAGGTTAGAGGAAAAGGATGCGCTCATTGCTCCCCGTATAGAACTGCCAAATTTTCCAATGTCTCCAACTTGACGATCTTTGTTCCGGCTGCTCAAGGTGCAGATGCGACGAGGATCTACTATCTTGGATTCTTAGGAACCTGGACAGAGGTGTGCAACTTTTATTTGTTACTTTGCCATGATGTCCTTACCCGCTATGCCCACGTAGACGAAGCATCAACCAGTCATAACAGTCTACGAGGCGCAAGCCAACCTTGCCGACCACGAAAAGATCCAAGGCATGGAAGGAAAGTGGGCTGCTCCTGGACACTGATGATTATGACAATGAAAACATTGGGGGGTGTGAAGGAGTGCACACTTCAGGCTTCCAAGACTTTGTGGAAACACCTCTGTAATTCTAATGCAATGAAATAAAATGTATGTGATTGAATGCCCAGTAATGATACAAATGACGACTCCATGATACATCTAAACAACCCTCTCCCTATTGCAGGAGAAGCACATCAACTCTTCTGATTCATGCCGTTATTGCTGTTATTATCAGCACTCCTCTGCATGAACGACTGCAGCATCTCGTAGCTGACTGGATTATTCAACGGAGGTCGGTTCATCATACCTCCAGGCAGACCGAGTGGGGGCGCGTTCATCCCAACCATCTGCCCTGTTGGATGCTGGCCGCTCATCAGATTCAGCGCAGCATTCATGTTGGCATGGCCTACACTGCTGGTCGCGAATGGATTCATGGGGTTTATACCCTGGCCAGACGCAATTTGTTGCTGTTGCTGCTGCTGCTGTTGCTGAAGCTGCTGCCGATGTTGCTGATACTGCGTTGCGCAGACAAGAAAAGTCAGTCAATGAGGGTGCATGCTGTGTCCTGGCTGGAGAAACGGGCGTACCGCTTGCAATCGCGCAAGGTAGACGCGACGTTGGTCGGGAGTTAATTGCTCCCACTGCGCAGGGTCCGTATTTCCAGGAGGAACACTTAACGATAGGAGCGCCGACGGCGCAGGAAATTCAGGCATACCCGTCAGAGGGAAGACTGCACCAGCGAGTGCACCATTCCAGGGGAAGAATACCGCATTCTTCGTCTGGCCGCCTGACGGTGTCGTCCATGCAGCAGTAGCAAACTAGAAAACCAAAATGGATATAATGGTGGGCCAGATAAAACGTCAAAGGATACATACGATCTTCCTATTGAATAACAGCTGTACAAGGCCTATGTAATAGCTTTCGTTTGTCTTCGCATCTGACGCATCAGGTGGGACGCGGAATAAGCAAAAGCCCGCCTTGTGCGCCTTAATCCACCCTTGCAGATCCAGCAAGGTCAGGTTCTGTTGCTGCGTAGGCACGAGATGCATGGTTTGTGGCCACGTCTTAGAATGCCTGGAAAACAAAACAAGACAGAGTCATGAACACAAAAAGTCCTCTGAGCCAGGATAGTCACTCACGCAACAGCTGGGAAAGCAGTCATCGCAACTGCCTGAATAGACACCTCCTTCTTGCCCGACGCACTTGTGCCCGAATAGACCAACGAACCTTTCCACACCGGCACCGGATTGGGATTATTCGAGGGTACCATCGGCTGGCTTGGTCCAGCCATGGAGTTCATCCCCGCTGCGGCTCCCATGGGGTTCATCCCGCCCGCCATAGGGTTTGGATTCGGATTAGGGTTGGGCGGCGGGTTGGGCATGCCACCCACGATAGGGGAGCCCTGGCCCGCGCTTAACCTGCTCTTCTGCTGCTCAATCATCTTCTGCATCTGCATGTTGATACTCAGAGTAGCTGACGTGCTGGGGCTGGAGCCAGTGGGCGCGGGAGGGTTCGGAGCGATGGGGTTGGGTCGGAAGGCCGAACCACTGGCGGAGCGGATGTGGGCTGCTACTGAGTTTTCTGCTACTTGAGGAGGTGCGTTTCCAGGAGGCATAGATTGATTTGGGTTGCTCATGCCAAAGGGGTTTGCGCCGCCGTCTTTCATAGCTTATGAAAGGAAGAAAGGGAAAAGGGAGTCAGCGACAATGTTCCATCTCTTGAAATACATCACAAAGACGCACCTTGGATGGCCTGGGCCATCTTTGTTACAAAATCCTTGCGCTTGAGATAGTCGCGCTTGAGCATTTCCAGGTTCTCGGTCTTACCAGTAGCCATTGCCGCCTGGATTGTCACCTCGACATGTTTGAGAGCTCTCATTCCCATCTCGAGAGCCATCCTTGGATTCATCTGTGCTGGGTTCATTTGTGGCGGTTGTGGTTGAGGTGGTTGTGGTTGTGGCGGTTGTGGTGGTTGAGAAGATGGTGCGTTGTGGATAGGTTTTGGAGGTTGAGTAGATGCAGCAGGCGCAACGGAGGGCGGTGTCGGTAATGGTGGTGGCGGCGGCGGGGCTGCTACAGCCGCAGCCGGCTTCGGTGTGGGTTTCGGTGACTCTGTGCTCGGTTGGAGACGCTGCCGCTTGTTCTCTGGAGAATGTTCCATACTTTGGATATCGATCTGGCGTTTAGTTGAGGCTGGACCTTGGATGAAACTAACATCAGCGAAGTATCAGCGTTAGTTAATTGGACAATTGCTACCTTTGGGTAGTTGAAGTGATGAAATTGGACCGAGGAAGAGCACATGAGGCGGTCGAGCGGTTAAAAAAGGTGCAGGCCCTTCGCCATTTAGCTGGATAAGAGGTGGAGTGAGTGGGTGTCATAAGAAGATACGCTAAGGCATACCGTATTGTGTAGTTGTGGGAAGCGAGGGAGGGACGGCTTGAGGTTAATGGTGTTATAGTGGATATTTCTCTGGGCAAGAAATAAGCATATGCGCACGAGCCACAATAGAAATAAAAAGACACCTTCTTCAACTCTTGCGGCAGTGCTTCCCAGTCTACTTCATCCAAGGCTACCGTCTCATTCCAAGATGGGTATCGAGTACTATCAGGAGGAGAGGCCGCAATATGGATTATATGGCATGTGTACTTGCTTGCAGAGGTATGCTGCAGGAGTGAATCGAACAGCTATTCAAGGTGCACGTTAGTGTCTACTAATCAAAGAAGAGACCCGAACGCACCTCAATGCTCGCCACTAGACCCTCCAGAGCGGACATGCCACGACTGCCGCCCGAGTTTGTGGCCCCAATCCCGAACCGCGATGGATGCTCCATCATCTCCTTGAACATCACATGAAAGTCGGTGAAGAAATGCTTGGCCAGGATGGGAGAGGGCGTATTATCCGCAGTAGCATAGCTGACGATGGCAAGCCTAAGCTGGAGAGAACAAGGTCATAGAGTGAACGCTGAGTATGCCATTGTCTAACGAACACACCTTCCCTCCAGTGTGGTGGGCTTCACCTAGGCGCTTGAGACAGGGCATGAGATAATCGCCAATGATCTTTCGCCACTGCTGAGAGACTGCTAGGGAGGTCTCGAAAACGACGGCGACGGCGAGCGCCTGGCCAACCGACTGATCAGTCATGGTAAGTGCCAAGCCACAATTGATCGCAAAGTTCAAATGCGTCATATCTCCTCGTATGTAATTGTTCGAAATATGCTACTCTACTGATCTGTGAATTGTCCTTATAGAACGACGACGATTGCGAGTACAGACATCAAGACGTATGATATTCGTGGTATACAACTCGCGGCTCCGCCCACGGCGGTTGGGTTAATGCCAACCATGCTCAACCATTCTGTGTAGTCGAGGATCGTGCCCGAGGCGGGAATACTGACAGAGACTGTGGCAGGCGTTGTTGGGGTGAAGATCGCCGCTATGGCTGTAGTAACTCCGTTCACGACAGTGGTATAGGTGTATGGTGTCGGTGCGCCTGGTGTGCCGGTTCTGGAGACTGGAGCACCGACTGGGCCATGCCCTATGTCATCAGTCGTAGTCGTCGTTGGGGTCGGGGTCGTTTCTGTTGTCGTGTCTGTTGTCGTCTCCGTTGTTGTATCTGTTGTCGAGGTAAGAGTTTGTCTATGTGAAAGACTATTTTCAGGCAACGTCGTCAACGCTCAAACACAATCAAGACGCACAGTACTTGTGTTGCGGTTGGTGAGCCTGCTGGATTGGTCAGGATAACTTGGACGACCGAAAGGCCAGCACTGTTGGGCAAGGAAATGAGCGTCAAGCACTGCCATTTTGCGACATAGGCCTCACTCATTAGTGGTCGTTACTGTCGTTTGTGCATGTGCGAGGAGGAAAAACGAGGCAATTAATGGGAGGAGCAAGGGAAACATGATTGCATGGAGAGAGGAAGGTGCGTGTGAAATCTAATCCAACAGATCTTTCGCCTTTCCACCACACACCACCGCGGCATCTCTCAACTTGGAAAACCTCCTCCGGTCCAGCGTGGCTGCAAGCTCGCCCCAATTTATCAACCCATGGTCCTCTGTCGTAATGTCCAGCCTCAAGCTCATCAAACTTGCAGAGGCCCGTGATATGAACAGCGCCAGCTTGCCGTGCAGCGAACACGCCTGGTAGATGCTCTCTCTGGGATCCAAATGCAGCTGCAGCCTCTCCAGCCTCGTGTTCATGGAGAGATCCAGCAGGCTATACAGATAAGCTGTGCCTTCAGGTCAGTGGGCCTTGCGGCGTTCAAAAATTATCATTCACTCACACGCCGAGATAGTACCAGAGCTCTCGTCGAAGCTCAGCTCCAACTCCCGCAGCTGGTCCCCCAATTTCCGCACCAAGGACCCAGCAGATACCAGGTCATCAGCTGTTAAGCGGTGCAGGCCCATCTTCGCCGTCACCAGCTCCTGCTCTGTATGCTCTGATAGCCAGCCGAGGAGATGTTCCGTCCCTCTGGTCATCCGAATTGAAATGGACCGTACCGCTTTGGATATTCTTTGCGTCCCTCTGTATGGTATGTCGACATCCCAGAACTGCACTTCAAGGCGGAGTTCTTGCAGACTTCCGAACCCGCAGATCAGGCACACTAAATCATGAATGTCATCGAATTCAACGCCGCCCAGTTCCACTTGGGTCACTGTGTTGGAGATCAAGAGATCGCGGCGATGGTGGGGATGTGGGTCGTATCCCGACCAGGTGATTGCCGTCATCTTGAATGCTTTCAACGTGCTCAAAGACGTGATCCCCCGGATAAGATGTTCATCGACTCGCCGAGGGAAGAAGTACTCCTCATCGCAGAGGTGCAAGGTTCTGGTGATGTAGGGGAATGTGGCGCACGCAGAGTCGAGAAGGCGAAGGAAGTGGTGGGCGTTCGCCGAGTCGAACTTGATGGAACGAAAGAGGTGGTAGCGGCTGGCGCAAAGCCACGATCTTGCTACCAGGCTGCACGCGGCCAGCGCACGTCTATCGGCGTGCAGGAAGTCGATGATGAACTCGCAGAGGTCTTGGGGTATTTCCGACATTCTCGCTGGTCAAAAGCAAGTCTGAGCTTCTTTTAAGTTCCCAACGATGGGAAGCACCTGCGAGTGTGGGCAAGCTTTTCCAGCGTGTCTGATGGTGAAGATTTTGCTTCATTTGTCTCGCTTGCAGGGGAAGACCCGGTCCCATCTCTTGTTGGACCTACATACAAGGTTAGCACCGCGCGCTTCGACAATGAGCGCGTCTGAGACCCTGAGACACACGTGATACCACAAGAATCGCTTATTTGCGCGTGTTTATTCTTCCATTTTCGCCTTTTTCCCGATGATTGCGATTTGTGGAAATGGCGGATCGCGGTTTTATCTCTCCCTCCATCGATATCCCATCGCTCAGCGTCTAAATTGTTTCTCGACAACAGCGTCCCTCCTTGCGAAGAAGAAGATGCCCCCCAAAAAGGCTGCAGCGCCTGAGAAGAAAACTCTCCTCGGACGACCGAGCAACAACCTCAAGATTGGCATCGTAGGTTTGTTCTTGCGATTCAGCTCTTTTCGTGCGTTGACATCGCGTCGCAGGTTTGCCCAATGTCGGAAAGTCCTCTTTCTTCAACGTGCTTTCCGAGACCGGTACGCAAAATTCTACGTGTCATCGGTTCCATCCTCATCGCGTGTCAAAGACCTCGGAAAGGCCGCAAATTTCCCGTACGCTACCATAAACCCTGAGGAGGCCCGTATACCTGTTCCGGACGCGCGGTTCGAGTGGCTTTGCGAGATTTACAAACCTGCCTCACGAGTACCTGCTTTCCTGACCTGCATCGATATTGCCGGTTTGACAGCGGTAAGCCTTAGCCGCGGTTTTCTCTCGACGAACAATAAGCTGATAGAAACCAGGGTGCTTCTACCGGTGCTGGCCTTGGTAACGCCTTCCTATCCCACGTTCGCGCCGTCGATGGTATCTTCCAAGTCGTACGCGCCTTCGACGATGCAGAGGTCATCCACGTCGAGGGCGACGTCGATCCTATCCGTGATATGGAGATCATCTCCACTGAGCTGAGGCTGAAGGACATCGACTGGATTGAGAAGGCGTTGGATAACTTGAAGAGGTCGGGTCGAAACCTCGGAAGTACCAGTCTGGCTGACAGGGCTAAGAAGGAAGAAATTGTGCGACACCGCTCTCTCGTGTGTACCTACTTACCTTTAACAATGGATGTCACAGGCAACGGTCGAGAAGATCCTGAAGACACTCACGGTTGATGGAAGGGATGTTCGGAAAGTCGAATGGACCAACAAAGAGGTAAGTTAAACCATCCGACTTTTGCCTTTGCTAGTAACTAGCTTTTGTGATGAGAAAGAGCGAAATGCTCGATAACCCAGCTCGTCGAGGAGGGAGTCACGTCCCATATACCCATTGAGATTATTTCCTCACTGAATCTTTTTTTTCTTCATGACTTTGTCTCATTTCCTGACTGAACGCTCGCTAACCCTTTCGTCCATTCGTAGGTGCGACACTCTTCATTTTTTCGCTACACTTCCTTCATTTTTCTATGTGATGAAAAGAGCATCTGCTCGAAACCCAGCTCGTCGAGGAGGGAGTAACGCCCCAACAAACCTATGAGAATAAATATTTTCTGACCTTTATAGCTTATCAATTCCCGCCTTCTTTTGCCACAGCCAAGTTTTTTCACGATTCTGACACTCTACCTTTCTAGATAGACGTGGTCAACGGTCTGCAACTCCTCACCGCCAAACCCATCACCTACCTGGTCAACCTGAGCGAAAAGGACTACGTGCGCAAGAAGAACAAATGGTTGCCCAAGATCAAAGCCTGGATCGATAGCAACAACCCCGGAGACCCGCTGATCCCATTCTCTGTCGCTCTCGAAGAGCGATTGGGTGCGATGAGCGCAGAGGAGAAGAAGGCCGAGGAGGAATCGATCGGTGCTACCAGTGCACTTCCCAAGATCACTCAGGCTGGTTATTCAAGTCTGATGTACGTGCTCTTCCCCATTCCCACCAACGACGTCTTACATAATCTACTCTCTGCAGCTCATTCGGTACTTCACATGTGGCCCTGACGAAGTTCGAGCATGGACTATTCGGAAAGGCACGAAGGCACCCCAAGCCGCTGGTGTCATTCAGTTCGTTACTTCCTGTGTTCTTATTGTTGTTTCCTGACATATTTCTTAGCTCCGACTTCGAGAACAAATTCGTCTGTGGTGAAATCATGTCCTACGACGACCTTAGGGAGCACGGAAGCGAAGTTTCTGTGAAAGCCGCTGGCAAGCTTCGGCAGCAAGGAAAGCCATACGAAAGTAAGTCTCATGCATTCTACAATTTGACGAGTCGCTGACGGCAAGACCTAACTTCAGTGGTGGATGGTGATATTGCTTACTGGAAAGCGGGCGGCTGATCTATGATAATGCTAAGAAATTCAATTGTAAAATCATCAAGCCTCCATGCTATACAACGCGCCAGGTTGAAGCACAACCAGTTACACGGCACGTACATCCAAGTCTAGGAGCTGCACATCCACTTCACTTTACACACTCATGCCCAAAATCTGCGATGTGCAGAACACCGTTATCTATTGCCCCAGAAATGGCCCTTGAATTGGCAGAATTCGGGAGCAGACAGCCATCCGAGGGTGGTGGGGCCCACTAGAACAGGACCCATGAAAGAGGGAGAACCCTGATCTGGTACCTGCGGCGATCTGGTAGTAGGTGGCATTGTCTATTTATTGGCTAGTTTGATAAATCTGGGACCACGGGCGTATGTGTGTGCGGCTGGGAGCATTATTCTCGATCTACATAGACTGACGATCAGGCTGCCCACTTGCAAAGATTCTCCGGCAGATGGAAGTCAGGGGGGGTTGATGTTGAAACGTCGACCAGGTGAAGTTGTATAGATGGTTGTCGAGCAAGTCCGTAAATAGCGGAGATGTGATTGGCGGTGTTATAGATAAAAGTGAACAGTCATGGGCGCCTTTTATCTTCAGGCTAATTTCCTCCCACTATGTCTGACGAAGCCTTCGCTAATTCAGAGAAACTCTTTCGCGACGCTTTCGCCCTCTCCGATCCAGCCGCGGAGCTATTGAATCTACTCAAAGCACATCCCTCATACCCTGCCGTGGTCGATCTTTTGGTCTACTACACAGACGTGGTCGAAGAAAATCCTTCTCGCGCAAAGGCATTGGCATCCGCCTTGGTAGTAGTCCGCGACTCCCCAGACGCGCCCATCATTGGGGACGCCACCCTCGCCGAATACTTCAATCGCAAACTCGCTGACCTGCACTCTCGCGGGCTCGAGATGAGCGACGACACCGAGACATTTGGCCCAACCAACACCTACCTAGCCGCCTCCCTTCTCTCCGGATTCTCCTTAAAATACGGCTTAACTTCATCTTCTGATCAGTACGCAAGTATCGTCGAAAGCCTTGATGCCAGTGACAATTCGTCGACCTCCGAAGTCATTGTCATCGGGGCATGCATCCAGCTCCTGACAAATGGTTCCGGAATAATTCCAGCAGCCACATCATATATCAAATCGGCGAATGAAGTCGCTGCTAAACTCAAAGCTCAAAAATCCGCGGGGACGGTGAAAGATTCGAATGCCCTCGCTGTCCTGGAGGTTTGTCGATCGTTGAAGCAATGCATGAAAGCGAGGCTCAATCTATCCTTCAACAGCTTGCTATATCCCATGCTGAGAGCGGGTTCAAGAAAGAAAACGATATTGATAACGTGTGGGAGCTCCTTTTCCCATTACCAACATAAATATTACAAACGATTTAGGAACAAGGCTGTACGATGTCCAATGGGTGGCGATGTGTGCAATGATAACGATATCCCAAGCTTGAAAACCTGGTTGTCAATCATTGAGGGACTGAAGCACGGCGCAGATGCGGCTGGAGAAGGTCTTTTCATTCGCCTGATCATCCCATTCACTTGATCATTCTATTTGTCTTAGCAACGGTCGAGCAGTTATCGTCAAGAGTCCCTTGTCGCATTCATTCTGCATCAAGATACCGCCAAGAGCTGAAGTTAAGTCGTCCTTCCTAAGAGTCTTTGTATTTTCGCGAACTTGGACACACGCATATATTCAACGGAAAGGGTATAATACAGTCGTAGGCTACAACTTGCTGCAAATGCTATACCCCTCACTTTCTTTTACGTTTGCGCTCTTTCACCTGGAAGTGGTCGTTGTATCCGGTTCCTTTCGTTTTGTCTGTCCTGGATTGGTCGTGTGAGATTACCCCTTTAAATGTGTAGTGGCCGCCCTTGGTTTTCTGGGTAATGACACGAGCAGGGCTGGGGGTCGACGGGCCGTGGTGATTGGGAAGGGGGAACTCCCTGCCTGGCTGCGTATGTTTCTTTTTCTTGTCGACTGTCATATGGGGCAAAGGCTTGGTTCCTCCTCCAGGCTTGGGGGCTTCATGCGGGTAGTTATTGAAGCTCTACGAAAGGCATAAGGATCTAGCTGGAAATTTACTATCTTTCGACGGTGAACCCACCTTCAAAGGGGACTTCTTAGCTTGCGTCTTTGATAACGTCTTGACCCTTTGTGCTTCCCTATGACTGTCGAACACCGCCTTTCTGACATCCTTTCCAGTGTAAGTGTCTATCAATCCCAGCGGGTTAGCATGCAGACATGAATTCTAGATGAAGGCACACTGACGAGCGGGCTTGCCTCCTCCGGCAGGAACGTGGAATTTGGACGTCCGGGCAGGCAGGTTTGTCGTTTTCCTATGAGCCTTGGTGGCGGTTTGGAAACTCGTTTTCTTTGCTTCCTTATTCTTTGTCCTTTCGGTCCTCGCGACGGCGGCGCGGGCCTTCTGCGTTTTCGTTCTCTTGGGCTCACCCTTGAAGACTAAAGAATCCACTGAATCGTCTAGAAGGCTCTCTCGGATTTTAAGATCACGAGTTTCCACTTCATTGGATGGTATGACAAGTCCTGCTGCGAAGGAAGCAAGGAAGGTGACGGATAGAATGACGTTGAAGCGCATCTGGGAGAGGCAGAAGTCAATAGGTGGGGAGACATCATACTTGAGGAGGCATACAGTTGTGTGCTATAGCTCGCTACTTTTCGAGCACCGGCTGAAGGATCCAGACATCGGGGAGAACGTCAGTTCGAGCCGCATGGAAGCATGTCTACGCCTACTTACGCTGCGAATGCTTGGGGGAAAAGACCAGCTTTACCAAAGTATGTAAGTCGCAACACCGCTGTACTTTTATACTATGCGTCACATCAGTATAACAAAGTTATACCCCAAACTTGGCTCTATTGCACTGGAGCCACAAACCCGGCCAATGGGTACGGGAATGGCAAACATGATGCTGTGATTGTCAAACTAAGTTTGACACGAATCACTGAAGCTCTGGACGTAGCCTGATTCTAGCCAAAGGGTCTCTGGGACTCAGCTCTGCTACACCGTCCCAGTTGTTTTCACTTCAAGCGCCCAAGCGGCGTACCACGAGACGCCACCTCGGCTATCGCAAGAATTACCTGAAAAGGAATATTTCGCCTGATGGGAGTCGCAGCACCGCGAATCAGCCCGATCGGGAAGCGCCAGGTCGGGTATCCCGAACGTCACTGGGCACCAGAGGTTGATCAAGATTCAGCCAGCGCGTGGGTCTATCAACAGGGAAACAGCACCGATGGATTGTCATCAAAGGTAGAGCACTGCGCCCGGCGGTGATTGTAGGTCTAATAGGCACTTGATCTACCGCTGATCTCGGGTATGTGATATCGAACTTGGAGACCAAGGAGACGCACAAGAAGCAAGAATAGCCTCATGTCTGAGTCGGGCGCTAGGCGACTTAAAGCAGCTACCAAAAACTCGCATTCAACATTTCAACATGTTATCGGTTATCACCCCGCAGCTCCAGCCCCATCTGCCCCGCAGGAATATCGACAAACTGCACCCCCTGCATCTTTCCACCCGATAGTTGGGAGTTCCTTGTATCGTCGTCGGCTTTGCTGCAACAGGGAAAATGCTTTCCTGTCATCTGGGAATTCCGTACCAGCCGAAGGTCTGGCCAGGCTTGAAGTAACGTCGCCGGTGCTCGGATGAGCAGCTCAGAGCGTAGTGAAGGCGACCTTGCCCGAGCGGGATGGAGACATCTTCGCCTATGGTTGGAAGAAGGGCGTCACACTCTGGGGACTAACATCTTCGACCACCTATCGCTGCTTGTAGTAAGCGACGTGAGGTCCTTGCAGGACCGAGGAATAACCATCAACTCGCCAAGGTGTGTAGGTTTCTACACTTGTGCAGAAGCGCTATGGCGGCGGCGATGTGCTCAGGGTTCGAGGATATCACTCGCAAATGGTGTACGAATACTGCAAGGCGCGGGTACGACCGGACGAAGAGGTCGAAAGGGTTCACATAGTCAGGGTTGATGGGGCGAGTTGGGATATGAGGTAGAAAGTGAGTTTCTGAATTTGAATGGAGGTGTTTTTGGCGCCAACGAGCCAGGAATATACGCTGAGACATCCTGTCGTACAAGGATCCTACCCTTGGTGGGTTTGAGGTGAAAGGTAGAGAACGGGTATAAAGGATACTGTTGTTGATTGCATTGAGATTGCCCTAGAACAGGACCTCGAATTGGAACCATTCCGGAGTAGGACTTCATCCGACGCTCGTGGGGTGCATGGGTACACTTGAACAGAACCCTTGGAAGAGGGAGTTTTCAAGGAAAAACCCCAGGAGGTCGGAGAAGACCCGGCCCGACGAGTACTACCTCGGAGCAAACTTGGTTCAATGCCACCAAATCTCATGAGATGGTGGGTTTATCATTCGTGTTATAATGCTAGAAAAGATAATGGTAAAATCATCGAAAGCAAGTCCAATACTATACAAGACGGTGCAGACATAGAGACGTACTCGTAGAGCCAGGATTCAATACCTGCGGCGATCTGCTGGTAGGTCGCGTTGTCTGCTGGCATCCCACCGTCGACGGTCCATCTCCCGCTCCCGTTCTCGCTGCTGCATGTCGTAGTCTGAAGGCCTCTCGTACCTTGCAGACATTCTTCGCTCTTGTGGAGGTGTGCGGCTTCGGCTACGACTTCGTGGTCTTCTCTCGTGCGCCTCTCTTCGTTCTCTCGACCGGAACCGGGGAGAGCGGGATCGAGAAGGATGCCGGAGTGGCAGCTCCTTGTCCTTGAGCTGTGCGACACCATGAGCGCCGGTTTGGCTCAACCGCTTCAGCTCCTTCCTCGCCCGCTTCTCCTCCTTCCTTTGGCGCTTTTCTTCCTTTGCCCTTTTCCGGGCTGCTCGTGCCTCTGCTTCCTCAGGGTTTGTATCTGCGTTCGAACTGGAAGCAACTGCTATAGCATTGGCTCCGGAACCACCAGAGCCAGCGCCTGTGGTGGGCTCGTATCCTCTGTGGACGGGAGGTGTTTATTTAGGGTGTTGTGATGAAAGTTGACGGAACACGTACAACACAGCTGCGAGAGCTTCTGCTTCCAACGCTTTTATCTTTTGTATCTCCTCATTCCTAGCAGCCTCGCTTTGGTCTATATCTCGGTTATACCAATGAATATCCTTGTTTTTCTGCCATCGACCGGTAGGTGCATTGACGCTGTGGCCGAGATAATGCTGGAAAGTGCATGTGAGCCGACAAGAAGAAACACTCCCAAGAGAGTGGTAGACGTACCTCTCTGTCCTTGTCTGCCGAGACGTCAGACCATTTGAATTCAGCTTGACCGCCTCTAGTACCGCCGCGTACGGGTTCGAACATGGTGGGGACCGAGATGGACGTCAGGACGCTAAATGGGTTGTCTGATCATAACAAGCCACAACAAGCTGTGTGGATCCGTGACAGGCGTGACAACTGTTCACCTTGTACTGGGATGGCTCCCAAAAGCTCAGCTCCAGCCCAAAGTTCAGGCCTCCTTGCAGGCGTCTTCAGCTTCGTATCCAGGGAGTTTGACTCATTTGTAGCGAATGCGACAGGATCAACGGCTGCAGTGTGTTTTCTCCACGTTTTCTGGCCATGGAGCACAAATTCACGCGTTTATTATTTGCAGGGGCCATCCGCAAGCGCGTTATCAGACGAGGAGTTCGATGACTATACTTCGGACGAACGAGACCCGGCATACGATGACTCTAGAGAGGACTACGAACCAGCTTCACCCCCTCGCAAGCGTTCCAAATCAACAAAACATACCCGGCGCAGCGCGACACCAGATCCTCACCCCCGAAGGCGAAGTCATCATGAGGACAGGGCACCATCGCGTCAACCCAGGAGACCGCGCTCACCAGAGGTAGCCGATACCGAGGAGGGAGGTGCGTTAGGGAATTCACGTCTCGCTTTTCCATGACCAACGACAGCTTCTGTAGAACGAGAGTCGCCTCGTCCACCCTCTCCGCCGCCCCTTCCTCGCGCCCTCAAGCGGCGACCCTCTAACTCTATGCCAGGATCTCTCTTTCCAAGGTCTCCTTCCATTGAACCCGACCCAATCCCTGCTGCAGGGCGCGAGCACCGTGTACGCTTCTCGTCCAAAATTCCGGACTCGCCAGCCCCGCTCCAGAGGTCCCAGCACAAGCTCCCAGTCGAAGCTTCTCCCTCTGGCTCTTCATCGTCTCCAGGAACTCCTCGTCGGCGAAGCAGCATGGGTTCTTCTGTCCAAACGGTTGTGGATAAGTTCCATGTCGGCGAGCATGATGCTGGACCGTCGACTCTTTTGCCGAGCCCGCAGACATCTCCACATGCCCGTGGTCTGACGCGATACACCCAATCACGACGAATGGAGGCCGAAGACGAGCGGCCACGGAGTAGAGCCGACAAGGGCAAGGGACGGGCGACAGAAGACTTTAGTCAGGAATATGAAACATCCGGCTTCTTCAGGGTCAAGGGAAAGGAGAGGGAGTTGGTAGCTGCACGCGAGGAGATGGAAAAAAATGACCGACGCCTAAGGCGGGATGACGAAGGAGAATTGACGTTCCTGGTGAACGTTGAAGAGGACCGAAATAAGGACAAGGAGCGTATCAGGATGTTGGAAGAAGAAATTGCACGGTTGAAGGAAGAGGTGCGTTTATTATGCTTGACCCTCATTGACATCTTGTTGACTCTCTTGACCAGTTGATGAAGAGACCCCCGAACAGTGGAGGCCGAATGGCACCTCCACCTCCACCACCTCCGCCCCCGCCACCCCCACCTCATCGGATGACGACCCTCGGAATTCCAGGCGCTGCTTCAGATCAGCATAACCTCTTTGCATCTGCGCGTGCATCTCTGAAACAGGCGCCCACTCCTGTCGAGAATCCTATCAACCCACCTGTTGCTGTTCGAAGACGTGGCGTTGCGACGATGGGCGTTGCGCCTGATAAGATGGCCGCCTTCCTGCAGGAAATGAAAACCGTCAGGTTGCGCAAGGTCGGAAGACCCGAGTTGTCCGACCGTTCTACCTCATTGGACAGGGCCGCCTCAGATTCTTCGTTACGGCGGTCGATATCTCTGCAGCGTTCGATAGCATCGATTCCACCACCCTCTCGTGCCTCATCGAGCTCTACTACCACTCGTATTAGTCATCTGCCAGACACGGACTCCCGTGTTGGCGAGAAACGGAAGAGAGCCCTTACTGAACACCAAGAGGAGTCACGTAAGTTTCTGCTTCTCAGTAGCCTACTCTTTGCTGACACCTTCTTCCAGACGCCCCCCTACGCCGTCGTTCAGACATCTCATCCTCCACAGCAGCCAACACTACGACAAGCTTGAGCTCCAACACATCTAGCCAATCTGAGACATCATCTTTAACCTCATTATCTCAATCATACCCTGCTCGAACGAGCTTCGTGATCCCTCAACGGCCATGGCAGACGTCTTCAGTAACCGACGCACCAACACCATCTCTCTGCTCCGACAACTCTCTTGAGAGGGACGACACGAGCCCCGACGAGCAGCCACCTTCGACGCCGCCTGCGCCTGCAACGACGGGCCCGTCGAGATCTTTCTTCCGCTTCAAAGGCAACGGTATCCCCGTTGAACCTGCGACCGTGCAGAAGGACCCTGTGGATGTGGTCATGGAGGACGCTGGGCACAGAGACTACATCGAGCCGCTGCGGGACCACGACGAAGAAGAGCCTGCGCCTTCCTTCATCCCTAACAAGAGTAGTATCCAACCGCGCGGTAACATCTTCGACAAACGGCCTCCGTCGTCTCCGTTCCCTGACAAGTCTCCTCGGCGGCCTCGCCCTCCCACCTCTCGTACGAACGCACGTCCGCCTACACCTCGCCCTCCGCCTCAAGCCCATTCTGACGACGAGGATGAGGACGAAGACGATCCACTATCTCTACCGCCCTTCAACTCCCCGGAAAATCCATTCACCGAGACCACCTCGAACAAAGGCAAAGGCAAGGCACGCCAGACCAAGCCCAAGTCCGCCGTCGCCGAACCTCCAGCCCGAACTCTACCTTTACCTCCTAACTTTTCTCGATCGCCCTCTCCCTCATCCCGCCGACCATCCTCGCGGCACAGGTCGGCCTCACAGTCGAGCAGACGACTGACGCTCGACGAGGAGCTGCGGAATGCCAGCAGCAGCCCGTACCAAGAGCTCGACGACGACGACGACGATAGCCTAGAAAGCGGTGTTTTGACGGCTGTGGGCACGAGGAGCAAACGCCGGGGCTTCCTCGCTCGTGGTGGGGCAGGTGGCGCACCGGTGTTCATGGGTGTGGGTTACGTAGAAGGTGCTGAGGAAGACGAGGAGGATAGGAGAGGGCGTGTTCCTATAAAGCCCAAGCGGACGCAGCAGAGAGTGCAGGATGGGGATGATGGGGGTGACGATGAGTACCTTCCTTCTCGGTCCACAACTACGACGAGGAAGAGCAAGAGTCGGCGGCGGTGATCTGTATGGATCTTCGGATGGATCTTTTTCTTTTTGTACTGTTTTCTTCCTTTTCTTCCTTTCATGTTCTTATCTTTTGTATCTATCTATTCCTCGTGTTGCTTTGTGATAGTTAGATTTTTTGTCTTATCTGTTGTCGTTTACATATTTTGTTGTCAATGTCAGCTTTTCCTCTCTCAAACCTGACCCTACAATGAACCGGTGTGTCCAGAATCCAGGCGGCAGTGCTGTGTCATTACAGTCGTCGTAATACGAACAAGAGCATATGTAAAGGGGGCGGCTAAATGTACTTTAAATAGTCGTAGTAGCGAACATGGCCAGTGTACGTACGTATATATGGATGGAGGGCAGGGGGCGGGCAGAGGCGAAAAGGCAACAAAATATGTACTTAATGTCCATGAGCAAAAAGAAGAAAAAATAGTTAAATCATCAATCATCTCCTCCGAGTCGTACAACATACATCTATCCCCTCCTCCCTCCATCAACTAACCAATCTACCGGTATCCCTGGTAGCTCTCATACGTAGGCGGCGACTGGGTTCCTCCTCCAGCGATCGACGCCCTCACGGCCGCATACGGGTCCGCATACTGCATCGTCCTACTAACCATCGGGCCCCCAAGGTCCGGCTCAGGGATGAGCGGCGGACCCGCATTGCTCCTCCCAGGTGGCGGCGTGGCGTACCCGCCCGGCGCGCCGTACGTGGACGAGCCAAACCCGCTCGGGGCGGGGTCAGAGAACGCGCCGTAAGCGTCCATGCTGGGCCGTCCGGCGGCCGGGGCGTTGAGGGCGGGGGTGTACGCAGAGGGGCCCGTGTACCGGTGCTGGTCGGCGAAGGGCGACTGCTCGACGTCCGCGTCGTTGTCGTACCGGCCGTTGCTCGGTGCAGACGCATCCGTGTTGTTATAGTTGTTGTTGGTGTTGGTGGGCCGGGGCACCTGGACGTACCCCGCATCCTCATTCTCCTCTGGTTCTTCCTCGTCTTGTACTGGGCGCTGGAACGGGGGGTCTCTTGGCCCGTGGAGCTTGCCGGACCGCCATTCGAGGACAAGCACGACGAGTGATGCTGCCCAGAAAACTGCGGAACGCCATGCAATACATGAGAAAAGGTGTAAGCTGCGATGAAGCGCTAGACATACCAAAGGCGAGCCAGAAGAAGATCGCGCCTGCTTTCTTCGTGCTGCACCAGCCCCCAAGGCCGTTCTTAAAGTCGTCGCCCAGCTCTTCGGCGTGGGGGTCGTTATCGGCGTTTTTACAGCCTGGCTGGGTCCATGCAGAGATCGTCACGATGAAGCTACGCGTTCCAACGCGTCAGCTCTAGCCCAGCGATGAGAAGGGGGTCGACGTACGAGATTAGGAGACTGAACGTGACCCCTGTGCCAGTGAGGATGAACCCCACTCGGACCTCCTTTAGGGCGCGGGCCAGACGGACAAACTTGTCGTATCTCTCGTAGGCGACAGGTATGGCAAGCATGAATGCGGACAGGAACATGCCAGAGATGGCGACGAATAGCGCGAATCCCGTTAGGCCCGCTGCACAGATCCGCTTGGGTGAGTAAACGAAAACATGGGTATGAACGGAGAAACACACATGGGCCGACCTTCCATTTCGCCTGAAAGCTCGCGACGCTTGCAAAACAGCACATTGCAATGAAGTTGAAGAAGATCTGGGACGCATGGAAGATGATGGTGGGCTTTGAGACGATCATCTGCGGGTGGAATAAAACAAACGTAGGTCAGCAAGCATGTAAGACTAGGCGTTGCCCGATGCAACAAATGAAGAAAAAGAGCAGAACCCATAGCCAGACAACCCAAAAGGCGGGAATGAGCAGGAGAAAGGCGAGCTGCGCGTCGCTTGCGTTGCTCATCGAGAGCGTAGAAAGAACAACATTACGAGATTACGTAAGTTGCGCAGAGATGAATTAGACTGCTGCCCAGTGGGTGCCAGGGACGATATGGGTTCGCTGGAGGATGTGTGCTGCGGTTGGAGGAGAAGGAGAGGGTATACGGACATCGTCGTGCGTTGGTACCATGCCATGACCACTGCCTATTCCGCCTCCCAGTGGTTTTGACTTTGATGAGGGCCCAAAGCGGCCAGCGAGGTCAGTAATTTTGTCGAGCAGCCCCATAACGTTGAGGACGATGGTGGTGGTGGTAAGTAAAAGATATGTTCTGGCTGTGTTGCACTTGATGATGTAGGACGCCTAGCGAGCACGTGCCGCTGCTGCGTATCCAAATTCAATTTCACCTTACTCTAGGGTAGTAGTACTATCAAAGCAACGTCCAATGCAGATTATCGACTAAGTACTGGTATGCTGGCCTATTATCGTCCTCCATATGCATCGTAGCCCGCGGCCGGCGGCGGTGCAGGCGACACTGCCCTGCCGTACGCAGCATGCGGCCCGGGTGACATTCTCCCACCGTAGGCCGCCTGCGGCCCAGGAGACGAACGGCCACCATACGCCATCTGCGGCCCAGGGCTCTGTCTTCCCGCATCGTAGACCGGTTCAGCGCCGTACGCCACGTGCGGCCCAGGACTCATCCTTCCACCCATCTGGTTCATCGGAATAGCCTCGCCACCAACCCATTCTGGACCTCCATGTTCAATTGTCCCTGGCACAGGCCCGCGGTATGGGTCGTAGTAGCCTCCTACAGCAGTGGGGTCGTCACGGTACGGCTGGTTCGGGTTCATGTGCGGCAATGGCGGGACAGCATAAGGGTCAACCGCGGAAGAGGAGACATCAGCCGTCGAGTAGTTGTTGGAGGGCACGCGGGACAGCGAACCGTCCGAGCCCGTGTCGAAGCCCGAACGTCCAGTGCTCTTGACAGGAAGCGGATGAGAGTCTCCCGCACCAGAGTGGGAATTAAGATCAGGCCACTTGATAGCTTCGTCTGCGCAGCAAAGAGGGAGTTAGAGAACACGCTTCTTCCGGTTGCTGGGGAAGGGTAGTGCGTGTACGTACTGTCGTCGAAATCCGCAAAACGCTTGCGCGTGAACTTCCACACGAAGAAAGCAATGATGCCAATGACAGCAACACCGCCTGCGACTGACATTCCGATGATAGAACCTGTGCTGATGCCGCCGTCCTCATCCTCGTTGTTGGCGTTCGTCGCCGTCGCCGTTTCAGACGACGAAGTGACCGTGGCCGACCCAGTCACCGTTACCGTGGTTTGAACTCCATCGATGACTGTAACAGACTGCGAGAGTGAGGGGGTCGTTTGGAGATCAGTCTGAGGTGGCGGGGTGGTAGTAGTTGGGGGCGGTGGGGTGGTAGTCGATGTTTCTGTCTCGCTGAGGGTTGTGGAAGTAGTTGTCTGACTTGTTTCTGTGGTCGTGGTGGAGGTAGAAGTTTCACTGGTGGTGGTCGCGGTGGTGGAGGTGGACGTCTCGGTCGACGACTGGCCTGGCGGTGGAAGCTGACGATTCTGGAGCGAGGCTGAGTGAGTGGTCGCGGTGGTGGAGGTGGACGTCTCGGTCGACGACTGGCCTGGCGGTGGAAGCTGACGATTCTGGAGCGAGGCTACGACGGGGAGAGCGAATACTAAGAAAAGGAGAGAAGTGAAGAGAACCGACTTAAGGGGCTTCATTAGTAGAGAACGTAGGAGGAAGCAGTGGAAGAAACAGAAAACCGGTGCAGCCACTCTACCCTGTGCTTGCTTCTGTTTGGCAACGCCCTCCTGCTCCTCCTTCCCCTCAACCTCAACTCCCGCCGCCCTCGCGTTTTCAAAATCAATCTCAACATTGTCCTACGACATACCTGGGTCCTAAATCAGAAATTATTCCGAACAAAGTTAAGACACGAGGAGACTGTCGGTTTTGCCGGGTGCAGGTACGTCATACACGCGTGTTTTCGTCGTTTACTGTTCCTTAACCTTCTCTGAAATCAGAACATGCGGCCGCAGGCCGTGCCCGTCCTCGTACTCAGCTCAATTTTTTTTAGCAGACATGAACCGCCTCTCTTCCAGTAGAAGCCTCGCGGCCTTCTGACGGCTCTTAATGACTCATTTGGCGCCCGAGCGTCAAACACATAACACAAGGCGTCACGCCTAGCGCGGGCCAAATGGCTATGCATATGCCCATCTTTTTGTCGCTGCTGTGTCATTTCGCGACGATATAACACCAGGACCGTCCATCTCAATGCGTTAGCTGCGTGCCCCGGACGCACCGTACCCTCTCTCCAGGTGGAGTGGTGCATTCGAACAGGCAGCAGTAAGCGCCCGCCCAGGCGGCAGGAATACGAGTAGCATCGCCTTCCACGTGCCCTAGACCAGGCCCTCTTCCTAGGACGTGCAGTAAAGCTGGCTGTGTGCGAACAACGCGACATATAAGAAACCTAGCCCAGCCTGAGTACTCTATCGCCAACTCCATTGACCTCCTTCAATAGTATAAGAATATCATGGATTCCACTCCATTTTCCTCAACCTTGTAGGTGCTCTTCTACCTCACTCGACACCAACTACTGACCACCTCCTAGCGTTAACTTTCCTCGTTCATCAACCCCACCTGATGCGGATACAGAGGTGTCCATCAGCGTTATAGAGGTCGCAGGTTCGTTCGATCCCCTGCACCCCCCATATCAATGACCTCATATTCTCGTATAGGTGATGCCGCTGGCGATAACAATGCGCAATATACCCACACTATAGCCCCTACCCCGCATTCCCCTGGATTATTGTCCCCCACCAACTGGCACCAGGATCGGCCGCATCACGTTAACTTCATCCACCCCCGTTCAGCACCTCCGACGCCCCAAGTTGGGTTTAATACTATGTACCATATGAGGCAGTCATTCTCTCGTTCCGAAGAGAACCTGGTGTTGTCCCAGGATTACACCCTCTCTGCTCTCAATTCGCCTTCTCCTGGTATATTCTACCCCTTCTTGAGTTGACGTTGGCTGAATTCCTCGTCTTAGGTGCTGAATCAGAGTATTCTTTCACATCTGACCAAGTAGATGGCCATCCACCTCACTCTCCCATCAGCGATACATCCTCAATACCTCAACCCGCGTTCAGTTTCCCCGCGAACGCTGGATCCGATAGCCCGCCGTCCTCTCGTTCAGATGGCCAAAATGCCTCTGATGGTTTGCACCTGTCGCCTCACGGTAAGTGCTCAATTCTGTGAACAGCATGGTTTTGCTAAAACCGTTTACAGCCTCACCTCAACGCAACTTTTTTACTGCTCCAGGACGTCTTGCAACTTTACAGCGCAGATTACACACCGTCTCAGATTCCAGGACTCTGAATCGCCTCCACCAATTTTCCCCTTCGCCCAGCCCAACACATCTTCGTACCGCCTTGCCTCCGGACGATTGCCTTGGGTCCTCAACAAACAATGGAACACGCCTATATCTGACAGACCCACTGGATGACCCTTGTATCAACGTTCCCGAAGACCCCCTCTTTGGAGGATATTCCTCTGACATCTCTTTCGATCGCATCCCTCCCTTGTACAACATGCCAACATCTGGCTCCTCTTCCTCCTCTTTCCTTGCATCTCCCGCCTCTGCCTCCAATGCCAATGCCTTTTTCAACCCCAACATGTCAACCAGCTGCACCCTAGGAAATACACCAGTCTTACAACTTGGGGCTCATGATCAATCGGGAAATCTCCTCGGCGACTTCCAGCTCGACAACGACAATTGGATGCAGGGGATGGAACAAGCCTCGCTCATTGAATCGCAGCAGGCATCATCTTCCAGTCAACTGAATCCCGTGCCTTACCAAGCGGCTCCCACCACGTCTTCAGCTGCCAACGCCCTTGCGACCCATTTGGCAGGCCGGAATTTTTCTGCTGGATCTGCTAGCGTACAACAGGCAGGATCGGTAAACACCTTCATCCCGGTATCTGTGGAGGATGGCGCGTCCGAAGAGATGAAAGAGCAAATGGTGGATCTGTTGGCAGACTCCCGAAGCCGTACAGAGGCCGTACAAAAGATCCATGCTCTTGGCGTAGAAAAACGCAGCTCTGCGCCAGATGAGCTGCTTCTGAAGGCAGCCGGCCGAAAAGTCGGCACGGATGAAGTGCGAAATGCAGCGCACAAACGAAAGCTAAAGTCAGCCGCCTTCAAATGTGTACTTTGCCCTTACGAATTGACCGCGAAAGACAATTTGAAAAGTGAGTCATATTTCCGTTTTATTATCTTCTTGGAAAATCTGACAGAGGATGCTGCAAAGACCATTACCGATCGCATCTGGACTACAAGCCATGCCGTTGCACCATGGATAGTTGCGGAATGGGCTTTGGAAATCCCTCGGGACTCAAGCGTCACATGGAGAAGAAACATCATTTCCGCCAACCCCTCAAACGCGGCGCTACTCGGTCGAAGAGTGTGCATCGGCCAGAAAGCTGAGAGTTCCGCTCAGCAGGGTCATTAGCATGAGTTATTTATTTTTCCGCGCCCTGGACGGTGCGGAAAGGTTTCATGCAGTGCTCCGATTTTTTCACCACCTTTCCTGCATACCTCTATGCTCTTTCCATCAACGACCGCCTATGCAACTCCTCTAGAGGTGTGCTTCCGACCCTGTCATTTTACTCCCTGCGCCTCGACGTCGCTCGCTATTTATCAGCAAGACTGCACACCCGCGCCAATTGCACAGAGATACGAGTGCAACGGCCGTGTCATTTGTGCACTTGAAGCAAGACCCCGAAGCTCTCTAACCCGCGCGATTTCCCCTACACGGTACTGCCGTCCACTGCACTAGTGTGCAGAGTGCACAATTCCTGTCGTCCAATTGACATAGCGCCTGTGCTTACTTTCTGATGGACGGCGTTGACCTTTCTGCAATTCGCTTCGTTCCCATGATTTATCATTACTCTACAGCCTTGCTTTTTATTCGTAATCTTAGAATCTTTATTACTTCTGACCCCACCCCACCCCACCCCCAACCTCGCGTTTTCAGATTGGAGCACTTTTTCATGTTTTCCGAGCCAAATCTGCATTCTTCCTATATTCCGGGCTTTCTACTTTTAATCTTCGTGCCGATCTTTTCCGCAAATCCGCCCAAGTGCGGGAGCCTACTCCTTTCATTGAACCGTTCTAACGTTAGATCTTCCCGCTTTTTACAGCATGCAACACTGCCTCGATGAACCAGGTACTGTGTATGTTCTCCTTTGCTCAGTGGCACGCACAGCTTCAACACTGCACGTGAGACGAGGTGTGTAGCGCCTTCACTTCGGTGTATATATATCGTTGACTCGCTTTTGTCCTTTAGAGCCCTCTGCCCACCGAAACCTGCAACGTATCGCGGCAGCATCTTCATGAATCCCTACTCTCATCACATGCCGGGCCTTTACATCCCTTCTATGGTCGATGGTGATCTCTTCGAGCCGTCCACACAACATCAGGAACCGGGTTCTGACGGACAATGTACGCGCAATTCTTCACGCGTTTGTCACGTCAATACTTAAACCCCTCTGCTAGGGTCACATGGATTCGGCACCGACACTCGATACACTCAGATGCGAGACCCTCTTGCGCAGGGTTACGATCTCACAAGTGATTACGCGCCTTCGCCCTTGCCCACTCATTTATCATCTCCCTCCATGTCACCTGTACTGCCCCATTCGCCGTCTGATAATTTTCCAAATGTAGACGGTTTGTAAACGTTGTCTGACAGCGGAATGCTTGAGTACTGAATATCAATGTCAGGACTGAGGCTTTCATCTCCCTCCGTATCTCCTTACTCTCCTTACAATACCGGTCTATCAGTATCTTCCCATTCGTCAGGGAAAACCGAGCCATCTCCTCAACTTCTACCTCCCAGTCGCAACGATTTTTCAAGGACTTCAGCGTTTCTCAACACCACCTCTCTTCTACCGCCGAATGGGATCAAGAGATCTGCAAGTCGATCAGCTCCTCAGTCGCCTCACCCAACGTACCGCGACCCAAACATGTCGTTCATCTTTCCTCCAATGTTTCCAGACTCGCCCTCGACGTCTAAGTATCATGCCAGTCATTCTCCTACCAGCCCGGAGATCTCGCCCTCCATCTCGGAACCTTTCCGTCATGATGATCATCTCCGCTCCCCTTCGATTGTTGTGGAGTATGCTGGAGGTTCCGAGAGCGCCCCTACAGGACCTTCTACCACAAATCACACATTCGGACTATCATCTCAGCATCCCGCGATGCAGTCTTTGGAATATTTCCAGCAGCAGAGCCCGGTGTTCATACCTCCCGATAGTGGTCCACCAAACGCCTACGCACCTCATTCGTCTGCTCCTCCCGGTCATGGCTTTGCCTTTGCAAGGGATGTCGACACCATGGGCATGGATCCGCTTTCTGGCGCCTCTCCCAAGCCGGAACACATCCGGAAATCCTTGATGTCGCAGTACCAGGACTGGCAAAACAATGCCAAGGTCATGAAGATTTTTAGCAAAGCTGCTAAGGACAAGGTGTCCACTGTTGCTGGTCTCAGGGCTAGCTTACAACGCAGGAAAACTATCGCGAAGTTTTTTTGCGAACACTGCGGTTCTTCTTTCACGAGGAAGCACAACCTCAACAGTAAGGCTGTCTTCCTCTTCTTGTACGCAGTCTATCTGAATGAGTGCCTTCCAGACCATCTAAAGTCTCACTATGGCATCACCGATCTGGAATGCCAATACTGCGGCAATCCGTTCACTACAATCCCAGTGAAGAAACGCCATGAAGATACCTGTAAGGAAAATCCCGACAGAAAGCCCTCTACCTCGACGAAGAAACCCGCTTCCAGCTGAGGCTTAACGCACACATTGCATGGTCTTACGATTCTATAAGTCTACAATAACAATCTCTGGATACCCCTCCGTTCTCCTGCTCTCTCATTTGCTTTGTAGCCCCAGTCACGTCTAGCATTGTTTTCGCTCTTATATCCTACATTGGTTATGACAAGAATCACGCCCCTCTGCAGATCTCAATCACCGTCATGTATCAAGTCATGTATCAAGTCAGTTAAATAATCCATAGAGATGTATCCTTCATGACGTCGAAGTACATAGAGCGGCGAGACTAGTATCAATTTTCATTTCTGCTATCTTGCTCTCGTTTCTAAGTATCTTCCATATCGGCTTCTCTGATATAGACTCTGATGACCAGTTTGAGCCCACTTTTAGCGCCCGTCCTAAACTTAAGGTTTACCACCCACGACCCCCCTCACACCCTCACCCCCCGTTCTTCTCACCCCTTCAATTCACGAGCTTGGCATGTTCCAAACACCGGCAGATCGCCAACAGCCGGTGGCCGAGACTCAAGGTAAGGGCGACTCCTGATTCTCGGCACCTTCTCACCCCCCTTCTCGGTGCATGTGACTCGGATTACAGCACGGACAGGACCCTCCGCCCAACTGCAAGATCTAGTTATCTATGATCGTGGTCTCGAAGCACCCTCTCCTGCACCCCAGCATGAAGCTTCACCGCCCACGGAAAATGCGCAGCACTTGACGGTTCGTCATGATCCCGGCAGGGCGACGGGCGCCTATTTGTCCACAACCCCTTCCAGGTCAACTCCAATGCAGGACACCGTCAATTTGGTTAAATGCGACAAAGACTCTGCGGACGCGTCGGCCTTCGCAAGCTCGAACCCGTTCACAGATACTTGATGCCGCAATACGAGGACTGGCGAGACAGCGCCAAGGTCATGGACCTCTTTTGCAAAGCTGCTAAGGACAAGGTGTCCTGTCGCCGGTCTGAGGGCCAACTTACAACACAGGAAGATTGTCACCAGGTTCTTCTGCGAATACTGCAGTTGTTTGTTTACGAGGAAGCACTGTGCTGCAGCACAACCTAAATAGTACGACGGTTATCGATTCCTCAAGTTCTTCCCCATTGCGCAGCATCTGGACGACTGCCTACCAGATCATCTTAAGTCGAATTACGGTATTATTTAACGATCTACAGTGTCAGTTCTGCGGGCATCCATTCGCAATGGTACCGGTGACGTCACGAAGATACCCAACAGCGACTTGCCGTTCACATCTTCAAGGGAAGCTACGGTTTGCTGAGGCGCAGAATAAATTATAATGCTATATCTATCAAAAACGAGTCCCTACGCCTCGTCGTTCTTATTTTTAGCTCCTCTATCCCAATCTTCTTCTCTGTCATTTATTGTGTAACTCGGACGCGAGTCGACGACGGACGTGTTTTTCAAAGTTGTAACTCGGTACGGCATGAAGACTCTACTCTGGAGTCTACCGTCTGCGCAAACTATGTCTTATTTATATAAAAAATTATTTCCCTATTTATTGGTGTTGGCAATGAATACATCTTCAAGCTGAGTTGGCTTGCAGAGGAACCAGGATGCGGTAGTGACTGTTCGGGCGTGACATGCAGTCGCGCCTTCTTGTCATGTTTCTTCCATCGTCTGCAGCAATTCCCCCCGCTCCGCGGCTCCAGACTTTACATTCTGCATAAAATCCTGAACTTAATGTCTCCCCCGAAAAGGCGTAAACTCGACCGCAAGCCGCTAGACGATGCTGAAGAGCCCTTTGCTGGTCCTCTTTTGTCCGACATTAATGCAGAAATTGGCATTGAGATCGCTCTGCGACAGCGACTCCTTGACACTGTACAGTCGAGAATAACCTGGGCTGTGCTCCTTCAAGAGTCTCTGCAACAACAAGGCATAGTTTTCTCTACATTTTCCGAGAGCAAAATCAAACTTATTACGACAGCTAATGGATCTGCGTCCTCGGAGACTTTTCGAAACGTTGCCCTCGATACCCTGTCCATTATTGAAGCACCTTCCAACTGCATCCTATCTCGTGATCCTATCCCGCCTCCATCTGCCGTCCAACGTGCTCCTCGGCCCCCTCCTCGCAAGAATTTGATGCCAAATCATGCGAAATCCAAGCCTTCGTTTCTGTATATTGGATCTTCTGCTCTTCATCACCCGAACGAAGCTTCTTCACGGCCTAATTTCTACCTCCTCAAATGCCCTCGCTGCTCTCGAACGACCTTCACATCCTTGCAGGGTCTGCTAAATCATGCTCGTCTGACGCATAATCTAGAATGGGGGACCCATGATGAATGTATTCGAGCTTGTGCTGCGCCATGCGATGATTTGGAGGTGGATTGTGGCATAGAAGTTGGGACAGGTCCGACAGGTGTGCTACCTGCACTGCGGACCATATTTCAGCTGGCTGTTGGCGGACAAGGTTCTGCGGAGAAGGACGTAACCGTCACTATTCAACAACCAGACAGTGCAATGAACACCTCCAGCACTGCGCCTCCCACAACCCATCTAAATAAAACACTCGGATTGCACGAAAACTCGCCCGCTCTGGCACCATTTCTTGGAAAAGAGCCCATCCGCCGACAAATCAAGGTTGTTAATGGGAATGCCGACGTCGATATTGAGACGACGAACGAATCCGGCGTAACGGCAAAGCGTGGCTGGAGGTTGCCTTTCACGCATCGCAACTTTGAATTGAATGCAGAGTCCGAGTCGCAGGATCTATCACCTGAATCTGACACTCCTTCCCAGCTTGACCGCATGAAGGCTAGTTCAACGGTACGTTATGCACCCCAGATATACCTTAAGAACACACGAAGGGCTCAACGCTAATTCTATATGCCCACATCGAAGGTATCTGCTCAGACCAGGTTCTATATCATTTCACGGATTGTAATCACCGATGGAAGCATGTGGATACCTCCAGGTGTGTACCTCCCTTCCCTTGGCCACCCAGAACTCTACTCAGACCGAGTCAATCACAGAAAAAAGAACGCCTGAGCACCAAGAGTATACGCATAAGTGGATGATCTCGGTGGATTCGCCGTCATATGTAAGCCGTCGAGCATCTGATACAATGCTTCCATCTTACTGTATGTGCTAGACTCATCACATAACTACACTTCTTGAAAGTCTCAAGGTTACAGCCTCTGATTCGAGCCTCTCGATGCCTGCAATACCTGTAGTGACAAGCCCACCCTTTGTGGTGTTTGGTTTCTCAGATAGACCGTTCCTCGCAAGAATCGACTTGTCTTTTTGCGGAACGCCTTCTCAAGGGAAACAGATTCATGTCTTTTATCATTGGGTTGATGTACGTTCACAACAATATGCAGAAGCGTGCACATTCTTTTGACGCCGTTTTTAGTTAGACCCTATCCATACCTCACAGGTTGTGATGGGAGAAGAACAAATGGTGGATGTCGAGCTGGACAAGAACACGGCTGTGAAACCCCCACAGCTCAATTACACTCCTGGCCTTTCGAAAAGCCTCTGGAACATGCCAGTGAATGGCAACAGCAGCCGAGGCGTGCAGGCGAAACAAGACGAAGGCGGTGACGCCCTTGAAATATGCTCTGATGCAGACGATGAAAATATCTTATCGAAGATAGCAAAACAGTTTCCTATGACGCGCAAAGGTTCGTCTGGTGCTTGACCCTCCTATCCTCCATCTCTGAGCAAGGCTCAGATATCAAGGGACCTCGACCGCAAGGCGTCGACTTACCATACTTCCTTGCCTCTGATCCAATGCACTTTAAAAGCCTGGTGGTCGGACGCAGAAAAGCGATCGAGGTAGGCCCGTTTCGCCCTCGTCTTTTTTTCCGACTCTAAAGTCCCACAGTGGGCTCGTGCGCGAGCTGTTCAACTCGCATATAATGAGGTTGTTCAAAAAGATAACCAGCAGCCATCTATATGTCTATCAGTTGGAGATGTCTACTCCTGGATGTCGGAACATCACCATTTCCACAGAAGCCAACCTCCCATCGTGAAAGAGGACCCGAATACTTTGAGCAGCTTCAACGGAGAACCTCCGACGTGGTGTCGCATTTGTGGCCTTGAAGCGAAGCTGCATCGTATCCGCAATATTGTCAAATCGGAAGCATCAGTTCAAGAAACGGAATTCAAGCGCGAATCAATCTCATCTCCTGCCGCTTCTCCAACTACTTGTCTTGAATGCCCATTTTCTCCTCAAACTCTGCAAGTCCCGAAATTATCGAAAGTTGACATTCATCAACTCTTGTTCAGGTCCTGTGAATCCTCACAACGACGTGCCCAAAGGTTTCCAGACCCAATTCTTTGCGATGGCAAGGCCTTGGTTTCCTCGGCCGACCCTCATCTCACTCTATCCATTCGAAAGCTAGTCGAGACCACCCGTTCCGTGAATCCTGCGGATGCACCGCATTCATTGTTTCCAATATCCGAACTGGGAGATGACGCAAAAGAGGTAGAGAAGGCACTCGCTCCGCATGCCCTCCTGTCCCTCCTGACCAGACCATTCATCCACACTCTGATTCGCCGCGGTCTCGCAGCCTCCGACCGCGATAAAGCGACATCCGTGGCTACTCCCTCAACGTCCAGAACGACCCGGAAGGCTGACTCCAAGCTGACTCGCCTGCTGACCCCACGACACATCCTCTCCGGGATTCTAACACGCGGTCCAGAAGCCGCTCAGGATCCATTGGATGACGTCCTCCGGACGTGCCTTTCGAAGCTGGGAGTCGCTGTCGATGATGACTTGCCAGCTCCTAGTCGCCAAGGCGAATCTGGCGTGAGGGTGAAGACGGAAGAGGAGCTGGTGTCCCTCTCATCAATGAACCCAGCCAGCCTGTAAAATGGGACAATCCAACCCCACTGCCTTGCTGGTTCAAACAGACGATAGTGAGCTCCGAGGAGAATATGTGGCGCACTCCGCGTATCGAACAACATCTACCCGTATCCGCAGCTAACTATATTCCACATACGCCCACTCCAACCTTTTCCTCTACCTCTACCTTCTAAACGAAAGTTCATCTCAGCGGCTGTAGTGGTACATCTCCCGCAGTACACCGAAGGGGCGACGATTCCAGGCGAATTTACAGGACCGGCCATCCAACTAGCTTCGATGAACGATAGAAGCCCTCTGCCCAATGATGGCTTCTTCGCGCAATGAGTCGCCCTCGTATAAAGGCGGGTACCCTTGTCTGCTCTAGCATCAAGCAACGCATCGACGCTCAAGTTCCCCTTTGTTTCAACTTTTTCTTCTCTATATCTCGCTCTCGCCTGGCTGCTGGCTGAGCCCCGACGCGTCAAGCATTTCTTTGTTCGTCATTCGCCATGGTCTCTCTCAAGACACAATTTGTTTTCACTGCGCTTTTCGTTGCTGGTAGTGCCAGCGCCGCTGGGCACATCAAGAGACACGGTTTCCAGCACCACCACCACAGCCAGTGCCGGTCGCGCCTGGCTTCATCGACTGAGGTAGCGGCCTCCTCCGACCTCCTCGTCGCCCACCCGCACTCAACGGCGCGTCATCACCCCGCCACAACCGCAGCCACAACGTCCAAATTTGTAACCAGTATCAGGCCAGCGACGTCGACGTCTGCAATCGTACACCACAGCTCGAGTTCCGCTGTTGTTCATACGACAACGACGAATCTGCATCTTCCAACACCAACCACCTCCACCACCCATGTGACTACAACGACGGTTACTCCTGCTCCAACAACCACTACCATGCTTGCGAACCTGCCGACAACCTCCAAAGCGGCTGTAGCCCCACACGCGGCCTCGCTCGTTCCAAACAACGTCAAGGCGGGCATCGCTGGAGGCGACGCCTACCCGTACATGAAAGATCACATCGGGTGGTGGTACGACTGGTACGGACTCTCTTCCCCTTCCACGCCATTTCCCTTCAATCTCAACATCTTTATGACCGCAGGTCCCCAGATCCCTCCAAACCTGGCACACCCATTGCCGTGCCCATGCTCTGGGGTGGCGGTACCGCTGACAGCCAAGACGCGCAGCGTCTTGCTGCCTTTGAGCATCTCTCCACGGCCCCAAGCTACGTGCTCGGATTCGAGGAGCCAGACTGCCCCAGTGGCTCTGGCTCCGCCGGCATGAGCGTAGAGGACGGAGTGGCCAAGTGGGAGGAGCTGATCGCTCCGCTCAGGAAGAAGGGGACGAAGCTGGGGAGCCCGTCGATGTGCAGTAGGTGTCCGGTCTTTTCTCATATGGGACGATTTATTGAGACTATTTCTGCGGAATTGCAGAGCAGATCGACGAGACCTGGTTGGCAGAGTTCGCGCAGAAGATCACAACTCCTTGGGATTTTACGGCGGTGCACATCAACAAGAACAACTTGGACGGCGTCAAGAAGGACATAGTATGTTCTTACTTCTCCGCGTAACACTTCGGGAAATATTGACGCGACTGCAGGCTCATTACATGACCTATGGTAAGCCCATCTGGGTGACCGAGTTCGCCTGCGTCAATGGTACGTCCTTCCCTTCTTGCTCCGTTCTTCCTTCCCCTCATGCCTGGTGATCATATATTCCAGACCACAACGGCTTCGTCCCATGCACCGACCAAAAAGAGATCAACAACTTCATCAACGAGGTCGTGCCTTACTTCGAGAGCGAGCCAAACGTGTACGCCTATGCGTACAGTAATGGCCTGGGGCTTGGAGACGTTTGGCCGCTCATGAATGGGAATTCGCTGAGGTACGACTTGAGTTTATACTGTATGTTCATCTGGAACTTATACTTGGTGTCGTTGGAATAGCGAATCTGGACGGACGTACCTTGCTGCCATCAGCCAATTCCACTAACGGAAAGTCGAAAGCAGTAGTGCAGGTATTTCAGTGGGGAGGACGATGGTGTTCTTGTGTTATCGTCGAGAAAGGAGCTTCTTGCTTATTGTTTTCGTTCATCCTGGAGAGCTTGTTGAATGTTACTGGCCATAAAATAATTTTGAATATAGAGTAGCATGCGCTGGCACGGTTGCCGAATCGTCCATGGAATCATCCCCATCCCCCTGAGTATGGGACATCCTTGAGGCCAAGTCTTCAAGCTTCAAATTCCTTGCTGGACACCGAATTCGAAGGCCCAATCTTACCCTGGACAAGCTGGCATTATCGACTGCAATTTCTTGTCAGAATTCTATTATCAATATAAAAGACGGATGTAACAACCTTGCCGCAAGTCGAATCACAAGATGCCGCCCACAACTCCGGGTCCACAACCTCTCTCTCTGAGGGCGTCTAACTCTGGATCCACCGAATATATGCGCATAAAATGTATTTCTCGTTCATGAAGCGAATATATGCGTCTTGTTGCTCGGGAGAATGGGAGCTCTGAGAGCTGGGGTGTCAAATGAAGGCTACTCCAAGTCAGTATTTGGACATGCAAAAAGGGGAATAATAACGCACGAGGCCATCTCTCCTCCTCTCCTTCTAGATATCACCATATACAACACTCGATGAGCAATAATAGGGTTTCCTTCTAAAATATATGCGGCTGGTTGCTCAAGAAAATCGGTTAATTGCAGCCCCGAGTCGCCGACTGAACAGATCTGTATCTGTTCGTGTCAGCAGTTGTTTGGCAGTATGAAAGATGAACGTACGGAGGATGTCCACCTTACCCAAAACCCTTCACCACCAGTCGCGATATCTGCAACATTTGGTTGACAATCACGAGTGCCCGCGTGCCCTGGCTCCCTCCAGTCGCCCGCCTTTTCTCTTAGCTATAAGAGACACTTGGCGCTGAATGTAACGTGTGCGCAGTTTCGTCGTTTCAAACGGCTTCCTTGCAGGAATGGAAGCCAAACTCAACAAGGAGATAATTGGTACGACTCTTCGGCCAAAGCGGTGAGTCTGCTGCGTTTTCTGCGTCCGCGTTGAAGGTGAAACCCAGGTCGGAGCTATAGACGGTGGAAGTAAGGGAGAAAACGACGTCTCAACCGGGTTAAACTAGGGGTTTTGACGACGCAAATCTGCTGCCTGATAAACTTCCCGAGAACGTGGAGATCGTCTTTTATCGACTCCATGAAGACTTGCGGGGGAAGCATGGGACTGCTCCCATGTCGAAGTTGCTGTGTTGCTGCCGCACTGTTCGTGAAGTGAGATTGCTCGTCGTGGTTGATGCCAAAGTTGGGAACACGGCTAATCGCTGTTGTTGACGCCGGATATACTTGGCACTCACTGCACATATGCTCGTAGTCGTTGTCTCTATTGACTACTGGCTGTCCGTAGCCTGCAATGAAAGGATACAATGCAACGCCCTGATGGAGAACAACGAGGACGGCGTCGGATGCACACCTTATAAGCTAGAGAATGTGCGGGCCAGGTACGCTCTATTTGACATTCGATCTTCATCACTTCGCTTCCCCTAGACTGCTTTCATTCATCCCGCTCTGCTATTTTCTTTTTTCCTCCCGCCTTGATGACCCACGAATGGCCCTAGCACAGCGCCTCAACGAACTTGCTGTCGCAAACTCTGACGGCCTCCTAAAGTGCGTGCTCATCGTTGCCGGTGTCTTGCTCGTCATCGCTGATCGTGTGCTCCCCACAGTGACGACGAATACCGCCTCCTGCGACAGAGCATCTTCGAGCAGCACTCGACGACGCTGGTGATCCCCGTAGAGGCCCCCATCGTCCCTTTAGCCCGCGTCCACGTCCAGCTGCGTGGTTGTAAGCCCCTGTCCCCATCATGCTTCCCAGTCCCACAGCTCACTTCTTGGCTTCTCAGCGACGTCCTCGCCCTCACCAGCCCATCGGCGACCACCAGAGAAGGCTTCTCTCGACCCGCGCAAGCCGCCAGCGTCGCCATCGCCAGTTCGCCCTTCCAAATCCTCTAGCGGAATCACCAACCTCCTCCGACGTGCGACAGGCCGCAAGACGCCCAACCCCCCTCCTAATGGCCCTCCGACGACACCCAAAGACTCACGTACGGGCCCCACCGACACTCCGAAGCGTGGCGCACTCTTTCCTCGGCTTCTCAACAAGAAGCGCTCCACCGCCGAGCTTCCACCGCGCCCTGACACTTCTCGCAGCATTCCAGTAACAGATCACCAGCCCCGCACACCCCGGCTGGTCGTCGATGACGCCCTCTCCCCTCATTCACCGCGTTCCACCCGCTCACGAGCTCCCAGCACCTCGAACTCGTCCCACCAGCACCACCAGCCTTCAACATCCACATCCACGACATCCACCTCCGGCATGCCCCTCGTGCCCCTACCAGACGTTTTCGACGAATCCAACCTCCTTACCGCGCGCGACATACGAGCGACGATTGCCATCACCGAGGACGAGGCTCGGCGGCTCGTCGACGCGTTCCACAACCTTGAGGCGAGCACCCTGCGACGGATCCAGAAGCAGCGCGCGCGTCGCCTACCCGCCCCAGGCCCCACGAGCGTCGACGTCCTTCTCGAGGGCCGCGAATGGCGCGAGCACCGGCTTGTCTCGTCGCCTTCCTCCCCGCCCTTTCCCTCCGGGTCTCGGTCGAAGCAGATCTTGGGTTCGCTTGAAGCTCAGAGCAAAGGGCACCCCGGAACGGGAACGGGCACAGGGAGTGATGGCATGTCGATCCGCTCAGGGTCGTCGAACCGCACGACCCTGTCCGCGTCCAGGTCGATTTCGTCCCTGCCGAAACTCTTTTCATCGACATCCTCCCATTCATCGACTTCAACGACGTCCCCGCTATCCCCCCACTTCCGGAACGCGAGCAGCACGTTGCCGAGGAAGGGGTCGGTGTCATCGGTGTCGTCGCAAGCGCCGTCCTTCAAGCTTGCCTCAGCAGTTGGGCAACCGAGCCTGAGCCCGCCCAGCTCCCTGTCGAGGAGCACGTCGCACCTTGCTCTACGGAGCCTCAAGCTCAAGCATTCAATCGGGATGAAGTCAAGCGACACGGTTGGCCTGAGGAATTTAAGCCCGACGTCACCCACAACTTCCGCTGAAAGTGCAGGACCGAGTATGACAGGCGATCCGGAGATCGACGACGATCCTGAGCTGGTGGATATCCGGAAAAGGCGGGAGGACCTGGTGGCTCGATATACCGCCCGCCTGGAGTTTCTGAAAGCGAAGCTGAAAGGCGCAGAACTTCACGAGAAGCTGCTGAGGAAGTGAGCTCCACCATCCTACTGCTTAGATGCCTCGCTACTTTCTACTTTCTACTTTCTACTTTCTACTTTCGATGCTTGTCCTCCGGCCTCCGGCGTCTCCTATTTACAAGATCATGATTTACGCTCTTTCGTTTCTCTTTCGTATTACTTCGTCACATTCACGCCGACCCTCCTTTCACGTTTTCACGATGTATGCCTGTTGCTCGATATCCTTCTGTCTCTATCCCCGTCCTGCATAACCTGACTTCTATCCTACCATACCATACCTTTCCATATCCTACTACCTCAAACTTAACACTAATTGTACACTTATAGCGCTTCTGCTTTCTGATGCTTTTCCTCTTTCTGGCCTTCCATGTTTCTGTGTTTTATCTTAAAAATGGGAACTTTGTGGATCGAACTGCTTCTGACTGCTCTTGAGAAGAGCCTAACTGCATTGTAGCCTCGGGTGTAGGAAGCTCTTGGCCTCAGAATTGCGCCACACCAATCGCGCCTTTGTGTATTTGATCTACACTAGACCATGCATTTCTGGCGATACGAAATTCTCTGCAATGAAGCCACCCATGCGTCTTGGAGGGTATGACAAGGACATGCACCGCTGCTCGATCTATATACCAGCACATGCGATTACTCTATGAGAGAGGTTTGCCCGTGCTCCGCATGAGGGGTCCGGGATTTGACTTTTACTAAATTGTGTTCGATTTTGCTTGAATTGATTTTACTAGAGGCCCCCTCGCCTTCGCCCCTCCGTCGCGCGGGGGGTGATCCGTTGGGCTGAGCGACTTCCACAAATCGATTCGCTCTCTCAAGTAAAACGGAGATAAAAAGGTCGACCTCGACCCCGACAACTTTAAAAGGTGTCGATGGCACAAACTTCTTCATTCCATATAGTAGAATCGATTGAACCTATCACAAAACGACAGATGCACGCTCACCTAACCATCGAGTTCGACTCGAAGGCCTTGATTCTCCCATTCCTGATACTCTCTGCGATATGCTTCTAATTTCTGCGTTCTTTGGCTCGACATCTTGAGAATTATGCGCTCCAAACGGACGACACCGGCAGTTCCTGACATTCGAGATTTGACCACTTGGAACAGATTGTCCTCAATATATTCTTTAGCTCGGGGCGGCTGCTCGAGTACTTGAAGGGTCCTTAAGCGGGGGAGGTAAGCTTCTTCGTCTGTGACGATGAGAGGACGAAAGAAGTCTCCGACTTGCAACCCGACCACATCTAGCTCCACCCAGTCGTCCTCCATGTCATTAAATTCACCAACAACAATAAGTTCCTCGAGGTTCTCAAGTTTTGGGGCGCATGCACGAAGGCTATCAGAGAATGCTCCGGGCACCTGCAGCTTTTGCAGAGTTTTGCTGCAATTTTGGATAACTTAGTTTTCCAATTTGGCCTTGATGTCTAAATCATCGTCCAAGTCGTCGAAGTCATCATCAGAGTCATCGTTGATAGAAGCGACATAGTCAGAGTTAAATTTGTAGAAGAAAGTGGCTTCTTGAAGAGCAGGGCAAATGAGTCTGGCAGGCAGAAGGGAGGGAACGGTTTCGGCAACAAGCTCAAGCTTCTTCAGGTTTGGAAGGCACGTCTTCGTGGCGAGTCGCCCACTTTTCTCTAGGTCGTCCTTGTCGAAGTTGGAATTAAGCGAAATAGAGCAGGATTCCAAGCTGACACAGTAGCGAAGGATTGCTATGAATCGTATTGAACGCATTCCAGAGGTGAGTTTCAGGTCCGTGAGTTGCTTCCAGGAGCAAGTTTCCTTTGTATTCAACAACCGGTTGGAGAAGTTAATGGTAAGAGCCTTGAGCGCCGCGAAGCGCTGTAGGTTCAGATTCTTCTGGGGCAGAGCTTCGCCGAAAGGACGGTGTATTCGCCCGTCAAGGCGTAAAAAGGACAGCCCTTTGATTGTTTGAATACTGCTTGGTGGCAAGCCATCAATGAAAACGATGCAGTCCTCGATCTGTTCGGCCGTTAAAGCGAGCGATTCCCATCGACTGGCATGCGCTAGAGCAACCAGCGGATTCATAGAACTGGACAAGAATTTCTTGCAGTCGTTGATAAACAGTGACAACGACCGTTCGCGAGCTCGTTGTATGCATGTCTTGAGGAAGCGCAGTGCAACTGCTGCGGGTTTGTCGCGGTCGCCAAGATGTATGCAGGTCCAGAGAGTTGCATCGCGAAGGATGATGTCCCTCCACAGCCGACAAACATGCGAAGGAAATATCAGGTTCCTTGAGTCTCCATCGACGAGATATGAGAACGTCTCCACCAGAATCTCGGGTGGGACATCTCGAATGCCAGTAGCTATTGGCAAAAAGTTGGTGTGTTGACGAAGGAGGAGAGAGCGGCGTTCCTCGAAGACGCGATTGGCTTCAGCTTGTTCTTCATCGAGGAGTCGAAGCTGCTCCTGGACCGGAATCTGTACACCGCGATGAGGGCGAGCTGGCTTCCGACGCGACATCTAAAGGGCAGTTAGATGTCCATTCAAATCAAAACAACATATAAGTTCGCATACATGGAAAATTGAGCCCTGTTGAGCGGGGCGAGCAGACTACGAGTTGGTGGTGAGAGGCAAGAGGGATGCACTTATGTCTAGTGTCGAAAGCCTCCGTTATCCAAAAGAAGATATGAGACCACGTTCCTAGCTTGTCTTTCACCTCGATCATCATGGCCAGCGACCTCAATCCTCGGACGACGCACTACGAGTTCCTGGGGCCTCCAGGCGCCTTCCTCATCTCCATCGGCGTCCCCATCGCCTCCTACGGCCTATACTTTGGCTGCTCAGAGTCCGCTGGCGGCTGCCCGCCACCACTCTCTCTTTCCGTACTCTTCGACTCCGTCATCCGGGCCGCGTCCAACCCCGCGTGGTGGAAGGGCCTCTGGGACACGGACGCGTCGCTGCTCTACCTTGGGTGGTACGCTTTTTGCCTGGTAGCGTGGGCCATCCTCCCTGGGGACGCCGTCGAGGGCAGCACCCTCCGCACAGGCAAAAAACTGAGCTACAAAATCAATGGTACGACTTTCATTTCCTTCGAGAAACATACCATAACTTACATTACACATCGCGTGTTTCTTGCTCGCTCATCCTCTTTCGCCCGGCAGCCTTTTCGACCTTCCTGTTGGCGCTGGGTATCACGTCGGGCTGGATCCTACGTAATGGGCCTGAATCGTTCACGTTCATCTACGACAAATGGGTCGGCCTGCTCACCGCGTCGCTCGTCATGTCGGTCGTCCAAGCTGTCTACGTCTATGCCGCGTCGTTCAAGCCGGGCAAGCTGCTTGCATTGGGAGGTAACTCGGGGAACTTCATTTACGACGTGAGTCTTTGTTCGTAAATGCCTGTCGTGGGCCCTTTCCCGGAGGCCGGCTGGAATGTGGGGCTCTCACCCAGCCCAGTTGGGATTGGCGCGACCCATCCTTCGAGCTTCGGTAGACCCACGCGTCTGACACGTTCATATGCCAATAATACTTACCTATTCTCCTTAGTGGTACATCGGGCGCGAGCTGAACCCCAGGATCGGGTCCTTCGACATTAAGACCTTCAACGAGCTGCGCCCGGGGCTCATCCTCTGGGTGCTCATCAACATCAGCATGGTGTGCGAGCAGGCAACGCGGCGCGGCGGGTTCGCAAATGTGACCGACTCGATGTGGCTCGTGCTCGTGTTCCAGACGTGGTACGTCGCGGATGGGCTGTACAATGAGGTGTGTGGTCTACCTCCTCATCTATTTGTGTTCTTATTCTCGTCAAGCCTGCACTCTTCACGACTATGGACGTCACCTCCGACGGGTTCGGGTTCATGCTCGCCGTCGGCGACCTTACCTGGGTGCCCTTCATATACAGCCTGCAAGCGCGCTACCTCGCCTTCCACCCCGTCGAGCTCGGGCCCCTCGGCATCGCAGGCGTCCTCGCAGTCAACTTCCTCGGGTACTACATCTTCCGCACCGCCAACGCAGAGAAGAACGACTTTAGGAACGGGCAGAACCCTAAGAGTGCGTGCAGTCCAAGTTTGCGATCGGGGGATGGATGTGCTAAATGTGAATGATTGGCGTTGGGACAGACCTTAAAGCGATGGAGACCAAGCGAGGCACCAAGCTGCTCGTCTCGGGGTGGTGGGGCCGCTCGCGCCATCCGAACTACCTGTGAGCACCTCTCTTCCTCCTCTTCCCTTGCGTGTCAATTTACCCCTTACTCAAGTGGCGACCTCATCATGGGCTTCGCATGGTCTCTCCCCACCGGATTCGAGACGCCCATCACTTACTTCTACGTCGTCTACTTTGCCGTGCTCCTCATCCACCGACAGCGCCGCGACGACGAGGCTTGCCAGAAGAAGTGGGTTGTTCTTGCCTCATTCCTTCCCTCCTGGTTGGAAAGATTTTGTCTACTGACTTTGCAAACTTACAGGTATGGCGACGATTGGACAAGGTATACGAAGATCGTGAAGTATCGCATCGTTCCGTACATCTATTGAGCCGTGGCCAGGAAGTGTTTTCGGTGGACAGTATCTTAGCACTAATAAAAAAGACACTCTTCGTTTTCGATGGTATTGATGGTGCAGCTCTTGAGAGAAAAGCCTCCTGGTTGCGACTCGAAAGTCGAAACGGCTATCCACATGTATGCGCTGTGTCTGTCAGAATATCGTCTATATGCGCGCTCTACATTCTAGATCTAAGCAACACTTGCCATTCTACGACAACGTACACGCAAGATTAGCAGCAACTCCTCAACCTGAGCCTGAACCTAAGGCTAGGCAAAGAACCCTTCCAACCACCTCGCTTCCTTCTCCATCTCGAACAACGTCCGCGGGGGCCTGTCAGGTTCTGCGTCGACGTACGAGTTCGTCACCGTCATCGGTGACGCCTCATGCGCCGTCGTTCCGTTCGTCGTGACCGGCCTTGCTTCTCCACTCCTCTTCCGCGGAGAGGGCAACGTAGAGGCGGCCTGCAACCCCCCAGGCAGCGCCGCCTCGTTCCGCTCCAGCTCGGGGTATATCTCATCGTTGTTTTCGCCAAAGGGGTCTCCCTGCAGCTTGCGCGGTATGATGTGGAAGTGGACGTGTGGAACGGTTTGCCCTGCTGCTTTCCCGTCCTATAGATCGTAAAAAATGTGGAGAGAAATATTTGTTAAGGATGGTCGAGAGGGCGGCAGGTCGAGGACCCACCTGACAAGCGATCGTCAACGCGTCGCCTCCGTATGCCTTCTCCACGACGCTACCGACGCGCTTGACGGAGCTCATGAGGCATGACAGCTCTTTATCTATTGCCTTGATAGCGCCCACACATTTTAGAGATGAAGACGCATAGACTCACCATCGAGGTCCGTAAGCCGCGGTACGACCCTCTTCGGCACGACTAGGACATCTAACGCAGGTCTTTTCTCAGTCGGCTTTGGCCTTCACGGTACCAGGACGGTGAAGAACCCGGGCCAAGGCATATGGAACTCACGACCAGGAGCGATAGGCTTCAAGTTGACGATCGCGTATGACAGCGACGCGCGGTAGAATGCTTGTGTCGTGACTTCGAAGGTGGAGAACAGGAGGGGACTCAGTGGAGACATGACACGAGTTCAAGTTGGTGAATGAGAGCAGAAATGTGTCGGTGATGGCATCAATCAATCTTATCTTATCTTCTTCGAGGACTCCTGCCGGATGGTGATCTTACTCGAATGCTCCCCGCATATATTTATTGTTCGCAGATCGTGTCTGTCACCTCATGATTCCCCTTTCACGCGAGTCACAGGATATATTTATGAGCCTGTCTGATTCCCGCCAAGTTTTTAAGATCTTTGGACTGCTGTGGGGTTGTGGTGCGCCTTCAATATCCTCAAACCCTTGAGTAGGCGCCTGAGTCTTGTAAATATTCAAGAGGCGCAGAGGCCGGGAGTTTAAGCATGATTCGCGATATATAAAAGGGATACCGACGACAATTTAAAAGGCTGACGACAACGGTTGCGGAATCTACTCGGAAACCCCAAACCTAGACCTCATATTTCTAGATTAATTACACGTTCAGGTTCTATAACAAGCAAAGGGGTTTAGCTTGGGGAACGCGAGTGTAGAGTACATACATCGTAACCTATCCCCTTCGTCTATTTTTTGCTGTCCTTCGTCTTCGGATAGCCGTCCTCGTTCAGGCCTATGACGAACGTTAGTCGAAATCCCATGTCAAGTACAAGTTGACGCACCGAGCTTCGGGTCGCCCGTTATCCACAAACAATGAGAGATTACAGCCATCGAGGCCAGATTGGAACTGCCCGACCAACCCAAGGACTCGGCGACAGCGGTGAAGCCCTTGTCCGAAGACGTGGTGTACATTGCGAAAGATACCGGCAACAGCGCTATGTCCCCGAAGTCCAACAGGACCGTGTTCCCGTCCTCGTCGACGCCAAAGTTGCTGGCATCGATGTCGGGCTGCGTGAATATCAACCGCTCACCGCTGATCCTGACAGGTTTCACCGACCTCGGGAGCCTCGTGCGCCCCTGGCCCAGATTGCATATTAGAGGATGGCGGACGCTCGAGAAAATACAAGCACGGACGCACTTTCTCTATATATCGCTCCAATGCCTCGATGCTCGAGAAAAGCAGAGGTGCCTTGTAGTCCTTAAAGAATCGATGGCGGATGCGACCGCCCCCTAAGGGACCAATTACATGGTTGGGAGGAGCTGGGACCCCCAAAAGCCACTTGAGAGCCTCTGCTGTCCTCTCGTGGAGGTCTGGAGGTGAGTCCGCGAGCTTGATGTACTCCATGACGAGGTATGCTGTCCCTTGGTCTCCTTCAAAGTGGTGTATAACCTTGGCAATGCGTGGCGCATCTGCCTGAGACTCTGCATAGTTGGAGATATATAATTGCGTTGCGATTTCAGGCCATAAAGCCTTCTTGTTGTTGTACTTTACGAAGTAATCTGGTCCTGGTCCGAAGAACACGCAAGCGCGGTAGTCATTGTCACTCCAGTGCTCTTGCGCGTGTTTTGTGCAAGCGGCCATAATGACAGCCTCTAAGTCGGCTTGTTCAGTGGGCGTCCTGGATTATATGATTTACGAAAGGGTAAGGAAGGGCGACGGAATGATACGTATACGAATGGGACTAGGTCACGAAGGAGAGGACAGCGTAATGCCATGGATGAAGGTATGTAAGCAAGGAAGGGTAAGAAGAGTGATAAAGGGATACGTACGTAGTAGAGGGTCGAAGGAGAAGCTTAGTCGAACTTAGGATACAGACGATCACAACGCCCTAGACAAAAACACTCAAAAAACACTTCAATGAAGGCAAGAAGTGATGTATACGAGTGGACTAGGTCGAGAGCAGAACACCTTCGATGAAGGTACGTAAGCAAATGGAAGCGCCTTGGACCTTATCAGAGATTAGATTACTGTACGTAATGGGGAAGCTGGTCACCTTACGGTGCAGTTAGAATTGCCTTCGAAGTAGACACTTTCTCGTTATCAAGTATATTCAGCCCTATATACAAACGTCTTGGGTATGTATGTACGAAATTTCATTGTTTTAGGAGGCCTTCCTCACATTCTACGAATATTTTGCTGAAGAGTGTGCCGAACCGATGCCGAACCAGGAAGCTGGTCAGGCCCCGAGACTATCCCAAATTGTAGTGACCCTGACCGGACTCAATAGTGCTGCCTAAGCGGGAGATAAGATAAATGGTGACCAGGATCCTGGTCACCGTCGTAGAATTGTTCTCGACATCGAGTTGTCCAATAAAATGCATGATACACAATATTTGGCATACCCCAAAGCTCTTTCTACAGTTAATATACTTATATTTCCACCGATAGGTGAGAAATTCTTACCGAGAACAGGAGTGGTCAAAAAATGCAGAAACTCAACTTATGGGTCAATTGAAGCCCAAGATAAATTCGTAAAATTATTTTAATACTTGGAATACATTACATAGCTAATCTTCCATCGCTTTAACACCCTGTTGGGTGACAGAAGATATCTATGGGATCATCAGTGATTCCCGGAGGAAATTGAATAACGTTGTACATGTCACATCTCGGCCACAGTCTCGCCACTCATCGTGAGGTCATCGTGATCTGGTCGTGATCATATCGTTGCAATCGACGTTAACACTTATCATGGCAGCCAATTGTTGGGTCAAATTGTGAGTTGAGCCCGATTATGGCTACTCATTTGTGTCAGTACACAATAATATAGACATTGTCCTGTGTCTATCACAACCTGTACACCATTATCACAATTAGATTGTGAAGTGTTTACAACCACAGGAAGGGGTCATGTTGAGCAGCGAGTTGCCGTTGACGAGCCACAATCGGGCAGCAAGAACATGCTAGACATTGTATTGTGCGCATAATGAATAGGCAACTATCTACGGCGATGCATAACCTAAATTAGCGCTGCTGTCTGAGCTGCTGTCTGAACTGCTATCTGATCTTGAGGAGTCCGAACTTGATTCAGACCCAGAGCGATGTATGTTATCGTCGGGGCCTTCATCTTCGCTAGACTCCGAGTCGTCATCCGTGCTGGACTCGTCATCTGCGCCACGGACTAAAGCCGGCACCATAATCTCTACGTCTGACTCATCCGTTGACTTGGAGGCGAACCCATCATCGATATCCATCCTCGTGCTCTCCGTGTGATTAGAAGGCTGGGCAGTGGTAGACTTACAGCAGCCTGAGTGTCCAATCCCACTGCCAAAATAACATATAACCATATCTCGGTCAGCAAAGCTGGGGAAAGTTTATGAGTTCTGAACTTGGCCAAATCAGAAGAGAAAACATACATATCAACGTAGAAGTTGGCCCAGTCATTGGATTCACCAATCATTCGACCGTCTGACTGGCGAACAGGAAGAAGATCCAATGTTCTGCCTTGAGCAAAGGATGGAATGAGATGGCAGGTACGTATCGCATGAGCAGGATCTAAGAAGCCGAACGCATAGTCATCCGTCGAGGTCACAAATCCAACTTTAGGAAGTCGTGCATGCAAGAAGCCATGAGCGTAACCCGGTTCCTCCCCGAGCCATCTCACCCAAAGAAACTCCATCCGGTGGACCTTTTGACCGTCCTTCACTCCTGGCAGAATGGTGTAGACCTTGGCATGATATACACCAAGGACTTGTGCATACCAAAAACTTTCATTTAGACCAGACGGGGCTTGGACCATGACAAACGGGCGAGTTGAAGGGTTGATGGTATCGCATTCACATTGGACGTCGTAGGTTGTGTAATAGAGGCGGCATGTTTTGACTTGATAAATTCTTCCATGCAGAATACGAACGGACGCTTGTTCATCATGAGAGAAGTCATCATGAGCATCGCCATCGAAGTCTCGTCCAAGGATGCGTCCGAGAAGGTGCTCCTTGAGTTTGGACAGAAAACCCTTGAAGAAGAAAGACATTGAGAAAACTGGGAGTTACATCATGAACTATAGATAGATACCTTGAAAGCAGGGTCACCAGATTCAACTTTCCGTGCCACGAGACCAAACACGTCAATAGCGATGTTCTGAGATGGCGAAACAAAGTAACAAAGGTCAGAGTCATCACCAGCAGTTTCCTCGCCTGACTGAGATTCGGTAGCTGGCTGCCGGTTATGACGAAAATGGGTAGACTTGGTACGAAGGCGATGGTGCTCCTGGGCTATGTGTGCTTTCTCAAGTCGACGAACACGCTTGGCAATCTGCTTGGGTGCATTCTTCTTGTTCGTAAGACCATAGAGGCGCTTCACAAGCCGATGTGCAAGCTCTCCCTACAAGAATGCTTAGAGTCAATACAACATCTGTCAGGTAAACTCACAATCTGTGTCGAGAATCTGTCTGTTCCTCCAAAAAGTCGAATGGAACAGACATAGTCCCCGAGCGCATGCCATTTGTAGGTGAAGAGGTTGAGTTTCTTGGCCTTTCGGCCCGAGGACGTGGTCGATGTTTTGCTTGCGTCACGCCGATTTCTTGCCTGGGTTTCCTTAGGGAGCTCAAAGGTCATGAACGCAGAGCTTGTGGATTTCTCAAAGTTGCGCATGAGTTTTCCGAGCTCTTCTGTTGTTTTCTCTAGGTGTTTGAGAGTTGTTTCGGTGTGCAGGCGGAGTTTTGCAAATGCATGCCACTCGGAGAGACGAAACAAGAGCTTCATGAGGCGGGTGTTGAATGGCTCGTCAAGGAGACCTTCAAAGACAGGGATGCTGCACTAGATGTAGAGATGAGATATGATGTAAAGTCTAATCAGAATTATAACGTACCTGAAGAAGATCCTCATAGTCTCTTGCTGCCAAACGCTTCATCTCAGAGGCATTTGCTGAAAATGTCCTGATTGTGGAACCAAAACCAGGTACCTGCCTATATCTTCAATGGTAATCCATCAACATTAATTGCCATGAAACATATGAGAATAAAGGCTCAAACCTTCGATCCAACTCGGCGACGAGACCAGGGTTTCCTGCTGACTCGGCAGCATGCAGAATGCGAATCAAGTGGGTAAAGAATGCCTTCCAGACACCCAACTCGAATTCGTGCATGAGGTCAACAACAAGGATGGAGTGTACATCAAAGTCCTGTCCTAGACGATCCACAAAGGCATTCTGTATGGTGTCAACTCTCTTCGCGGCCATTTGTAAGTCTGACTCACAATTGTTGGCACCAGGGACAACGGTTTCAAAAGCCTCTCGACTTTGGCCCCGCCAATGGCAAATGATTTCTCGTATATCCATGTGCGGGCTTGCTGGACGAGATCGAGCATATACTGACATGTAGTCTTGAAATGAAAAGCCATGTCCCGTTTACCACCCATTCCGTTGAGTTTCTCTTTTGGAATGAGACATCGGGGGCATGGGCAGCTTCCCTTGTCACGGACATTCGCCAACAGGACCCTATTCTAATGTCAGCGACACTTAAATTTCACTCTTGTTGGAACTAGACACGCACTTTTCTGGGTAATCAGCCGAGTAAGTAAAAATTCGAGGGTAGACACGTCTCTCAATGCCATCATGGCACTGGATGACCATCCCATACTTGTATGCATGGATAAAGGCATCATCCAGTAGGGTCTTCCACATGCAGTGCATGAGCTCTCGGCGACAGTGTGCGAGAATATCTTTCCGTTGACTCTGCACGTGCCATTTAGCATGAAATTTGGCAAGCAAATCCTGGAGCGAGTCAGGCAGAGAAGGAATATAGGCTGCATGATAGCAGGCACGAGAATTGGGCTGAGCGCGGGTATACTTCAAGAGATTTCCAAGGAACATATAGATGGGCCAGAGTTTGGCGTTACCAAAGTTGGCGAGAAGTGTGGCGTCGGACCAGAACATGAGAGCTGCAACAACTTTTTCCCGCTTGCAATCACGGTCGTCCTCATGAAGTTCAGCTCACTGAACTCGATCATGCTCCTGAATGAAAGCATCCGAATTATAGATTTCAGAGTTTGAAAGGTGAGAAGTGAAACTGGGAGGCAAGCGGTGACAAAAATGCAGCCTGGATGAGGGAGGTAAGCTTCCGATAGTGCAGTCCAGGTATGTCAAAGAATTGGGGCTGTTTTGTCTTGTCACCTGATGGGACCTCAATCTTGACTGCCGTCTCCTGAAAGCCTTCAAGCAGGGGTGATATGGCATCGGCTGCATCTACTCGTCGATTTTCACGCCCGGGATCATAGCCGTCAAGATCATCAATCGAGAACTCCGGGTGACGCAGAACCTCCTCAACCAACCTCTTCACCTCGGCGTTTGACTTGCTTGTGCTGCCTGTGTTCTGCCAGTTGAAGAGAAGTTCGATGGATTTATTCTTATGGGCAGCTGGCTGAGGAACATCGGCCAATGGGGTGGAGTTGGTGTTCTCAAAGGATGCTAGTGGTGTAGTGTGTTGGGCGAGAATGTCGGGATGGAACAGAGTAATCGGGGTCGTAGGATGGGCGATGTAAATACTGTTGTGAAAGGCCAAATATATTCTTGATGGTCTGTATGGTATCACGGACAATTAAGCGGACACGGGGTAGGACATGGGTGGGGGCATCTTCAGTCGTGGAAATGATGGGGGCAGGCTCAGGGATCTCATCAATGTATTGAGCAGGAAGGCGACGTGTTCGGACAGGTCGACCAGTGCTGGTAACGGCAGGATGTATTGGCAATGGTGGGCCCTGGAGGTCAGAGAGCATACTAGGAGCCTCAGGAGTGGCACCTGGAAGACTCGCATGCAGCAGCGGAGCAGAAGAACTTGAGGCATCTTGCATTGATATTTCTTCCATATCCATTGTTGGAGACAAGCTGTCGTCAAAAAGGCTGCCTGCGCTAGACGGGCCTGGCTCATGCCTGTCATCAAAGTGGGTAGGCAAAACTCCATCCAGCTTTTGGGACACTACAGTAAGCTAAGTTCGCACCACCATTGAGGATATCACATACCTCGTGTGTTTCTTTCAGTTTATGGATTCGGCGGTCTTGGAGGAGGGCCATTCTTTTTTCCTTTCGAAGTGGCGCAGCCTTCTTGTGGGTCTCGCTCATGCAAGAGCGAAAGGATGCAACAGCTGGGCATATTCTCTGATGTGCCTTGAGGGCGCGCTCTGAATCGCCGTTGAAGTTTTGGGGACAATCCTTCTGGCAAGGATGCATGAGGATCACAGCAAGAAAAAGCAGGGCTTGAAGGAGGAGGACACAACAAAAAACCCTCCTGTTAGCTGGGATCCACGTCTTCATGGCGGACGAAGGCAAAGCTGGACGTTGGAGTTGCACACGGCAGTCGCAATAGTAGAGAGATAAGGCAAAGACGCTGACCTGAATTCATCAGCCGGTCCAGATAGTTGTATTGAGTCTCGTTTAGGGAACAGGTGCACATGGAAAAGGATAAGAATGGAGGGAGCTGCGATTGCGACTACCTGTTTCTAACTCAATCCCCCATCATGTCTCCGCTAGAGAACCAGGATCGTAAGCATTGCGTCCACTGTCCATAGCAGAGACTTCACTTACCTGCTACTCCTTCAACATTAGCAAACACAAGGCCTACGGATGATGCCGCTGCAAGCTTCTCCGAGGGTGATACCAACGACGATGCAGCCCGCTACAAGCGTCTTTATCTGAACGAGAAACGGCGTAATGATCAAGCAAAGTCTAAAAAGTGAACTACGTGAGTGTCACATCACAAAATAGTTATAGATGACTTACTGGCTCTCACAGTGCGACGATGACCCTCCAGCGATGCGGGCGAATCATTCCCAAGATGGTCTCGCTCTTCGCCAACATGGCAGACATCAACTATCAGGCAGAACAGCATCAGCTCTACGTGGCCGGAAAGCTTGATGCTGATGACCTGGAGGCCAACGACGAGGCCGAACTTGAACACATAAAGAAACAGTACGTGCAAGTTGGACTTGAAGACGCGTCTTTGTTGATTAACTGATGAGTCACATGCATGTCACATGACTTTGTTTAATCAACACAGAAACGCGAGGAGTAATGCCACCTTCCTCCAACTTGTCTATTTTGTCCCGAACTTGGAGAAGGAACTCGAGGATGGGGATATAGATAGGGCTGAGGAGATATTCTCTCAGGTATGTCACCGACTTTTTCATGAACACCACTCACCTTTCCACCCAGCTGCAGACGGGAAGTCTCGCTGCTCGAAGCGATGACATCAGCAAAATGCGCATCGCTGTTGCAGAGTGGCTCAACAAGGCATACCCTCAAGAGAGGGCCCTTGACCCCCGCACGCGAGAAGGCCGCAGGATCGAGCACAACGTGACAGGATGGTTGCTTTGTCCCATCAAGTATGACTGGAAGGATGAAAGGTAAGTAAGCTTGCACTGGTATGTCTCAATACTGATTGAAGCTTGTTCTAGTGTTCGTCGTAAACTTCGAGCTCAAGAAGAAGGTTTCAATTTTACCGCCAATTTCTGCATCTACGCTCTGTACAAGAAACACCGGGGAACCATGACGACGCCTGACAAAGGGTTCCTCAAGAGCGCACTTCTGGTCAAGGTATGCAGCAGTCCAATCATCATCAGTGAATAACTCACACCTCTTCAGGTCATCAAGCAGTTTGTCACCTCGCCTGAGTCAGCCCAAGCTCTTGATCTCGAGGCTCTCGACAGCGACTCTACTGATGATGAGAATGTGCAACCCACTTTGAAAATGCGTCGGACTGAGGGTGGGAGGAAGAAGAAAACGAACAACAAGTCTGTATCAGGGATACATAATGTGTCGAAGGTGACACCACGCTTAATTGCATATTCAGCAACCATGGTACGTTTGTTCTTCTTTGTATTTGCACCCGTGTTAATCGTTCTTCCAAAGCTCCTCCTTTCATTGTCATCGGCACCTGAGTGGCGTGTCAAACATGCGGGCCTGAATTTTGAACGTTTCTACTATTGCATCGTTGACTTCTTTGAGGCCCCTCCAAATGAAGTGAAGAAGAAGCAGAGACACGAACTCCTCAAGTGGTGGAATCAGTAAGTCTGTCATCATCGGTTGGAACTTGGAACTCGATAACTGACTGGTTGATACCAGACAGATTTTCCCCCTTTCATTCACTGCGGAATCCTCCAACGCCGCTGATGACACCATGGCTCTTCTCAACGGTTAACTGCTCCTGATATTATATTCCTTCATGTATCCTATCTCAAATCCAATACATTGTTGTGTTCCAACTTACAGTGTGTGATTGATTCGTGAATTGGTAAGTAAAGCCACGTATGCTTGTGATAGCGCCGAAGCATGGTAATAGGTTCATGATACCTGGATATCGACATCTGCACCTCACGATTACCTAGGCGGAAACGCGAATGATCCTGATGAGCGGTCAGGATTTCGGAGAGTCATCATCGGGCAACAAAGATTGTGGAGTGTCATGACTCACCAGCAACAATTGTGAAAGGGAGAGGTCCCATAAATGACAATGTGTGGCCTTGTGATCTCAGCCGCAATATTTCAGCGATATCACAGCCATTGCGGGGTATTGTGGCGATTGCGGGGACCTCACATGGTAACACGTCAGGATGTGATATTGCCCAGGAATTAGTGATGATCATAGTCAACTGTTGTTTCTACGGGGTCCCAAATTTGATACATCTTGTTGGCAGGCAGATGACAGAGAATAAGGGATGGACAGAAGGAATATTTGTGCTGAAGAATAAAGGCAAAGAGCTCAGAATTACATTTCAGAAAGAATTTTGTGAGTAGCTAGTCTCTTCGACGAGAGAGCCGCCATTTCGTCTGAGGGAAGTAGGTCCAAAATAAGAAATTCCTCTGTCACACGTTCACACACCCAGAAATACAGCTCTTTCATCCATACAACTTGCTTAATTCTCACAAAAATGTTATACACTCCATGTTGTGACCTCAAAAATATGAATTATGCAAAAAGAATGGAGGTAGCAGTGGTCGTGGACGTTGAAAACGCGAGGTGACCAGCTTCCTGGTGTGACCAGGTTCCTGATTACGTACAGTAGGTAGCTTAGTCATCATGTGCTCTCAGCTTTCTCGGCCCGCTTGGACGGTGTTGCTCGAATGCTCCTCGACATGAAGTCAGCGAATCCCCAATGCTGGCGGGTAAACATGCATTGAGCACCAACTGCTAGAGTGACCGAACCTCAACTCCATCTTCTCTGCCTCCAACGCTCCCTCCCCACAGCCTGTGTTGACGATGTCAACTCCAACCACCGTGACAACCGTGTAACACCACCCTCACCGATGCATCGACCGACGAGATCCTATACACCGTCTCCACTGAGCACAGCAAGAAAGAGAGCGCGACGTACGTGCGAAATGCCAAGGGTCGGACGGTCGCGAGTTGGGTATAACGCGACGTAAGGTCGGACGTGATCACTTTCGGGGGATGGAGAAGGGGTGAAGCCTATACCGGCGATTGCGTGGTTGCATCGGAGTATGGTGCCGTTCTCGGGGTACGTCAGTTCGACTGATATTCTTCTCATCCTCGAAGGAGGGAGGTCTGATCCAAACGGTGGACTTGTGCAGCACACTAAGATTCGATACGAATAAGGTCAAGAATACAAATGGAAGGACGTCTCTGCCGGCTCTCAGATGCAGCTCGGGATGGCGGGCACAAAAGACACCCCAGCCGCATACTCTAGATCCCTCTCATACACCGACCGAAAGGTCTCCCTGCCAGTGCTCGTAATGCGGGATGCGGCACTCACCATCGACACGCGCATACACCCTATCCTCAACCTTGTCGTCGTCTCTTTTCTGATCCTCGAGGAAGAGCGCCGGCTGCGCGAGAACTCGGCAGTGAACATGGCAAGTGCGAGTACGATCCCACCAGCGGATACGCCTATACGATTGAAATAAATAATTGAAGACAGGGATGGAGGGTAGAACACCGCATTAGCTGGTGACAAGTGATCCACATGTATTTCCAATTGTACAACAACAAACGACACAAGGCAGACGAATTCTAAGGGAGTACAAGAGATTTATCAAAGATGATACAGAGCCTACAAGGAGGATAGGAAGAGTCCGTGAGCGAAGACATGATGATTAAGAGCGGGTGTAATTCCGTAATCAAAACAGCCAGAGCGAGGATGAAGAAAGAAAAGTGGAAACGTGCGTAGTGGCGAGTCTATGATATAGGCCGACTGCGTAGGATTTTGAGACGAGAGAAGAATCTACTCGAAGATGGGGGTGTTGAAGATATCATCATGATCTATAAAGGATAATCCGATCAGCCATCGACTAGACAGGTTAGCAGAGATTCAACACACCTTTGCCATTAGCCAAAATATACTCCTTCTCCTTCTGCCTCAAATGCTTCAAATAGCTGCACTTCTCATGCGCATATACCGCCACCTTCGGGTTCACCAACGCGCCTCCCTTGATCGCATGGATCGCCGCACTGAACCGATCCGTGCTATTACTGATCATCATATCGAACGGCGACGTCGTCGTGCCCTCCTCCTTGTAGCCCTCGATCGTGATCCTTCCGAGGTTGGGCCGGCCAAAGAGCAGTCCTTTGAGCTCAATCGGGTACCCGTGGTAGTTGAAGTGGATCGCACGGTCCTCGGTGAAGAGCGTCTTGAAGGCGAGCTCGGTGAGCGAGTGCGGATGCTGCCCAGTCTCGGCGAGGATCATGAGGTCGGTGACATTGACGACGCGTACGCGGAGCTCGGGGGCGAGCTTGCGAAGGAGGGCAGCAGCAGCGATGATTTCGAAGGTCATCTCTACACCAATACCAACGAGGACGCTGAAGAAAAAGCGTCAGACATACAAATCGCGGTGGGTATGTGCACAGGACTTACACATCAGGATCGACACCCTGGTCGACACTCGCAAACTTCCACACCGACGCACCAGCAATGCAATGCTGGTCTGCCTCCTCGGGCGTCAACCACACCGGCGAGGGTTGCTTGCTGCCCACCATCAAGTTCACATAATTCTTCGCCCGCAAGCAATGCGACACCGTTGACAAGAAGCAGTTGGCGTCAGGCGGGAGGTACACCCTCGCGAAGCGGGGCTTGAGGTTGAGCACAGCGCCGATGAACGACGGGTTCTGGTGCGAGAACCCGTTGTGCTCCTGGCGCGTCCACGTTGAAGTCTCGATGTAATTCAGGGACCCGCACGGCTGGCGCCACGTCGTCTCGACGGCCATCTTCGTGAACTTGGAGTACTGCACCATCATGGTGTGCACGATGCCGAGGAAGGCCTCGTATGAGGGGAAGAGACCTGTGCGGCCTGTGAGGGTGTAGCCTTGGAGCATGCCTTGGCAGGTGTGTTCGGAAAGAATCTCGACGACGCGTCCGCCCTGTGCACGACTGGCAATATCCCATTGGAAGTCGCGTCCGGTGACGTCGAAGACGGCATCCAGCTTGTTCGAGACAAGCTCATCAGGAGAGAAGATACGGAAGGTCTTGGGGTTCTGCACGACGACCTCCTTGAGGAACTTGCCGACGGTCTTCATGCAGCTCTCTTGGGTGCCCTTGGCGACACCGAGGTCCTTCCACTCAGGAGTGACAAGTGGGACGTAGGCGGCATAGCTCTCCTTGCGTTGGCCGAGCTTCTTCGCGTTGACCTCTGGTACGACGCTGAGGATGGCATCGTTGGGAATACCCTCCTTGGAGAAGAGTTCCTGGGGCTTGTACGAGCTCAACCAGGCCTGGAGGTCGTGAAGCTCCTCCGCAGAGGTCTTCGCCAGAGGGAGAGGGACTTGGTGGGCATGGAACGAACCCTCGACGAACTCGCCGTGGACGATCTTGGGGCCAGAGAGACCCTTGGGCGTGCGGAGGACGAGCATGGGCCAACGGGGCTTGACGATGGGGTTGCCGCTCCGAGCGGCCTGCTGGATCTTCTTGATCTCAACGAGGGCCCAATCCATCGACGCGGCAATATCGTTGTCGAGGTTCGGCAGATCTGAGATGATGCGAACTTGATATCCATAGCCACTATAAGTAAGAATGAACGTTAGATGTATAAATAAGACAGATTATTATTAGAAGACATACGTGAAGAGAGCGATGATCTCCTTATCGTCCATGACACCGAAAATAGTACGTTCTGAGATTTTGAAGCCGTTGACGTGGAGGATGGGGATGACGGCGCCAGACTCGGCGGGGTCGATGTACTTGATGGCGTGCCATGCAGTGGCAGTAGGACCAGTCTCGGCTTCACCGTCACCGACGATGCAGGCGACAACGAGGTCCGGGTTGTCCATAATGGCACCGAAGGAGACGCTGAGGGCATATCCGAGCTCACCACCCTCGTGGATGGCTCCTGGGGTTTCAGCGTTGATGTGACTATGAAGAGTAGTCAGCAAGGTAAATATATGCGCGAAAAAAATACAAGGACAGACCTTGGGAAGCCACCGGGAGCACTGAAGCGGGAGATGAGCTTCTTGAGACCGGAATAGTCACGGGTGTATTCAGGAAGGAAGGTACTAAGAGAATCCTCGAGCCAGAGGCAAGACAGGATAGCAGGTGCACCATGTCCTTAGAAAAGATGTTCATCAGAGGATGTAGAACACGCCAAGTTGAACAAGCATACCTGGGCCAACGACATAGAGGGCATCAAGGCCAGTTTTACGGATAATACGATTGAGATGAGCATAGATCATCACAAGGCCAGGGCAGGTACCCCAATGGCCCAGGAGACGGGGTTTGATGTTGTCATGGGTGATGTCATTCTCGAGGAGAACATTGTCGTTCAAGAAAATCATCGCTGAAGAAGTCATGAGGGCGTCATCCAAGGCGAAGAATCATAGAGTAGATAGCACCTACCTGCAGCGATGTAGTCTGCAGCCTTGCGGAAAAGCTGGACGGCTTCGAGCTCATCCTTGGGAAGGTAGTCTTTGGTGTTGAGGTTGACACCATACTCGAGGATGGAGTCCGGGAGGAGAGAGGGGTCAGCGGGGGGATTTGGCTGGAGGATCTGTTGAGCGGGCATGGTAGTGGTTTAGAACTGGTTTGAGATGCATTACTTGGCGAATAAGTCTGGCTTTTATAGTGAGGTCAGAGTTGTGGCGGGAGGAGACCAAGGCGACACCAAGGAGTCTAGCCAGTGCTATATTTAGAAAAACGGCTAGAGCTGGTCCATTGATGGCTGTCACACCCCTTTTTCTTGTGTACCTCGCTCTCCTGCACAATGCTGTGGCCGTCCAGAACGGCGCAGCGTTCTCCTACTCTCGAATATTCCTCGGAGGTCAGATATGCGATGATAATATCTCAGCTCTGGACTGGGCGGCGAGGGCCTATGACATTCGTCACCGATCAGGACCGGGCTCCTCAATGAAGTCAGCTCTTGGCTCAACTCTCCTTTTATTCCAACCAGTATGGGTTTCCTGGCAATCCAATCTCAATGGCAGACCGAAACCTTCTTCTTTCCCTTAACGCGGGCTCTTCGTCCCTCAAGATATGCCTCTACAAGGCTACCCGCCACGTAGAGCTTCAGCAGCAACAGCCTCATGCTGCTCGAGAGCCAGTCGAGCTCCTCCTCACCTCATCCATATCCAACATTTCCGCACCGCCCGCAACGTTTTCATTCAATCCAACGACAGCCATCGATGCTCCGCACGCCAAGGATGAGCCCCAGCAATCGATAACAGACCATGCCTCTGCCTTTGCCCACTTCCTCGACCACCTCCAGTCGCAGGCATCCATAGACCGCGCGAGCATCGTCTACATTTGTCATCGCGTCGTTCATGGCGGCGATTACACAGAGCCTATCGAGATAACGGACGAGTCCTATCATCACATCGAGAACCTCTCCGATCTCGCACCGCTGTGAGTACAGTCTGCGCCGCTGACGTCGAGACCAGGCCTAACTATCTATTAAACTCAGACACAACGGTGCGGCCCTCTCGGTAATCAAGGCCTGCATAGAGGCCCTACCCGACGCCAAATCCATCGCCTACTTTGACACCACCTTCCACACGTCCTTGCCCCTCCATGTGTCTAATTATGCAATTAACCCCGATATCGCAAAGAAACGTGGCCTTAGGAAATACGGCTTCCACGGCCTCAGTTGTAAGTTCCCTTTCGGATTTTGTATCCATCGATTGACGATTACGCAGACGCGTTCATACTGCGAGCAGTCTCCGAATACCTCCAGAAGGTGAGCACCCCATTTCTTTTCTTCTCCATCTCTCCTGTGGTTGGTTCTCCTTTCGGGATGCCCGCATTTCGTGTGTAGTTGACAGATTACACACGGGACATGCGATAGACGCCCAAACAAGTTATTCTTGTCGAGTTTTTCTTCTCGGGCGCCTCAAGTCAGATTTGGGCGTCGCTTTTGCAAATGGTTGGCCTGCATTTTCGTGCGCGGACCCATGGCCCTCTCAACACCGTCTCCTTTTTTCGAGCCTTCTCGGTGGAGCGCCTCGCGGGCGATACCCAAGCCCTTTTTCTCTTCTAATGACCGACTACTGACGTCATACGCCCTATAGCCTCCCACCTCGCTCAACCTCATCCTCCTGCACCTAGGCTCTGGCGCCTCCGCGTGCGCGATTCAAAACGGTCGCTCACTGGACACTACCATGGGCCTCACACCCCTCCACGGATTGCCAGGCGCCACACGCTCCGGCTCGATCGACCCCTCGCTGATCTTCCACTACACGAACAAAGCAGGGCGGATAACCCACGACCCGAGCATGGCTGCGCACGTCGGTGTGACTTTGGCAGAGGACATCCTGAACCGGCGGTCGGGGTGGAAGGCGATCACGGGGACGACGGACTTTGGGGTCATCACTGCGAATGCTGAGCTGGAGGACAAGAGCCCGGACGTTGCGGGCAGGAACAGGTATAGGCTGGCATTTGATTTGGTGGTGGATCGAGTGCTGCACTACGTCGGGGCGTACCATTTGAAGCTGCATGGGGAGGTGGACGCGCTGGTGTTTTCTGGGGGGATTGGGGAACGCGGTGTGCAATTGAGGAGTATCATCAGTGAGCGGGTGGCGTGTCTGGGCTATCGGGCTGTGGATGAGGAGAAGAACGCCAAGTTGGACGGAGAGGTGGCGAATGATATCTCGAAGGAGGGGACTGGGAAGGGCCCGAGGGAGCAGAGGATTTTGGTCGTGAAGACCGACGAACAGGTACGTCCATTGACTTGCGTGCTGGGATCCATGCTAAATTTAGACCTGTAGATCGAAATGGCGAGGGAATGTGCCCTCGACCCCAGGTTCTGGGAATCAAACTAAATATAACCCAATACCGCGCCACCACTCTAGAGACCGGTCTGTAATTGTCGATGTACCCATCCACCTCTCTGTGTATCAACCACCCCTCTACTTGTTCAAGATATCCTCCAGTAGTACCTTGTAAAGTCTCAGCATGAATACGTCTCTGATTCTTTCTCCTCGAACTTCCCGCGATCCACCTTCTCGAAGCCGCACAATCGCCGTAAGTTCACCATGAGACATGGGACATGTCATCATACCACATCCGTGGTACAAGGGCCAACATGTCGGCGAGACAAAGGCTTAATGAGGGTGGGAACGCATGAGGACGACACCCTTCTTATCTGCCTTCACTATCCCCAGCGACGAGCCCGCGACTCCTCGAGCTCCTCCAACCTCGGCCCCACCATCTTCATAGCCAACCCAGACGCTGGCCAGGCCGATTGGCTCACAACTACCCCACATTCACCCCATGCCCGAAACCCGAAACCCGTGCGTTCCCACTATCCTTTCCGTCCTGATCCCACCACCTGCTTCCCATCCCTGATCCTCCTTCCATAGGTGGCAATTCGGCCACATCGAGGGATTCCCAGTGGGCTACCGATGGAAGGACAGACAGAAGCTCTCCGACGATGGTGTGCATGCGCCTGTGCGAGCCGGCATACATGGGCGACAGGACACTGGGGCATTCTCACTTGTTCTGTACGCCTTTGCTTGGGTTTCATACGCTCGATGTGGTGTAGGCTAATTGCAGTGCGTTCGGCATGTGCATGTAGATCTGGAGGATACGAAGACAACCACTGCGACGGAAACGAATTGTCAGTGCACCTCATCTTTTCAATCTCGTCGAAGTACTGAAAGCTGACCTGTTATCTTCTCAGCATCTACACAGGCTCAGGTTCGCCCTTGCTCCCTGCAGCTTAGCCATCGAGCTTGAACCCCATTTATCGTCGTTCCAGGCGGCAACACATTCTCTCTCTCCCTCAAACAACTCGTCCAAGTCAGCGACCAACAATGGAAACGCGGAAATCGCGCACTCCAGGTGCGCTTTTCCTCGGTTGCACCACCCATGACTTTGACCGATCTGTACACAATACAGACATCCATGAAGCTCAATAAGCCCGTTCGCGTTATTCGGGGGTATGGGCTGAAATCTAAATTCGCACCAGCCGCAGGGTGGGTTTACGTTCGATCTGGAAGAGAAGAGAGGAGGTAGTGGGGCTGATGGTGTGCCTTCTTGGTTGTAGGTATCGATACGATGGTCTGTATAAGGTTGTTTCGGTAAGTAGGTCTTGTTGTAAAGTAGAAGGGGCGTTGCTGACCTGTTGGCGACTGAAGGCCACAATAAAACCAGGCAAGAACGGACATCTTGTGTGCCTATTTGAAATGAAGGTAAGCATTCGTCGTTGCAGAGCAGCCCAAAGGTATCACCTTCCAACGCAATTTCTTCTCCAGCGTTGTCCGGACCAGCCTCCGCTTCCCGTGTCTCCAGCCTTACTTGCTTCTTCAAATTCAAGGGTATCTCCAGACCCCGAATCTGAAGACGATGTAGAAATTGTCTCTACAAATTTTGCCTCCACATCCGCCCAGGCCGAATCATCCGGGTCGCTCAACACTGCTACAAGTCCCACCGTCGTAGAATCGCCGCCCAAGGGGCCCGTTTCAACTCCAAGTTCTCAGCAAGCAGTGCCTGAATCGGCATCGGCACCTAGTACATCCTCGTCTCAAGTACACCTTCCAACTCCAGCTCCAGATGGAATTGTGCTAACAGGCAGGCCTCCGTCATCGTCATCGTTAACTCAAGCAGGATCGAGTGCAACTTTGGTCGCTTCTCCGCCAGCCTCCTGGACAGGGCCATCCCCACGATGTGATAGCCCTCCTTCAACGCCCGTAGCCTCCTCCTCCCGTGTCCAACTCCCGCAGAAACGTCCTCGACCACGGCCTATAACCTCGCCGGATCGGTGGGCAAAGAGGGCGAAAATAGCGAGCTTCGAGGAGTGCTTGCAGTCGGATGATCGTGATTTTGTGCCAACCCCGCCGATTGCGATACGGCCAGCTGTCGGTGTAGGTGCTGCCTCTCCGCCGAGGAATCTATCTGGGTGTACGACGGCACGCAGGGGTTCTGGGGGTACGGAGTGTGCTAAGGAGCGTGAAGAGAGCCTTGAAAGAGATGGAATCCAGCAAGTGCACGTCATTAAAGGTAATTGACTTGACCGTTCAATTCTATGCCTCATACTGATGCATCTCCCTCCACAGAGGAACCCGGGGACTTTATCGACCTCAGTGGGACATCGAGCTCCTTGTCGAAGGGGAAGGGAAAGGCTGGCCGCTTCCTAGGCGTCATCGACCTCACTCTAGAATCTGACGATGAGGGCGAGGGAGGTGACATGAGTAGTCCCACGTGCATTGCGCGTGGCGGTGAACGTGCGAAGGCGGTCAAGCAGGAAGAAGTTCAAGTTCACCACCTTGGTTTCGTTGATTTGACTCTAGAGTCTGATGAGGAGATGGAGTCTTAGTTAGCAACAGCTACAGTAGATGTGGGGTGAGTTATTGCAATTGGAAAATATTCACCATTCTCAACGTCAGCCGTATTCGTTGAACTTGAGCTTGAGCGTGCATGAGAGGTGGGGGCATGATGGTGAAGATGGCGAAGCTGGAATACGAAAGAATACGAAGCATTGTCACATTTCGAACTCGCGTGCAGTCACAAATCGCGTGACTATATCGTAGTCGGCGTGGGAAGAACTGAACGATATAATTGGCGAATAGTGATAAAGTTCATCTTCTTTCCTGTTTCTGTTTCTCCACTCACCCTTTCTCGTTGAGCGATCATGTCAGCTTTCAAAGGCTCGCAGATGAACCCAGCTCCCGACCGGGACCCGTAAGTATCGCATCCTTGTCTATGGTTGTCGTTCTAGCCGATAGCGATCCTCTCCACTTGTTCGTTAGGGCTCGTTTTGGCGAAATTCCAGGTTTCCCCGTTGGGTCTAGGTGGCCTGGCCGACGTCAGCTATGCGACGATGGGGTTCACGCAATGTTGACCGGCGGTATTCATGGTCGAGCGCACGAGGGCGCGTTCTCGGTTGTCCTGTATGTCTTTCTTCGTTCATACTCGTCGCGACCGCTCTAATGCCTCTCGACCGCAGATCCGGAGGCTACGAGGATGACGTCGATCTCGGGGAAGAATTGTGAGTAAATATATGCGCCGCTTCAATGTGTTTTAACCGACCCCCCCTCCCAGTACATACACTGGCTCAGGTAGACGATTTTCAACCCACGGTCTCGTTCGCTCAACAACGATGCTCTAGGTGGTCAAGCAAAGCGCGAGGATGGCGCAAAATGGGATAACAAGCAGGTCACGGACCAGGAGTGGGTGCGCGGCAACCTCGCACTTCAGGTGCGTGTTCCGCAACCACCAACCCCGTTTCCGCAGGATCTCAAGATGAAGTCAGACGTCTCACCGCACGCAAAAGCCTGTTCGTGTCATTCGCGGCTATAAACTGAAATCTGAATTCGCGCCTGTTGAAGGGTTCGTGCTCTTCTCATCCCCTTGGTTGTCCTCGGTCTTGAACTTCCTCTGCTCTTTAGTTATCGCTATGATGGACTCTACACCGTCGTCGAGGTAAGTTCCGAAGATTCAATTGCTACATGGTACTCATATTTTGTGTTCTTCGATCTACAGGCTGACCAAAAACCTGGCAAGAGCGGGCACAATGTCTGCCTCTTCCGGTTCAAGGTATCTCCAGCCAACTCCCGCCTTTAACTCTATACTGACTTAACTCGAAAGCGATGTCCTGGACAGCTGCCTCTACCATTTGATGTTGCAACATTGCCCATGCGACGCGAAAGGCCTCTTACATTGCACAGATCTGCCGGGCCGGTGGCATCTACATCTCGACTCGAGTCACCTGACCGTGTTGCGTCCTCATCAACTTCCACTCCGAAGGCACTAACAAAGTCCAGTGTGAATAATAGTGCAAGAAAAGGGTTGTCTGGAATGCCAGCTAGATATAAGATACCAAAAATCAGGCCTGAGCCCAGTATTGCAAATTATAAGTCAGCTAGGCCACTGTCTAGTTTTCATGCAGGAACTAGTAGGTCTATATCTTCACCAACACCAGATGTTGCTGAGTCTAGTGGATCTGGATCCCAAGCTGTGTCAGTAGAGTCCATGGTGAAGCCAGGTAGGCTTTTAAACCAATATGGCCAAACTTCAGTGGAATTAATCAGCTTGCAGAACCAGAGGAAGAAGAGATGGAGACACCTCAGATTGCAGTTACAGGTAAATCTTCAAGTAAAAATATGTTAGAGATCAAAAGTAATAAGTTGTTGCTAGAGGAGCCTCCTGAAAGTGATGAAGAATTGCCTGTAACAGATTCTCAAAAGCAACAAGAGGAAGAGGAAGAATATGATGATGATGATATGTATGTGAAAGATGAGGAGATAGGCAAGAACTGTCTGTCAATTTATTTTGCACAACTTATTCTAACTTATTTCATCTTTTATTCTAGATCAACTGCTTTCCAATCAAGATGGAATTCCAATAGAAAGCAGTGAGGTTAATGGAAAAAATCTGGAAGCTTCTGAAGACCTTGAAGAAGGTGAAATTGCCAGCACTAAACAGTGACTTCTATAAGTTCATAAGCACTGTTCATACATTTCTTGATTTTTATCCAATGCTTGATAGCTTTCAAATGCCTATCTTGGCACAATATTATCTCAGAGCAGAATTACTTACAGAATAAATATATATATGATAAATAATGCAATGAAGGCAGCAAAGAGATGTCCCACACTGTTCACAATGGTGGGGGAACAATGTCAAGCAGTCAACATCCATCAATGTGCCTGTCAACTCCGAACCACCACCCCCGGCACTTGCGGAATGCCAATATCAAATTTGTCTTCACATGGTTCATAACCATGATGGACAGGTCCAACATAGTGGTGGCTCAGATAGCGGACATGAGACGGCGGAGGGGATGGCGGGGACGGTGGGGAATACACATGAGGGCAAGCCGGACTGGTGACAGTCAACATGCAAGCCCGACTTTGGCTCCGTGCGCGTTGAGCCTCACGAATCGCTTTACGACCCGCTTTTGTACGTTTGTTGAGGCCATGGTTTGGATGAGGCTGGGAATGAATCGAATGCGAGTGCGAGTGCGAGCGGGAGTGCAGATGTGAATGTGAATGTGAATGCGAATGCGAATGAGAAGAATGAAGATAAGGTGAGGGTGAATGCGAACGAGGGAAAGGTGAGGGTGAGTGCGGGATCCCAAGGTGGGACGGAAAGTCATCGATATCCATGATCGGCGGGGGTGGCGGTGTGATGCTCCTTCTGCGAATGAGCTCGTACGGTCGGACATATTGTGGAGGTGTGCGTTTGATGTGGACTTCCGGGTAGACCTGGTGGCGCAGGTGGACGGGTGGGATGCGAAGGTAAACCTTCGATGATTCAGCATGGTCTTCGTACTCGTCGTGACCAGGCGGATCTGGAGAGACATAACGAGGTGGTGAAGGAGGTGTGTACGGTGGTGACGGAGGCATGACGATCTTCCGTTTCTTCGATGACGATGTGTGAGCCGAGTCCGACGATTTCCGCTTGCCTCCTTTTTCTTTCCCCTTCTCTTCCTTCTCCTTCACATATATCCGCCTGATATCGGCCATCTTTTGCTCAGAGGCAAGAGCAGCTGCTGCAGCGATCCCCTCATCCTTCTTCCTCCTCTTTTCCGTTGCGAGTTCCTTCGCCCTTGCCTCCTTCTCGATCTCCACCTGCAGCATATCCGCAAATACTTGTGCATCTCCCTGTATCCACGCATCGAAAACACCGTCCCACTCACGTGTCGGCACCGGAAAATCAAGGTTGAGATAAATCGCCTTGGGCATTGGCTCTTCATCGGCAGCTGGCGAACGACGGGGAGAGGGAGCAGGAGTTGCAAGTCGCGAACCGGAGCCACTGGGGGTGGAAGATTCCTCTCTGGCGCCCCTCGATCTCACCGCCTTCGCAAATTCGCGCACCATCCGCCTCGTCCCGGGCACCTTCAAGCTCGTTCCGACCACCAACAGCAAATCCGCCCCGCCCTTCCCCTTCCCCTTTGACGACCCGATCAGGTCCTTCTGCACAACGTCTCCCACCCCCTCCCCGTCCTTGTGCGCCTCGTTGTACAGCACCACGCTCGGTCGCAGTCGCCCGATCGCCCGCGGACGCTTCCCAATGAGCTGCCGCGTCTCCTCCAGCGACGTGCACTCCGGGCAGGCTGGAGGCTGACCCGAGACAAGTGATGGCACATACTCCAACAGCGGGTACGAATGGTTGCACACTTGGCAGTGCATCGATTGCAGCGTCCCATGAAGCGGGATGCATCTGGGAGGCGACGAATCATCTGTGGCGTTCATGTCTTTTGGCTTGCCCTTTGAGCGAGCTTTCGTTCGTAGCTCCGGCACGCCAAACGAGAGCCCGCACTTCTCCTCGATGGCGTCAATGTTCTGCGTGTACACTCGCAAGAGCCTCCCGCGGTCGTCAAGCGAGCGGAGGACGTGGTGAAACGCTGTCGGTTCCGCCGCCTGCGAAAGATCGGACAGTTGGGCAATCATTTGGCAGAATAGAGACGTCTTGTTCTCAGACTAGATAGAATGAACCCGGTCAGCAAGAACGAGGGCCAATGTGAGACCACACGGAGACAAGGTGCTCGCATCCCTTCGCCCCAAACGCCATCCCAAACGGTGGGACTTCATGCGGTCCCAGAAAAGAGGCACTGACGCTGAACACCGAGGCGTCAAAGAGCTCTTTGCCCGATGACATGGCCTCGCGGGGATGGTCCCGCTTGATAGTCTGAAATAGCCCCTCCGAGGAGCGAAAATCGGGTATGCCCGCCTGCACAGATATCCCCGCTCCTGGATCGCTGCTCAGAAACAAGGATGCCAGCACAAAGAATAACCCAAACGCACCACAGACAACCACGATCCTCTTTGCCTTCATTATCGCCTGGATGGCACGGTTTAGCTGGCTGTTCACATTCGTTGGTGGTATAAGGAACGCTGGGACGGTTGGCAGCGCGGTTTCGGGGTCGAGGGGGAGAAAAACGGTCATGGCCTCGAGGCGCGAGGCGCAGGTGGTGGTTGAGGGTTGTAAAGAGCGACCTCCATGACAGTGGCGAAATTTGGAAGGTCAAGGTGGCTGGTGGCTTTCCCACGGTGTCAGCTTCCGCCTGCATTCCAAATTGTTGCCGTTGACATTCTTGCGATCTATCTACGAAACGCTCAGAAGAGAGTTCTTACTCCTGCCTTCAGATATAGAACAGGAAGACTGTCACCTCTTCTTCTAGGAAAATATAAACATTTTAAACCCATTTTTTAGCAAAGTATTGTTCAACTTAGACCCCAGATTCCCCTTTCCCTGTCCAATGGATCCAATGCAAGAAACGACATTAATCACCCACACTACGCAAACAAACTCCGTTCTTCTAGCTCTAGAGCCCCAGCCTCCCGGTTGCAGCATTTCCTTATGTAAATTTCCGTTACGGACTCCAGACGATGTCATACTTAGACTTGGAAGCCGGGGTCAACAGGTGCGTAGGCATCTCGGTCTGGTGGAGATACGATGCTGTCTGTGGAAGAATCCGTGTCTCGTGCCTCCATTGTGTTCTTCCCGGACAGCTGGATATCACTCTTCATGTTCTCGAGTTCTTGATCCGAGTGAGAGGATTCTTCCGAGCCGTCTGTAACCCGCCAGCCATGCTGCTCTTGCCATTGCGAGATTGAAGCTGTGCAGCGAATGGCGGAAAGACCTTTTATGAACTTCCAAGATGCCTACGCTTTCTCAAACTTTTCTTAGCAGGTAAGATCTTCATGCGCGGAATATATGCGGTAGTTCATCGATATCACCTGGAATCAGTTGTAACCTTCGGTATGAATCAACTCATTCATGAGCACTGAGGTAAAGTGAGTCGAATAGCAGAGGAATTATTTAATTTACTATTTTTGCCCGTGCGGAGCACGAGGGGTACAGCCAAGTACGCGAAGCTCGACAAAAAATAAAAATGTCCTCCGCTCGCCTTCGCTCGTGCGTCGGGTAGGCGTTCCGTCGCGCTGAGCAACTTCTAGGTTAATTGGCGATCAATTCTGGACTATGTAGAGGGGAAAAACTCTTTTTTTTATCATGTAGAAGATTACTGACGACCAACAAGTTGAAACGCCAGTACGAAATGTACGCAATATGGTTGGCTGAGCTCAGTGTGGCGCACTTTGATGCGCCATGTAGCCCCTGACTCGGAAGCGGAAGTGAAGTCATGATATCCCCCAACACGACGGCGCCATGAACACCTGCATTCCCAAGGACAGGTCTTCATGGATAAATTCTCAAGGTCGATTCCCGGTGTGAATGAGAATTTTTTGGTGCGGCCATAAAAGCTTCGACAAATTGCCATTTGACAGTGACGGTTGATAAAGAGGTCCTCTTCGTGTACTTGCTTACGTTCCTCCATCCGAGGAAATATATGCGGCGCATGTGGTTTGGAAAAAGACTTGCGGGGTCTGCATACAACTACGGCAAAGTCCGTCGGTGAACAGAACTCGTGCATACAAGTCATTGATAGAAGCAGAACTAAAAATACCAATACTCATCGTCTATCTATCGTACACGGCACTGGGTTTTACGGTCTGGCTGTGTTTGGAATCTGAAATGGCATAATCTAGTGCGAAAGCGAGAGAGAAAGAAAGAAAGAAAGAAAAAAGAAAAAAGAAAAAGAAAAAGAAAAAAGAGACGATCGTCGTGTGTGCATGAAGGTTTGCAGTGTCCAATTTCGTGGCAGTGGTCCCCCGCTCCGTTACTTCCTCAGCTTCCACGCTCCTTCAACGCCCGCTTTTGAGAACTTCTCAGCTGCACTCCCATCCGGCGGCGGGTTACGGTCGGCGAGCTGGCCCACGCCCGGGGTCGTCCCCTTCTTGTCCATCATCGTCCTCCCTCCATTGCTGCCTCCGCGTGTGCCCATCTCACCAGGGGCCGATGCGTTCCTGATCGCAGAGCTCTCGCCTACACCCCGTCGGTGTTGGGGCGCGGCGCGCGTCGTGAATCCATGCGCAAGGATGTCTGCGCTTGTCGATGAATACTGCACGTTGGTGGTGTCTGGTGCAGGCGTCGCAGTGAAGTTGATATATGGTGCAGAGGTGGGGTACGCCCCGGCGGGGACCTGGTAGTGACGCGACGTCGGTTCAGGTTCTGACACGACGTAGGTGCGGTAGCGGCCGTGTGAGGCAACGGGCTCCGGTGTCGGCTCGTATTGCTTCTCGTAGTGCGCAGAGATGGCACTGGCCGCTGCTGGTGTCGTCGCACTGAGCGGGCCGTCGCCGAGGACAGCGAAGGGCGAGTGGAACGCTCGGGTGGTAGTTGCAGGCTTCTTGGCAGCGCGGAAAGCGGTGAGAGCGGTGTTTGAGACGCGGAAAGACATGGTTGGGGTCTGGGGGTCGTCTGGAACTGAACGGGGAGCAGGAGACCTTATAGAGAGTCTATATATGCGTCACGGGTGGGAACCTTGGGGTCATGACTGCTTCGAAATTAGACCGCGTATTTACATACTTACTTCCTTTTCTGGCAGGTGCCCCTTTCCCTTTTCAATTCCTCTCAATTCCGTGGTTGTCTCCTGCTCTCTATGTCGCTGCGCAGAGTAAGTTTCGGTCCTATTCTCAATATTCCGTGTCTCATCCTCCGCTTTCTCAGCGACTTACGCAGGTCCCAGCTGGGTTTTCCCCAATAGTTGCCAACTTGCCATCATCGTACGATACATTGCCGTGTTCACAGGGATACTCGTCCCCATATCAATAGCCCTAAATCGTATCATATCCATACCACCTTCGCTCTGGCGGTTCGTGGATGTGGGCCTGCTCTAGACGAGCTCTGCTCTGATCCACTGCTCATGGGAGAAGTGCCAAGAATACCCAAGAATACCCCAAGGCACACGGATTCAACGCGGAATCAGTTTGGCAATTCCACTCCTTCTATAGGCTGCAACCCCTATTCCGAGTTCATTAAAGGCGCTATATACCAGGACCTTCTATACACGTTCAAACTTTAGGTGCGATGTTTGGATATCCTGTCCCTTCTACATATCTATCCCCGTAGATCTCCCAAATGTGCAAAAATCTAAAAATTACACTTTCAATTCTGTATCCCCGGTGCAGTATTCCCTTGTTGCCGATGCGTGGACCACCGGCGCAGACCCTTTGGGTTTCGGACGATGCGTATCCACCGCCTGGATAGGTAATGCGTGTCTAGAAGCAGTCCAATCAGCTTTTCGCTTCCATCCAGATGAAAGAAGCGAGTAGAGTATATGCGTGGAGAGGATGATGCACCTTTCCTCGTCGCAACCGTACGCTTTGGGTGTGAGCTTGGTATGAAGAGGGATTTTAATGTACGGTAGATCAACTTGAGGGAGGTGGTGGAAATACGCATATCTGAGAAGCACCCCCCATGTGTGAGCACTTTCCTAAAACAGAGGAGAACGACGTACAGGCACCGCAAAATAGCCTACAGATTCGAAAGGCTTAGCATGCGAAGGTTAATCCCAACCAACCTTACCTGATGGCCAATAATTAAGATGTTCTCCTGTCGTTCGAGCTCCATGATGACTGGCTCCAGACGCACGACGACGTCACGGTAGGATTCTCCGCCACGATATCGGTAGTTGAACTTGTCTTCGTTGCGGTTGGCGAAGTCGTCTGGATATGCTTGCTGTATGAAATCAATCAACTTGCAGCTCCATAAGCTCATGGATCAATGTCTGACCTCAATTTCCTATCGCAGACCTTCTCAGCACGATTTACCACTGATATTCAAAGCAGGCACTCACTTCATATGTCATTGCATCGCAGACGCCTTGAATTCTCCATCAGCTCCAAGCCGAGCGCATATACGGAGTCACTCACCTGCGTCCAACTCATCCAATGACTTCCAAGTCAATTTCGGGTAATTCAGCTCGCTGGCCGTCTGGATTGTTCGTCGCAAAGTCGAAGTCCAGACCTATCCAGAACCGCGATTCATTTCTCTGAAACTTTCCACCAGCAGCATGAATCAAACGCACAGTCAACGGTGCATCCCCGATGTTATCCTTGATCAACGCGGGCAGCGCATGCATATATTTCTCTCCGTTTGGCGAGAGTAGCGAATCTCCAATCTTCCCTTCCACATTGAACTGACTTTCCCCGTGCTGCAGAAATGAATGAAACCACCGTCAACGTCCCCCCAATTCATCCTCAGACCCCAATAAATTAGGACTCACCCTCGACAAATAGATGCTCCTCGGCTTCAAATGTAATTTCATCAAGTAAAACGCGATCCTACTCTGGAGGTACCCATGTATCCGCGAGACCTCCACCTGGGCCCCCACGTTCACGATCTTGAGGTATGATAGATGCGGTTCGGTGATCGCCTCGTAGACCTTCTCGTACTCGGTGATGCGCCGCAGGAAGTCGCGCTTCGCGTCCTCGGGGTCAATGTCCTTGTAGTCGGGGTCGCCAGACGAGACTTTGAGCGCTACATTGGCCGCTATGACGGCGGGGTCGTCGCATTGTGACTCGAGGAAGATGGGCTGGATGCTTTTTTCTTTCGCAACACGCGCTTCCATGCTCGCTCTGAATACGTATTAGGTGGAACGACGAGTGGTGGAAGGAGAGATCGTACCTCCGTGCCCGTGTGCTATTCGTCGCATCTACCACGAGTCTCATTATTTAGCTTTCTAGGAAATGAGGGAATTAATGACGCACCGTGAATCCCAACATTACCCCCATCCTTCAACCACTGTGAGCATCTCCAAGCTGTCTTGCGCCAGCTTCTCGCGCGACAAATTCGCTTCTGTGTTGTCATGGCTGAACCAAGCAGCATTATGATCTTCCTTGATTACCAATCTTCACATTTCATATGCAATGTTAGCTGGCTGCGACGCGTCTCGGCGAGCCAGAGGGTGCTTACTGTTGAGCCTTCTGCTTTGCACGAGTGCGGCGCAGCTGTCCGACATTAAAGACCTGAAACAAGGTAGATGAAGCATCTCATGAGGTGAGCAGATGTTGTACCCCACCTTCACATCATATTCCAGCCACTACTCCACGCATTCATTCAGCACGGTCCACTCTTCATGCAGGATTCAACGCACCTTCAAATAGATCATGAGCTTGTTGCTCAAATACGACTTGCCTCTCGCAGGCAGTCCCACCTGCACGCAACACATCGCGAACGGTCACATCGCGAATAGGGGCCACATGATCAGCCGAACGGACGTACCATCGCAAGCACGATCTTCGACTCGGAGTAGTCGGGTTTCGCGACTACAACCACATATACTCAGTACGTTCTCTCATCGCGGAAGATCGCTCACGACGCACCTTTGTTCCCAATGCCCTTGACCGACAGAGGCGGTGTTGGCGCCTGCGACCCCTTCCGACTCACCACCGTCGACTGGTCGAACTGTTTCAGCCTATCGGGATCACCTCGGGTCGGTCAGCGCTCCTTAACACCCATCCAGCACCAAATACTGTCCAAGGGTAGCACTCACATTGGCCCCCCCGCGCCAAACACAGCTGGAGGTATCCCGGGGGACATCGGATCGAGGGGCAGCTGGCCAGAGTCCTGCATGTCCTGGAGCACACCGGCAACGAGCTTGAGGTCCTGCGCGACCTTGGTGCCGGGAACGGTGAGATGACTGGGATCGGCCATGACGAATGCTATAAGTATGTTTTGGGAATCACGACGCGCGCGGTATGGTTAGAATGATAAAAGACGTTTGGGGTGAGTGGGAGGGTGGGAGGCACTAGAAGGTAAATCTTCGTTTATGCCTTCGATGACCCTGTATTCACCTCATCCCAGCCATTCCCTTCTCGCTCAGATGTCTAGGCACTCTACACCACCGCTCTCACGGTCCAACACATTGCACGCGTCCTAGAAACAAGGTAAGACCACCGCGAACGTGCATGACAACGAGAAACTCACCTTTATGCAGACGTTCTCCGCCCATCTTCGTGTTGGCCCACCATCTTCCACACCGATCTCGGTCCAACGTCCTCCAGTACCATCGATGCTCTCGCTAGCCTCGCTGTCGTCGAAATGCCCTATCGAGCACCTAAGAACACAGTAAGTTCGTGTTAATCGTCGATGGTGAGGTGAGGCACTCATGACGGGTTGGGTGTGATTATGTCCAGCGTCTCGGGGATAGAACGTGTGTTGGCCCTCGTCGTGAGCTTCTTGTCCATCGTCGCCGCCGCTGGGTGTGGTAGGGTGTCTTGGTCGAGGGCACTGAGGAAGCGCGGTGAGAGTGCGAGTCATCGCCCACCTCCGCCGTCGATGTGTTCGATCTCGATCTTCACATACGAGTTGTCCTATCGATCCTGCGTTGTTTTTTTAAGTTCTTCGCATCCGTTTATATTTTGTAGGTCGAGTAGGGCCCCTTGTGTTCGAGCAGGACACCTCGCGAATCCAATGGGGGCCAGTTGCCTGTCTTTGCGAGAGGCTTGAGCGACAACGCGCGATGGCACTTTTATCAGGCGAGAATCTTGATGTCTGCTTTGCACGTTTCCGTGTTGAATAGGGTATATACAATGGAGGAAGCGTAGAATACAGAGGTGGGACGAACTTGCCTGTCACTGCCGGCAGATGCCGCCGTAGTGATCATCGTAGTTTCTAATTCACGAATGCACTCCTCCTGCTCTCTATGTCGCTGGTTTCGGTTCTATTCTCAATATTCCGCGTCTCATCCTCCGCTTTCTCAGCGACTTACGCAGGTCCCAGCTGGGTTTTCCCCAACAGTTGCCAATTTGCCTCTAGCCATGCTGGTCCAAGCACGCGACGTCATATCAGCCCATGCCAGGGTGCTCACATGAAGGGCCACATCACAACAATCAACGACGACTGCGCTTGGGAACCCCAATCAACTTCTTTCCAACGTACCGTCACCTCCCACAGCAACAGCAACCAGAATGCCGTGGCCAGCCTATATCTCCAATACGTTTGATGCTATCCCTGGAGGGGTTAACGGCGCAACCGATGAATCGCTGTTCTATGGACCATACAACACCCTCCTGACATACCTATTTCCACCCACTGACAACTACATGATATCGCCTCGGTTCAAGCGACCGCCTGAGGGCTGGTCCATCGACTTCACCACGGTCTTCATCGTCCAAAGAGCGTTTCACCCTGTATTCTTCCTTGAAATCAAGCCTCCTGGTGACTACACGCATCGCTCGTCTCGCGCTGCCGCGGACGACCAGATGAGGACATGGTTCTTCGATCTTGCGGATGTAGTGGAACTTCCCGTCATACATGGCGTGAGCGCCCTTGGGACCCGCCTCTGCTTTTACTCGTACACCCGCGACAACAACGTCTTGGACCCTCCCCGCATTCCTCCGGATGTCGAGCGCATGAACGACGTTGCACCTGCTGCACGATGGAATTTCGATATATTGTCAGACGAGGGTGTGGCGAGGATGACGCAGGTTGCAAATGAGGTGAAGGCCATGGTAGCCCAACATGCATGGTAAGCCACCGTCTCAGCGTCCCTCACAAATTTCTTGCTGATATTTGTCCCCAGGTAAAAATCCGAGTTGGTGGTTGGTGTAGCGGTTCTGTCCCTTTTGTTCTTATTTACTTTCCCCTTCTTCTATGAATGGCGCTGAGGCAGGTCTGGCGAGTGACAGCATTAGATTAACGATGGTAGACTAGGGTAAGAGGGATAGGTGTATGGAATGGCAGTGTGCTGGATGTAATATATGGGCGGAAAGCCCGAAGGCTTTCGTGCCCGGCAGGAGCTCCTGGTCTGTGAAAGAAGCCAAGATGAGCGCGATTCCCAATTGTTAGGAGTCCTGCGACGCATCGAGCGAGTCTCGAGCCCACTCTGCTAGGAGCATGACAGGGGTTGCTTACCTGATTAGTGGCGGCGTAGTGGAGGCATGGTTAGCCTGATAAATTCTTCCTGGCGGACTGGGTCTGCTTGCATGTATGGTGCGAGGATTTGGGCATGCTTCCTGAGGTAGACGAGGAAGGCGTCACTTGCCCACCTTCCCTTTGCTTTCATCACATCGAATGGAATCCCCCTCAGGAGGTACTCGAGTGTTGACCCAATCCTGATCCCATGGCCTTGAAGTGGCTCTAGGCCAGCTGCTCGTGCTGCGGTGGTGAGAATTTGAATGAACTTGTGCTTTGTCAGTGGCTTGTATCCTGAGCCTACTTTGTACGCAAAGAGGTGGCCACCATTTGGCGGTGAGTTGACATCTATGTGGTTGTGGAATGCAGTCTCCGGGTCTGTGTCTCCGTTCTGTCTCGACCATGAGACTGTCTCTCCGTTGGTGGGTTCAGACTTTGTGGAGGGGATGAAGAACTCGGTTGTTTCGAAGCCGTTCTGGTCTGTCGTGGTTGTAACGTTTGAGGGTTTGACATGTTTGTTTGCGTCGAAGCTTGTCAGGTTTTTGACCGTGAACTCACCAACTCGGGCAGCTGACCAGAATGTGGTTGTCAAGCAGGCATAAACGGCAGCATGGAGGGGCGTTGAGAGGTCTAGCTGACTGCGAATAGCAACCATGAAATCTTTTGTGTATGGCTGGCGTTTCTTCCTCTTTGATGTGGGTGGGGTTGCTTTTTCTGTGGCCTTGAGCAGTGCCTCCAGTTCAGGGTCGACCATCTTCCATGGGACCCCATGCAGGATGTGCCATGCCCGGATGCCATAGACGTAGTTGGCGATGGTGCCACCAGAGAAAGCACCTGAGAGGGTGGCTATGAGAGAGGCGATGAGGAGGGGTGAGGCTGGGGCCCTCTGATCCTCACTAACTCCGTTCTTGTCGCAGAAGGCGTGCCAGGTGAGGAGGCCTGTCCCATAGACTTCCAGAGTCCCATCCGCCCACGCCCTGGCCATTACCTCGAGAATGCGGGCCAGGTCTTCAGCGGAGAGATGGGTGGGCCGGCCCTGGTTGTCAGTGGCAGTACGGACCGTGGTTGGTCTCCAACGTGTAAGCCGTTCTCGAGCAAAGACGTGTGGGCAGAGTGTGGATGGTACTGGTGTGAGGTCAGGAGGGTACGGCGCAGGTTTTCGTGAAGCTCGAGCCCGTGTGTGGTCACGCACTGGCCCTCCATTTGTGCTTCAGTGCTCTGGAGAGAAGCGGTGCCGCTTGGTTGCTGGCTTGGAAGTGGGCGAGGATTTCTTCTTCATGGAGGATCTGGCCCTCTGAGGTGCTTTGGCGTTGGAGGAGTCGTGTGGCTGGGCTGATCCTGGGGGCGGCGAGGGCTGCTTTGCCTTCTCGTGCAAGGCGGAGTTCCGTTGGCATATGAGGTGTGTCGAAATCGACGACATAGTGCTGGAGGTGATTGGGGATGTTGATGGCAGGGAGGAGGTCTTGCGTCGTGCCATATTCTCCACGAGAAGGGCCATCAGCTGGGTTCTCCTTACTGGGAACATATCTAGTGTGGGCAGTGAGGCTATTTTCTTGCGAGAATGTGTGTACCATACGGAAGATACTGTTTGTTGGACAGTTCCTGCTGCGACCTTTCCACCATCCTTCCACGACTCCTCGATTGTCTCCATAGACCGCATAGTGGATGCCCGGGTGATGGCATGCATTGCGGAGAGTGATGACCAGGAAGAAGAAACTGACTGCCTCTGCCCAGCCGATGTCTCGGTTGTTTGCCTTCCATCCTGGGAGGAGTCGCCAGGCTCGCCACTTTTGGCCAATCGTGATGCCGATGCCGACTTCAGAGCTTGCATCTGAGTACATGACGAGGTCAATGATGGGGGTTGGTCGGGGGATGGGTCTGGAGATGCATGGTCCTTGGAGTTTCTCCTTCCACCAGCGTATATCTTCTGCTGTATGTTGTGGTGGGGTGCGTGGTACGTACGGACGATTGTGGAAGATGCCCATGCAGGCCTCCAGCTGGGTGAGGTAAGCACGTCCTGCTGGGATGACCAGGCAAGCATGGAGGAGTTTGCCATAGAGCTTTTGCACCTCTTCCAAGGTGTGCTTTGTGCTCTCCTCCCAGGCTGTGATGGCAGTGAGATACTTCTCTTGCTTTCCACTCGTGATGGAAACTTCACCCCGCTCCAGATCCCAGAGGAACCCAATGAACGGTACTGCTGACTGGAACGGGATGTCCTTCTCTGCTTCCCATGGAATACCCAGTTCTTCACAGAGGGTGTCAATGTCTGCCATACAGTAGGTATACTTTCTGTCCTCATCTGAGCGTGCAGATTTGTTGGAGAGATCTTGTAGTGGGAAGGTTGTGTCTTCGTCGAATTCCTCGAGTTTTCCATTGGGCATTGCCCTGCCTCGGAACCAGATGCGGCCTCCATCATGGAGTCGGCCTCCATTTTTCCTGATGTCCTCAGCCCAATGTCTGCGCAAGTCATTGTAAGCAGGTAAGTGATGTTTGAGGATGCGGTAAAAGAGATGATCATCGACCCACTTCGAGAGAGGCCCGATTCCATTGGCTCGCATGACTTGTGCACTAGCATCACCAACGATCCCATAGGAGCCTGCCCCCGAGGCAAGTCTAAAGCAGTTCCTGGTATCAATTGCAAAATGGTCTTCACCGCGCAGTCGTACAACCAATCCTGGCCATTGAGAGGGCTTGATGGGAATGGTTCGATAGGCTTCCTTGACGTCTCTAACTGCTGCTTGTGAGCCTGGGGGAAGCCGCGAGATGAGAAGGCAGATGACGGAGAAGGTTCCCCAGGTGCACGGGAACTGGTTTGAGTTGATGCCGCTGTTGATGGAAGTGACGCCGTCAATGGCTTTGAGAGGGTAGGAGAGGTTTTGTATGAGGCGAAATTTGCCCAGTTTAGCAGGCTTGGGAATGACAGAGAGCGGAGAAGTCTGGAAGGGACCCAGGAGGGCTTCAACCTCCGCACAGGAAGCTGGCCCAATGTATCTCCCACGTTCGAACTCAATTTGGACGTTGTGGTTGTATTCCTCGGAGAAGGTGTCAATTGATGANNGGCAGGTGCGAAGGTTCTGGAGATAGCAGGAATTCCGACATCAAAACCTTGCTCAAAATCGGACGGAAGGGTTGGATATTGGTGGATGAGGCCTGTTGCCTCGAGATGCCACCTCCAGGTGTCTGCTTTGTATGGGCTTCCTGGATTATGCTGCTTGAGCTCGAGGGCACTTCTGAGCTCCATGAGAGGCCTGTCCGCATCCCGAGCACTCGTGTTTGGAATCGTGGGTTGTGCTGGAGCATCCTGCTGGTCGCTGCCAGTCGGTGCAGATGACGGTTCCTTTTGGGTTGACCAAGCGACCAGCTTCGTTTCTCCTGCAATGGGTTGGTGAGCCGTCCCAGAGCATGCTGGAGTTGCACTTGAAGATGTTGTGGGGTTGTCGACCAAGGCAAAGGGTGCAGGCCGAAAGGGGGGTCGACGTTGCGGGTGCACCCTGTTGAAAAACCTGGTTCGGTGCCTCTACTCCTTCGCAGCGCTGTCTTTTGGCATAGTGTGGAAGCGGGGCTGCTCTGCGAGGTGCCTGCTTGCTTTTGGCCTGAGTAGTACGATGCTTTCCTTCCGTCTCCGGGGACGGGGACAGGGAGCGGTCACGTTTTATCCCTCTAGAGAGGTTTGATCTGGCTAGCTGTTCTTCGAGCCTGATAATGTGGGTAGCAAGTGGATATCAGTACAAGGAGACCAGCCGGGTTGTACAGTGTAGTATTTAACCATTAAATATTAAATGTGGATGTGCAATTATGTGACACAAGAATAACCGATCGCAGACCATACGGTAATGAGCCGGAGTCATGGAGTAATGAAAGGAAATGCAGAGGAGTAGGAGTAAGCTCGTAGGTATAGGGAAGTAGATACATATTATAGGTGGAGAGGACATATAGACACATAGCATGGGTGTGATATGGGGCCGTGTGGATGCGGGGCGTGGGTGTAGGTTACGGGCACGGGTTATGGGTGCGGGTTATGGGTGCAGGTTATGGGTGTGAGTTATGGGTGCAGGTTATGGGTGCAGAGGTATGGGTGCAGAAGGTATGGGTGCGGAGGTATGGGTGCGGGTTATGGGTGCAGAGGTATGGGTGCGGGTTATGGGTGCGGAGGTATGGGTGCAGGTTATGGGTGCGGAGGGGGTGCGTGAGGGTGCGCGGCATGTGTGCATGATGAGCACAGGGGCGCAAAGATGAGATGTGGGTTAATGACAGTGCGGTGTGAGATGTTGTCAGCTGCATGCCCCTCAGCTTGTGAATGAATGGTGACTGACCGTTTAATGCCTTGGGCCTGACGGAGGTTGAGCACCTCGCTGTACATTTCATCCAGCCGTTTGTCATTGACAACACTGATGTCGAAGACTTCCTCGTCATTGGTGCTCTTGAGGTCTTCCATCCACCTACGGCGGATGCGCGCCTGGTACAGTAGAACAGCGGTTTCTCCCCCCTCTAGGTCGCTGATTGGGTGCTTGTCGAGCTCGAGAAAGAATACACCAAGGGCCATGACGTGTTCCTCGGGCCAGCCTGCGTCCACCATGGCTTCCAGCATGTAGTCCTTCGCCTTGATGATTTGGCGCCATTCGAGGTTCTCATCCTGGACGACCTTTGTGGATGGCTTGTACGCAGCAGCGGGTTTTGCCAGCACGTTCTCTCCGTCAGCCATCAGGGTGAAGGTGCCCCTCGCCACTGAGTATTCCGTCCTCTCAGCCTCAAGACAGGCCTCCTTGGTGAAATAGTAGAGCTCAACGTACTCGAGTTGTTCAATCTTGTGGATCGCATAGCAGGAAGGTCGACGAGATGACAACTTCCCGACCGTCTTGTTCGGGGTGAAGGATTTTATCTTGGGCCGTTTGTTCTCCCTCTCACACTTCTCAGCTTTGGCAGCCTCTTGCTTTGCTTGCTCCTGAGCTGCCCTAGCTTCCTCTTCTTCTGCGTGGTCTTGCTCGACCTGGGCGTTCCACGCGACTCTTTGCGCGTCGTTGTTCTGGGTCCAAGCATTTTGGGAGTCGGCTATGATAGCGTCCACTGTGCGCTCGGCGGTGGCTAAGGTGGCGTAAAGCGCCCGGAATTGTTCCGACTCAAAGTCGGGGGGTTGCACCAAGTGCGGGTCTTGTGTGATACGTGGCGGCATGTGTGGCCTGAAGTTGCTTTAGGTAGAGTGAACAGCAGAGATACAGCGCGTGTTGGTAGATACGATGAGAAAAGAAAAGCCCGCAACGCTGGACTGCTCTCAGCGTGGGCAGCAGGTGGCAGTCGAGGAGAAAGAGGTTCTCCTCACCTAACACTGCCACCGCTGATGCATAGACCGCACCCTAACCCTACGCTCGTACCTCACTACGTTATAGGCCAAAAAATTACCCCTATGCCGAATGCCGCTTAGTGGTCCTCGTTTATTTACTCTCCGATTATATTCACCGCTCTGTACAGTATATAAAGGAAGTAGCTACTCGTTTGTATTTCTAGGTTCCCTTTGAATATGATAGCTCTCAGCGGTCTGTTCTCTGTGCTTTCCGTGTGCCGTGACTGTTGCCTTCTGGCTTCCAGTTGGCGACGGCATTCTTGACGACGCTCGGCGACCGTGTTGCGAGAGGGGAAGACGAAGGGAGAGTTGTGAAGTGCATGGAGTCACTGCAGGAAGCCGTTACATTTTATTGAGCTGCCCCTAGTGTACAATAGATTCAACCGTCTAAGTCGGCCTATGCGACCGCCCCCAAGTCGGTCTCATGAACTGCCTAATGTCGGCTCAATGAGCTGTAAATGGCACCATTTTGAGCTGCTTTTTGCAGTCCATTGAGACGTGTTTGAGGTGGATATTTCAGCTCGTGATCAGGCTCCGGGTGTCCATATTCAGGGTTAGGAAAACAGTGTATATTCACCACTACAATTACAACAGAAACTCTAGAGCCTACAAGTACGAACATACATATGTGGGGTGCAGGGGGGCGACATACCATCTCAATCTTCCAGAGTCAAAGCCCCGGGCGTCCTTGCAAGGAACCCTAAGGCTCTCGGCTTTGCCCAGCTCATCCTGGCAGAGTCACGACTAATTTAGCTAGAACGACAATGGAAGGCGGTTGACGTACGAAGTCGGTACCCTTTGCCTGCTTCTTCACCTGCGCTGCATTCTTCTGTCTCCCTACTCCTTCTCCCTTTGTAGATTTCATCAATACTTCCTCGTTTTAAGGACAATAAAGGCACGTACGCTGGCCTTAATCCCTCTCCCGTCTTCGCATGCGCCCAGCGCGTCGTTGTCGAGTCTGAGAGCGTGGACATTCGCGGCCTAGATGCTGTAAATGAGTGCGAATTCATTGAGGAAAGAATCACACCTGTTGTACACGGTCACGCCAAATCAGAAGAATAGAACATACACGGTCGCCGCGTCATCGCCGTCATCAGTGTTCGCGCATGATCTTCCGTGGCAGCATCTATACGCCCGTCGTCCATCCTCTTCTCGTGTGCCAACATGGTGAAGACCATACACAAGTGGAGGCTGTGAGTGATAGAAAAAACTATGCTCCAGGTCAAGTGTACTGACCCGTCCGGTCCATTAGGAATAACAGGGGGATAGGCGTCGAGTTGTGCCTTTGACTCACGGGTGGGGTCCGTGACAAGTATGAGGTACATACATATTCTGCTCTGCGTTCTCCCTTCTACTGTGTGTGGCCCAGACTCCATGAGGGCTGGCGAAGACTCTTGGTCACGTACGTGAGCGAGAGTACAGAGAGGAGGCCAATTCAAACTTGCCTTCCTTCGGCTCAGCTTCCCATCTCCATGTTCACCCCATACTACGGTGCCCGCGAACCCCTGCGAAGACACGCGACGCGCATGGAGAGGGACGAGCTGTGGTTAGGCAGTTCTAAGTGAGATAGAGCACATATAGTCTGCAGGATGGAGACCTACGATGCAAACTACCCTCCCAAGGCCATGTCGCGATCGGACTATCAGATTCCGGATCGAGACGATCAGAGCATACAGGGCCCTTGTAGGCCCGAGGACATTCAGGAAATGGAAAGCACGGCATCAAAACACGGCGATCGTGCATGGCGGCACGGCGGCTATCTTATACGCGGTCACGTGCAAGTTGAACCAACTAGCTCAATGTCGTGCCAGGTCGCGCTCAGCACGGCCCCTACTATCCACACCAATGCCAGTGTACCACACGATTTCTCGGCTCGGAGTCCTGTCTCTTCTCTCAATCCCTCGACTTCTTCTATCCATCACACTATCTCGGAGCCTCAAACGAGACATATCTTTACCTCTTTGATGATGCTCCACAAAGCGTGGACATACGGAACATCTACATCGAGAGCTTCTGCAAGAAAATCGGCAATGGCTTGAGGGAGGTACTTCGGCGCACCGGTAGATTGGCTTGAGAGGGGTTGAGGATGTGTGGGAGGCACCAAGCAGTGATGAAGCCTCGCAAGCAACAGAGGATTGCTTCAGGAAATATGGCTGGAAGCGAGAATTGAGTACACCTCGCATTAGTACTTCCAACATTGAGGTGTTGAATTAACTCTAGCCTCTCTTACACTCTATCCTCCTGGAGACCATTGCACAAGTGCTGACTGTGTCTGAGCTGCTGAATTAAAGAAGGACGAGCATCGACAAGTTGTCATATACACCCCTTGCTGGTCCACAGCATGCATGGTTGGTACATCTGTATTGTCCTAGTGCGCACCACCTATCAACTTGAGAACGATAAGCCAATTCATTATGCAGATTGCAAGACCAACTACCACAACAACTTTTACGTCAACAGGGGTGTAAGGACTTATTACGGCGGAAAGCCAAAGTACATTCAAGTTGGCAAACATCAATTTGTTGAAGATAGGGATTGTCACGGGTAACCCTGGGGTATTCCAGGGCTACCCGTACCCTTACCCCAGCAAACCCGCACCCGCCTCGACGGGTAGGGGTTTCCGTGGGTCAGGGTAGGGGTTTCGAGAGGGCCTGCAGGTTTTTGAACCCGTGTGGTGGGTATAACATTGGCAGGGGCCTTTTGCATTGCAGAAACAACACACACCGTCAAATGACGTGGTGTCACACTCTGCGATGGTAGGGCCCTTCGTCGTGTTTGTGCCCCTCGTCATGCCGTCGGTGCTTGTCGTGGTTCCCATACCCATCATCATACTTGTCATCGTGCCGTACTTGTCATCGTGCTGTACTCATCAATGTGCCGGTGACCGTCATCGTGCAGCGCCCTTCGTTGTGCTGTCGGTGCTCACCATCATTCCCGTGCCCGTCAATGTGCTCGTCGTCGTGCCGTGCTCGTCGAGTCTGTCGACGTGGCCATGCTCGACCTCACCGCCTGCTCGGGAATGCTCGACCTCATCATCTCCTGTTCACCTATTGAGTTTCTGGCTAAGTGATGTACCTACCATTTGCAAGAGCTGGCCACATCCTACTGGAAAGGAGGGGCACACAGCGAAATCGTTGATGTCATGGCACATAGGCGAAGCACTAGGGTGGATATGCAAGTCCAAATAAGCACCAAAATAGAATAGAAATGTATTTACTTACCTTTCTTCACCAAGAAAGGGCTGCGAGGGATGTGGGGAGAACAAAGGAAATGGTCAAAAGTGAACAGAAACAAGATCAACGATGACACAGCCATAAATTGTGGCTGTGTCGGCAAGTTCCGAGATGGGCCGCTAAACCCGCCAACCCGGCTCACGGGTGCAGGTTCGATGAGGGTACAGGTTTGCCAACCCATACCCTTACCCTGCTGACCCTACCCGTCAACCCAGCGGGTTTTTGAAACCCGTGACAATCCCTAGTTGAAGATCAACTGGCAAAGTGGTGGGTTACATCCATGCTGACAGGCTGGTACGTCTGAATGATTTCTGCAATGAAGACCTGTCTGACACAAGAATAGGATGTTGGCTGGGAATTCCCACTCTAGCTACAAGAAAATATTTTCGTCCACCTGCGAAAATGAATCCGACATTGAGGGCCCTGAGGGTGGGTGGAAATTCGGCATGAAGTTAACCACTGACCATGTCTGGGATGCCTTCATCATCTCCTCCCTTATTCGACAACACGAAGTGTGAAATGAGATCATTATTGTTCCACATACTGGGGATCAGAAGGATCACTTCACAGCTCTTATGCAGCAATGCAATGAAGAGGTCATCAATTACAGCCAAGATGAGATCTCGCACTACTGTGACAAATGTATGTGTGTCTGGACAGACGAGGCTGGGGTGATTTGTGTGGTTTATTTTTCTATAATCGAGGCACACACCTAACAGCAATTTCATACCAGATAAATGCCAAGTAGGGATTGTCACGGGTTTCAAAAACCCGCTGGGTTGATGGGTAGGGTCAGCAGGGTAAGGGTATGGGTTGGCAAACCTGTACCCTTGTCGAACCTGCACCCGTGAGCCGGGTTGGCGGGTTTAGTGGCCCATCTCGGAACTTGCCGACACAGCCACAATTTATGGCTGTGTCATCGTTGATCTTGTTTCTGTTCACTTTTGACCATTTCCTTTGTTCTCCCCACATCCCTCGCAGCCCTTTCTTGGTGAAGAAAGGTAAGTAAATACATTTCTATTCTATTTTGGTGCTTATTTGGACTTGCATATCCACCCTAGTGCTTCGCCTATGTGCCATGACATCAACGATTTCGCTGTGTGCCCCTCCTTTCCAGTAGGATGTGGCCAGCTCTTGCAAATGGTAGGTACATCACTTAGCCAGAAACTCAATAGGTGAACAGGAGATGATGAGGTCGAGCATTCCCGAGCAGGCAGTGAGGTTGAGCATGGCCACGTCGACAACTCGACGAGCACATTGACGGGCACGGGAATGATGGTGAGCACTGACAGCACAACGAAGGGTGCTGCACGATCAGCCATGTCTGCTAGAAATCTATATCAGACACTGTATTTTTACAAGGTATGCTTATATGTCAGGACTGTGGTTTTACAGTCCACCTATGGAGAGGGCCTTGCCGGGTGTGCCAGGGCTTGCGGCTGTGGGCGGGGCCTATCAACACAAGCAAACAATGCAGGAAACAATGCCCAAGCATTGTTCCTCGTTGTTTTTGGCATGCCCACCACCGTTTTCGATGGGGAAAAAGCGCCAACAATGAGGAAATATATTTCCTCATTGTTGTGCACCATTTCCCCCATTGTCGGGGGGCGGGAATGGATGGATTGGGCCAGGTGGGTTTGGTGCGGCCCTTTTGGTGGGGCCTGTAGCTATTTTTAGATTACTCTGTAATTACTATGACAAACCCATTGTAATGGTCTCGCCGCCATCTGCCACGACATCCGGCAAGCTCAGGGTACACCAGAAAAATAGTAAAAAAAATTGTTTTAAATTGAAATAAAATACATACATGATGTGGGTGGCTCTTACCAGCCACCAACTATGAGTTAAGATGAAAAGAAATAGAAACAACGCATTGTGACACATCGTTTCCGCTCTGGTCCTCATCCCTGCCTTATTGCAGCAAAAAAATGCAAAAAAAAATTGTATTATATTGTAATAAAATAAATACATGCTGCAGGTGGCTAGTAGAGCCACCTGCTATGAAATAAAGATTAAATGAGCAGAAACGGCGCATCATAGTGCACCGTTTCTGCTCAGGGGGACAGGTGGTCCCCCTCCACTCCCTCCTCTGTTTGGCGGGGTACCCTCGGCCCCTTCAGTGCTCGTTGGGGGCCCACTCTACCCCTCCGCCTCCTCCTCTGCTCGTTTTCCCCCTTTGTCACTTGTTTGCCGCCTTTGTTGCTCGTTTGCCCCTTTGTCACCTGTTGGGCCCCTTCAGGTGCTCATGGGGGCTCTTCGGGTGCTCATGCTCCCCCTCTTCATGCTCTCCCTTCTGGTGGTGGGCGCTGAGCAGGAGGCAAAGGGCACGGGTGAAGAGCAAGGGGGGGAAAAGGGTGAGGGGGGGCAAAGGGCGAGGGAGGAAGGCTGGGACAGGGGCAAACAAGGGAGGGAGAATCAGGGGCAAGGGCAAAGGCAAAGGCAAGAAGGTGGGTTGATGTCCATTGACGTCCTGTGCCCGCTGTCGCCGTCCTGTGCCCACCCCTGTTCGTACCCACCGTCGTCGTTCGTCACCGTCCTTGCTCATCGCCATCCCCATTCGTCGCCGCCCTTGCTCGTCGCTGTTCTTGCTCATCGCCGTTGTCGTTCATTGGCGTCCCCATTCATCGCCACCCCCATTCGTCGCCGTCCTTGCTCATCCCCGTTGTTGTTCTCGCTCGTCGTTTGTTGGCATCGCCGTTCATCGCCATCCTTCGTTTGTTACCCGCCACCTTTGGTCGCCGTGTGCTGCTGTTGTTTGCCCACTGGTCGTTGTGGTTCTCCTCTCGTCGCTGCTGTTTGTGTGAGGAGGGGGCACCTCCGCCCCCCTCTGCCCCCCGCTCATCCATGGGGGGCACCGCTACCCTCCTCCACCCCATGCTCATCCATGGGGGGCACCTCCACCCCCTGCTCATCCGTGGGGGCACCTCTACCCCCCTCCTCATCCATGGGGTCACCTCTACCCCCCTCCACCCCCTTCTCATCCATGGGGGGCACTTCTAGTCCCCTCCTCATCCGTGGTGGCGCCCCTTGCTCATCCGTGGGGGGTTCCTCTGCCCCCCTACTCATCTGCCAGGGACTCCGCCCCCTGTCGGTCGTCGTTCGTGCGCCGATGTGCGTCCATCGTCCGTTGTCCGTTGTCGTGCCTGCGTCGTCATTCGTGTGTCGTCGGTCATCGGTTGTCGCCCGTGCGTCGTCGTTCGCCCCTCTCCCTCTGGTCGTCCCTTGCCACCGTCCTTTGTTCGCCCTTCGCCGCTGTCGTTGGTCCACAGATCGGTGGGAGGGTGGTGCCAGCAGGGGGAGAAAGCGAGGCAAGGGAGAGGGGGAAAGGTGAGAGACGGAGGCGTAGGGTTTCATGCCTCCGCCCACATCCCTATTGAAGGGGAGGGGCATGGGAGGACAAGAAAACGAATGTCGACTTAAAGTCGACGTTCGTTGGCCTAAGGTTGAATTAAAGGCCTATTAGAGTATGAAAACATGAATAAAACAGATTACTTATCGTTTTTTTCAGTCTTGAGGTGTTGTTTGGGGTGTTGAGTAAAGAAGGGAGAGAGGAGATGGTGGTCGAGGATGAGGATCAACGATGGTCATCGTCGTTGATGGCTTATCTGGCAGATGCCGCGGGCAATGTGATTGGCTGGTGCTGGCGGTCCGGCCAGCCCGTGTTCCGCTCATCGACCTCAGAAGAGCCAATACACTTGAGATATGAAGAAAATCCTTTGATTAATGATTGGTAATTAATAGAACTACTGTAATCTATGTATGTAAAAAAGTCCGAATATGATCTGAGAGCGAGAACGAGCTGAAAGCTTGAGTTACTATTTCCGCGTGGTGATTTACATCTTTTTGATGTTCCAACCTCTTGAATACCACTCGTTCGACGAGGTTAAACATCATAATAACCATGAATTTGAGATCTTTGGGTAAGTAAGTACATCATATAAAAAATTTAGCCTGAATCTACCATGTAAATCCTATGATACAGGCCGGTGTTTGATATCTGACACATCCATGAGTTGGTTTGACTACGGAATCCACCCCGTCGTGTGCAGTTTCTTAGTTTACATCCAAAAACTACTAAGTTGGCCAGGGGAGCTCCATTCCTCAATACTATCATAATCATCCAGTCTGTACATTATTTTTACATATTTATTTCATTTCTTCTGCCTCTTGAAATCTATGTACAGAGGAGAGACTCCCCTAATTGGCTTGAGTCTGAGATGAATTGACTCATAAAATATTTAAATCGCGTTTTATTTTGTTAAAATTACATATATAGATGCACTGATATACTAATAACGATTTCCGAGAGTTTAAATAGAGGAACGACAACTTCTGCATCCAGTGGAGACATTCCGTTGGTCGACAATGGAACAGAAACAGGATCGGGCCGATAACCCCAGCCAATGGGATGGGCAGCCGGATCCCGCTGAACCGCGATCAACGATGCTCAACATCGTTGATCTTGGTCTTTCTCCACCACTTCCCTCACCCCCTCGCTGCAAAGCAGCCCCGAAATGCGAGACAAGGTAAGTATGGTTCTTTTTTATGTATCTATGTCCCTACTAATCTACCTCTGCATTCACAGAACAGCGTTCACATCGATGACGACACACCAAAACCGCCCCTCCCCTTGCGACAGGGATGTGGGCTCGGGCACCTCCATGCCCACCACCGTCTGCTTGGCCACCACCACCTGCTTGCCCGCCACCACCCTCTTGCCCAACATCGCACGCTCGCCTGCCATTGCCCTTCGACCAGGCGGAGGATAGCAACGGCAGTGACGATGAGGACGGGGCACGATGTCGACGAGGACGGTGGGGGCATGATGAGGACGACAGGGGCACAACGACGAGGACGCGGGGGTATGGTGACGAGGACGACGGGGGTACGGTGACGAGGACGATGGGGGCACGACAGGGATGACAGCGACGAGGACAACAGGGGCAGGACAATGAGGATGGGGGGATGACAACGAGGACGACGGCAGGGCACCCTTCACCCCTGCCTTCGCCCCTCATTCACTCGCCCCGTCCTCTCCCTCGCCCTGTTGCCCTCTGCCCCGCCTTCTTGCCCCCCTCGCCCGCCATCTCGCCCTCTTCCCTCGCCTTCTTGCCCTTGCCCTTGCCCTTGCCCTCTGCCTTGCCCCTGTCCTCTGCCTCGCTTGCCTTCACCCTCTCCCCCCCGTCCGCCCCTCACTCGCCCCTTGTCCGCCCTCTGCCTCACCCTCGCCGTCTGCCTAGCCCCTGTCCTCTCGCCGTCTACCCCTCCGTCTCGCCTTCGTCGTCAGCCTCTTGCCCTCTTGCCCCTCACCCTTTCGCCCCTCACCCTTCCGCCCCCCTCGCCCTCTCGCCGCCATCTCGCCCCTCACCCTTTTGCCCTTTTGCCTTTGCCTTTGCCGTCGCCTCTCGCCCTCTGCCCACCCTCGCCCTCTGCCCTCGCTCTTGCCATCTCCCCTCGCTCTTGCCATCTCCCCTCGCTCTCCCTCATCCACCTCGCCGTCTCACCGTCTCCCTTGCCATCTCCCTCTCACCCTCGCCCCCATCCTCTGCCCCGCCATCTCACCCACCGTCTCACCACGACGACAACGATGGGCACGGAACAACAACAACGACAACGGGGGGCACAGAATGACAACGACAAGCAGCATGATGATGAGGAGAGGGCAGCATGACAAGGACGGGGAGGGCAGCATGATGACGATGGCAGGGGAAGGACGACAACAACGGCGGGGGCCCTCTGCCTCACCCTGTCACCCTTTGCCCCGCCTTCTAGCCCCTCGTCCACCCCTCATCCACCCCTCAGCTGCCCCTCGCTCGCCCTCACCCTCGCCCTCTGCCCTGCCCCTCGCCCTCTGCCCCATCCGTCCCCTTGCCATCCCCCTCTCGCCCGCTGTCGCCCCCTCCCTTGCCTCTCACCGTCACCTCACCCCCTCGCCATCCGTGTATTGACGCGAACATCACCAAGGAGAACGAAAGGTGGTACAAGCGGGCAGGGGGGACAGCGAGTGGCTGAGGGGTTCAACAAGCTGCGGATGAGGCCCAGTGAGCCGTGGAGGGGAAAACGAGTGACAAAGGGGCTAATGAGGAGGCGAGCAGGTGCAACGAGCAGAGGAGGGGGCCAAACGAGGAGATGAGGGACCCAACAAGCAGTGGGGGCTGCCTGCGAGCAGATGAGGGGACAAACGATGAACCGAGCAGCCCCAATGAGTGGCGAAGAACCCCAGCGACGACTCGATGGACGCCCATGAGCAGAGGGGACCAACGACCCCATCCGACGGCCCCACACGAGCAGCGAAGGGACCAACAATGAGCCAAGGCCCCCCAACGGGCAGCAGAGGGGGTGCATGAGCAGCAGGAGGGCAGAACAAGCAGGTCCCCCCAAGCAGAAACGGCACGTTCATGGTGCGCCGTTTCTACTCATTTTCTCTTTATTTCAGAGTGGGTGGCTAGTAGAGCCACCTGCACCATGTACATAATATATTATTTCAATTTAAGATGATTTTTTGTAATTTTTTCGTGTACTGAGATCCCCCCGAGCTCACCGGACGTTGTAACAGATGACGGCTAGAGCAATATAATAGATGTGTCATGGTAATTACAGCAAAATCTAAAAATAGCTATGAGACCTGAAAAAGGGCTGCATCATCCAAACCACCCCCTCCCAATCCAGCTATCCCACCCCCCCAACGGTGGGGGAAATGGTGCAGAACAGTGAAGAAATATCATTCCTCGTTGTTGGCGCCTTTTCCCTGTCAAAAACGGGGGCGGGAGCACCCCAAACGACAAGGAACAGTGTCCGAGCACTGTTTCCTGTGTTGTTTGCATGTATTGACATGCCCCGCCCACAGCCGCGAGCCCCGGCACACCCGGCAAGGCCCTGTCCGTAGGTGGACTGTAAAACCACAGTCCTGACATATAAGCATACATTGTAAAAATACAGTATCTGATGTATTCTCGTAGCTTATAGAAGTGGCACAATGATGGTCACCAGCACATTGACGAGTACAGCACGATGACAAGTACAGCATGATGACAAGTACGACAATGGGTATGGGAACCACGACAAGCACCGACGGCATGATGAGGGGCACAAACATGACAAAGGGCCCTACCATTGCAGAGTGTGACACCACGTTATTTGACGGTGTGTGTTGTTTCTGCAATGCAAAAGGCCCCTGCCAATGTTATACCCACCACACAGGTTCAAAAACCTGCAGGCCCTCTCTAAACCCCTACCCTGACCTGTGGAAACCCCTACCTGTCGAGGCGGGTGCGGGTTTGCTGGGGGTAAGGGTATGGGTAGCCCTGGAATACCCCAGGGTTACCCATGACAATCCCTAATGGCACACTGCACTCAGCACAGCCACTGCTGGGCGCTTTTCCAAGGGTCAAGATGGAATTCCTCCGCAACTGCTTAACCAATCTTTATGAAAATTTACACAGTGCCAGATACATTATATGCGAAGGTTACTGCAAATTTTCAAACATTTTTGCATCAAATCACCTGAGATACTAGGATTGCGCTTTTTCAAAAACCTGCATTGGAATATCTCAACAAATAATAGAGCAAAAGCTTCACGAGCTGAGATCCATTAACAAGGATACCAGAGGTACTTGCACAAAAATTTTCAGCTTTATAACTTAAATGGTTGCTGAGATATTGAGCCTACACTGCGAGGAAGTGCATCATTTTCAAGCTCTAAGTCATTTCAAACTCAGACAGGCTGAGCACTCATACAGGAGGTGGAAGCTGAATATCTCAAGAACTGCTACAGCTATGGACATAAAAATTTACAGGCATTTACAATACATACTGTTGATAATTTCTGCAAAGTTATATGTTATTTGATCAAATATTTACTGAGATATTAGAGGTACACCTTTTCAAAACTGTGCAGACATAATATAAAAATTTGAAATTTTGGAATATCATTCATTCATATCATGAGATCACTGGTACAAATTTTGAGAAGCATAGCTGATATATTTCTTGCAGTATTCAGCTGGGGAGAATGGTCACATCTGTGCCATGCATGGCACAGAACCGTCACAATGAGTTGTGTGTAGCTTTTGACTTTTAGCCCTCTGCACGTGATATGGTTCATTACATAACCGTTGGTGGTTCACGAACCATTTGCCTCTCACGCATTGGCATCAACAAACCAATCTCCCTTTCCCTCCTACCACCATCTTCACATCGTCGTCCCCATCATGAGCAGTGACCACACCACGGCTGCTCTCCCGCATTACACCCATCTAGGGATTGTCACAGGTAACCCTGGGGTATTCCAGGGCTACCCATACCCTTACCTCAGCAAACCCACACCCGCCTCGACAGGTAGGGGTTTCCACAGGTCAGGGTAGGGGTTTAGAGAGGGCCTGCAGGTTTTTGAACCTGTGTGGTGGGTATAACATTGGCAGGGGCCTTTTGCATTGCAGAAACAACACACACCGTCAAATGACGTGGTGTCACACTCTGCGATGGTAGGGCCCTTTGTCATGTTTGTGCCCCTCATCATGCCGTCGGTGCTTGTCATGGTTCCCATACCCATCGTTGTACTTGTCATCGTGCTGTACTCATCAATGTGCTGGTGACCGTCATCGTGCAGCGCCCTTCGTTGTGCTGTCGGTGCTCACCATCATTCCTGTGCCTGTCAATGTGCTCATTGTCGTGCTGTGCTCATCGAGTCGTCGATGTGGCCATGCTCAACCTCACTGCCTGCTCGGGAATGCTCAACCTCATCATCTCCTGTTCACCTATTGAGTTTCTGGCTAAGTGATGTACCTACCATTTGCAAGAGCTGGCCACATCCTACTGGAAAGGAGGGGCACACAGCGAAATCGTTGATGTCATGGCACATAGGCGAAGCACTAGGGTGGATATGCAAGTCCAAATAAGCACCAAAATAGAATAGAAATGTATTTACTTACCTTTCTTCACCAAGAAAGGGCTGCGAGGGATGTGGGGAGAACAAAGGAAATGGTCAAAAGTGAACAGAAACAAGATCAACAATGACACGGCCATAAATTGTGACTGTGTCGGCAAGTTCCGAGACGGGCTGCTAAACCCGCCAACCCGGCTCATGGGTGTGGGTTCGACAAGGGTACAGGTTTGCCAACCCATACCCTTACCCTGCTGACCCTACCCGTCAACCCAGCGGATTTTTGAAACCCGTGACAATCCCTATGCCCATCTTGCATCGCCCCTCTCTCCTGCCAACACGGACCATGCCACAAGCACGATGAGGTCCCTCTGCCTGCCACCTCTACCTGCCCCCACTGCATGCATTGTCTCGCGTCATCACCTTCATCGTACGCCCCGCTTGTGCCATCGGGCACCCCTTAGCTGATATGCTGGGATGTCAGAATCGAAGGAGATGACCAGCTCTTGTAGCTGTAGGGGTCATGGCAGTTTGTAGTGTGGTAATGGCAGCACTGACACTTGTGGCAGCTGTCGTTGTAGAGTCCCAGTGCTCATGCCATATATATACCTCTATATACTTCACAATATCAGGTTCTCTTACTATGCTTGCCCTTCAACATTGCAGTGAAAATCACGAATATCAGTAGTACTTGTGTTTGGAATTTTGACTTTGCAAAATTTCTCTAAGTCCATCCAGGCCACAGTTTGAGATGAACTGGTTCACGAATTTGATGTGTTAGGTAATGTCTTAGTATCACGTGCAGAGGGCTAAAAGTTGCCAACTGTTGTGTGTTGCACAATCAACAAAGTCACATGATGGTCATGGTGCGTTGTTTGGTTGTCATAGCTCCACCAAACAAAGTGTGCAGCAAGTGTCGTCAAACCTGCCAACGCTGTACTTGCACAACTCTTCCCATTCCCTTACCTCACCCACTTTCAAACATGCTATCTTCTCTTTTCAAAGGTATGTTTTCTTTCCCATATTTAATGGTCTTCTTGATACTAAATACCCATATTTCCCCTTCACAGTGCATCTCTCCTGCCAGCACATACTCATGTAGCCCCCAGTTCATGGTCTCAACAACAGGTATGTACTTGTTTCTTTTTCATTCAATGATTAGATTCTCATGAACATATTCCAGGACATGGTGCAGAACAAGAAGAGAATTGAAGGAATGGCAACACAAGAATTGGGAAAGTGAGAATTTGGGAGTCAGGTGGCAGCGCAATGGGTACCAGAGTGAGTCGTTATATTTTTTTTTGTCTTCATCCTACTGACTATATATCTAGATTATGATATCTTCTTTCTATGCTATGGGTGAGTGCATATTTCAGTAGAAGGGAATTGTATTATAGCATACAGTACTAGTATTAATGTAATCTGTTCAATGTACATTAGATAGAGAAATATAAATATAGTTGAGTCTTCTTTCAATACATGAAGTGTGAACAGAAGAAAAAAATGAAATGCCCTGAATAACACCTACTGTGGTCTTAGCCTGTCCTCTGAGCATCTTGAGGACACCCTGAGGGCACTATAAGATTTTACACCTAGGAACATAGGCTTCAGGAGCCTTACTGTCCTTGGTGTCTTAGATGTCTCAGATTGTCCTCAAGACAATCTAAGACAAAAACATTTTTCCTGATGTTATCCACCAATCCAAACGCAGCTTCTGTTGGGGTCATTGATGAGGCCGCCAGTGAGATGACCGCCAACATTCCATCTACTCTACCAGCCAGTTCATCCACCAATGCTATTGAGACAATCAACAATGAAACCCCCCCCTGAAGCTGTCAAAACTCCGCAAGGCAATAAACAGATGAAAGCTCAATTCGGACGTCGTCGCACCCATAATGAGCAGACCCTTGTTCGTCCATGTGGGGTTATCTGTGCTTGTGCAACCTTCTATAATGCAGAAGCTGTTTCAAATGTCCTGGTACAATATTTTACCGTTCTATGGCACATATACCAGCTCATGGTTTGTATTAGCACTTCATCAAGCATGTATTTTCAGTTCCGATGGCCCAGAAGCCAGAGCACATAATCTACGACACCAACTGTGATGCAAAACAACAGGTGTTAGCCTCGAAGGACCCTTGGTTCGAAAATGTCAGCATGTGCATTGACATGTGGCATTTTCTCAACAAGCACAAGGTTACCCACACATTCTGTCAATAACACTGCAACCCAGCAATGTATCCAGAGCTCATGGGACCAAACAGTGATTGGTTTTTCAATACCTCCATCACTGAGCAGGTCAACATCTGGCTTGGAGGATACCATGCCATCTGCTGCGAAATGCTTCCTGTCAAGTACAACTTCTTCCTTGATGAAATGATCCACCTTCGAAACGAAATAACAGTTGAATGGCTCAGAGAAAAAGGCCATCGGCCCCATAATTTGCCACCTCATAATTTGCCACCTCAGGTTTAATTGAATGTATATATACAACAAAAATACAGTAGAGTAATCCATACAAAGCTAGAATAGAGTATTTGATACAAAGCTAAAAGCTACATGAAATTGCTGAAGACAATAATGATATAACAAAACAACAGGAGGGCTACAGAAGAGAGTGGGCAAACAAAACAATACCAGTTGGAAGGGATGTACAAGCTGTCTGATTTACTTCAATGGAACACAAGAACTGAGATAGACCCACAAACCCTCTGGAGTTTTACCCCCTTTAAGGACCCTCTCGAGCAATAGTGGAGGTGCGATAGCCCATCGTGCGCGAGCATCATGGTATGTCTGTGGAGGCATCCGGCAGTGAAAGACCTGGCAGACCACATCCATCACGTGCTCTGTCCTCTTGTTCTCCTTGTTCGCAGTAATGATCTTGTCGATCTTGAGAAAACCGTCAACCATATCACAAGCATACATGCCAGATGGCCATTGCAACGTTGACGGACTAGGCAATGGGCACTGTGATGATGGGCTGGGGGAAGGTGACGATGACCAGAGAGGAGGCAAAGACAGAGGCAGGTGTGGCAAGCTGGGGGCAGGAGCAGGTGGCATTCCAGGAAGTGGCGACTCGATAAGGCGAATAGGATTGGATGATGTCCTGCTACCCATTGTGGCTTGGGGTCTTGGGCGGCGTTGTGGAGGGCTGAGTGACTCTTCCTTGACGTGACAATGTTTGAGGGTGGTAGGAGGGTCAACAAACTCGACCTCCGAGCTGTCGTCATCGTCTTGTTGAGCCTTGGACTTGTTCAGCATGCTTAACGCTGTCCGTTCTCATGGCATATCCATGTGGAAACGGTTGATAGGTTGATGAGAGATGAAGTGGGCAATTTTCTCTTTCTCGTCAACCCCAACTACCCCTTTCCATCGCAGGAGAACAGCAGAGTCGGTTGAAATAGGGTGGCAGTGATTGAGGAGGACTTCGACCCACAAGTGCATTTTAGGGCAATAAACCTGAAGGGCTGGAATCGGTTCCCAGAGGATGGATAGTTGTTTGAAGGTATGGAAGTGCCAATTGGGCCAGTCGGGGCAGTCCTGGATGAGTTGAACGTGTGCCGGCTCCTGGGAATCGTCCCAATACACAAGATAAAACCAACATCCAGACACATCCTTCTGGTGTGAGGGACTGGCTGTTGGTGGGGTCGAGACGGATGTGTATTGTGCCATCCAAGTCGGGTTCATCTGTGTCGTGATCTTTGGCTGGGTCAATGAGCGACAGGGAAGGGAAGTCCAGCCAGTGCCGTCATTGATATGTATGAAGCTGGGCAGTTGCCCAAAATTGATGATGCATCAGGGAGGGCAGTTCCCCAGCCCTATAAAACAGAGGCAATTGCCCTATAAAAATGACGTAGAAGGGTGTTATGGACTGTGATATGTGACTGATGCCAAGTAGATCAACAGGTCATGTGAATCTGAATTTGCCTTTTTCTTCATGCTCGGCCTCTGAAACTTTGATATTCTGGCCTCAAATGCAAACAAATAGTAAATATATGACTGCCACACTCAGCATTGGTGTGATGCAAATGCAGTAAGTCCATCAAAGGTACTGATGGCATCACAGAGTCACATGTTGTGAGTTGGACTTTGGCAAAAATTTGTTACAGTCTCTTTATATCAAGTACTAGACAATTGCTAGAGGCTATTGATATTTCTTCAAATAACAGGTCACATGACTGTGGGAATCAACTTTGTTTTGCATTTTTCTCAACAATGACTAATGCTGCTGATGTCATTCAAGTACTTTTAGGATCACCTGATCATGATCTATGACCCTGCACAATTTTTTTTTTTCAAAACCGCTGATGTTTCAAAATTCTTTTGCGTTTTTCTCAACAACAACTAATGCTGATGACATCATTCAAGTACCATCAGGATCCCCTCATCATGATCTACAACCCTGCACAAAAAATTCCCAAAAAGGAAATTGGGCAATTGCCCAAGCTGTCACACCTAGAGCAAAACAGGCCTACAATATCAGCACTTTAAGGCCTGGGGAACTGCCCTCCCTGATGCATCCCTCATATTGGGCAACTGCCAATAATGGATATATCAGCTGACAGCAACAGGTGGGAAGTCACTGGTTGAGGCGTGGTCGACGTTGGCATTGTCGAAGATGGCTTGCTTGACAGTGGTGCAGATGACAATGGGGTAGCAGCCGTCTTCCCATTCCACATAGCCTCCGTGAACATAAACGGCTCCCCAACAGAAAACTTTGACGGTGAGGCACCCGGCACTGACTCGTATCCAGGAAACTCCCCTACAGCTCCATGGGTTTTGATCATGTCGATGTAGCACTGCGAGTGAGGCAAGATTGAGCGGCAGCGAAGGGGTGAGGGTGGTGGATTGGAAGATATCGCAGGTTGCGTTCGACTGGAAGGCGGGTGTGCTGAGTCGGGGCAAGGGTGAATAGGGCAATGACCGTCTTGAAGCCGACAAGGCCCGCTACACATGAGGTATCGACATTTATGGTTGACACGGGTCTTGCTGCATCCTGTTAGAGCACAGATCTTGGTGCTCAACAAGGACACCGCCAGCAGGGGGAGAGCGGTCAAGGTGCAATCCATGAGAACTTGAAGACGAGCCGCTGATAGTTCGCTGACTTCTTTGGGTGTGAAGATGTGCCACCAGTTTTCAGTGTGGACCTTGTTTGAGTACTAGGCATCTAGTTAGGTGGACAGCATACAAAGAGAGGGTCACCATGCACACAAAGATAGAAACTCCCAGGTATCTTGCATGCTGTTGGGCCTGCAAGTTGAATCTCGACGACGTTGTGACAGTGAAGACACCAATTTGTGTCTGAATATAACAAGGGCAGGGTACTGGACATGAAGGACATAAAAAATGAAGGGCATGACAGCTGGCAAGAGGCCCAGCCACAAGGAGGGACAGAGGTATCGTGAAGGTCATGAATGAGCCTCATCGTGATGATCTGGCAGGCTATAGGTGCACAGCAGGGATTGACGGGGATTGCCGCTGTGCACGATCGCCATGGTCTGATGCCGTGCTTTCCAATTCCCAAACTTCCTGGTAGGCCCAATATGTGGATGACTCAGACAAGTATGAGACCATCTGTGCCCGCAGATGGGAGATCAGGCCAGATCATGTGGAGAACATGGAGGTAGGAGACAAAGATGTAAGTCAGCTTGATGGAAATTGGGAGACGTGTCTCATCATGTGTCCATGAGTTGCTTGGCAACATCGTGTTTGTTCCAATAGGCATCCAAACAAATTCTGGTTTTTCCCCAGAGTTTGTTTGGATGTCTATTGGAACAAACACGATGTTGCCAAACACTGTGCACAAGCAACCGGTGAAGGCTTGATTGTTTGCTCCCAGGCCCTCATCCCAAGTTATGGGTTTTTGGGTTAAGGAATATGGCATTTCGTAGATAGCTTATAGTTACTGGTAAATAGGTAAATAACAACATAGTTCTACTGGGGACTGCCTGGAGGTTCTAGGTGGGAGGGAGAGAGTTCTGGAGTGCAAATTCCAACACAGGTTTAGGTACCAAATTCTGAGACACATGCTGGTTGCAGCCGATTGGTGCTTCATTCTGTCCTGTGGCCACAGGATTTGACCCAGCTACCATGGCCAATACTTGTGGTTCTGCAGTTTTTTTTGTCTCATGAGAGTGTGAAAGTGCAGCAAAAGTGCCTTGATCTTCTTGCTGTGAGAGAGGTATGAGACAAGATGCAGATGTTCTACCTCATACCTGTGCATGTAATACATGTATTGCAGCCTATTTTAGTGGTCCTCCATATGACAATGTGCAGGGCTGCTTCTTGGGATGGTGCTGATGAGCAGCCTGCCTTTGGGGACGGTTAGATCGAGGTATTTTTAGAACACCTTAATAAAATGTCAAAGAAGTTGCCTAAATGGACCTTCTTTTTGGGTGGTCCCAGCCATGTCAGCTTAATTGACCGACTCGACTTCCCACAGTGGAGTGCTGCACCACCACCAAGCTCGTAAATGACAGTGGCAAGGTCAAGCTTGAGGTCGCTGTAATTGCGAGGGCAATATGCTCCGTCCAATGCCATCTTCATCCTCTCAAGCAGCTGCTCGATGCTCCAGTTATGAAGCTTTGTGTTCTTGAACAATTGATGGAGAGCGGGGATGTCACGAGGGCCAGCGACCTGGAGAAGTGAATGCCAGGTGTGTTGGTGGACATGGAGACGCATCAGAGCTTTACATGTATTAAGTCACTGACAGAAGTGAGCAAAGATGTTTCCATTGAAACATACCTTCAGGACCTCTTTCTGAAGATTCTTCTCCACAGCTTCAAGCTTCTTACACTTTGGGGGTTCCAAAGTATCAAGGACCTTTATACAAAAATGCCACAGCGAAATGCCAATTTTGGATGGAGGTAGACGTGCAAAATGACTTTCTATTCAGAGTGTTGAGTCACGTTTAAAAGGTCTTTCCATTCAAAATGGTGATTTGTGTTGAAAGGCCCTTTGTACAAAGAGTTATATTATGACTATAACCAGATGCAACACAATAATCTCTATTTGAACTTGACCACCACCACAAAGATAACTTTTTACTTGAAATAGAGAACTTTCCCCCAGAAGCTCCCTCATTTAGAATTGCCTGACTCATTGAAAATGCCTCTACATTTAAAGTATAAAGAGGCGAAACAAAGAAAACCCTCTTTATACTTTAAATATACCAGAATTTTCGACGCGTGTGCGCACAAAGCATGGAGATGACCGAGTAAATTTTAATTCCATGCTAAATGTCCAGATTTTGTCCACAATTGTGCCCATTACGAGTGGAGAGTAAAATGAAGATCGCATTTCCATGGGATTCTCCAGTTAAATAAAGTAGACAGAGCTCTCCCACAGTCCTCTATACTTTGAACAAAGGTCTCTTTTACATGTTATTCACGCCTTTAAGCAAAAAAATTCTTTTGATGACAACCTCCACTCAGAGTGTACAATTCCATAGAGCATTCACATAGAAATGTCATTTCTACACTGGAACCCCCATCATGTTATTGAGTTGGTGATGACTGAGGGTTGTGTGATCGAGTTTATTTGGAGATTTCCGAGCATGGTCTTTGATAATGTTGACCAGAGAGCCTACACTCTAGCAGGACGAACATGCTCCGGATGTGCTGAGTGAGGCTCCAGAGCAGCGAATGGATCAGACATGTATTAGAGAGTCATAATGATTGATAGATAGGAGGAAGAATCCGGGTTTGAGATGAGAAATTGGATCATGAATGGAGAATGGGTAAGTATGATATGGGGACCCGAGATCCCAAAAAAAGGCAGCACCGGGACATGCAGACGGTGAAGGAAGGGTGATATTTGGCAGCCCTGTGCTAGCTGGGTCCATCTGAGATAGTATCCAATCTACCAGACAATGAATGAGGCAAGAAATCTTGAAATGGGATGTGCGACGTACCAGCAAACTTCTCCCTGCATTTATGGCTGCGTTGGTGACTTGAAAGTGCAGTTGTAGTATGCATATCACACCCATGGTTGACATATTGAAGGCACCAGATGCAGAGGATATGTCAAATGTTAGTTGAGGCATTGAACTTCTTGAGAGGACGGCCATTAAAAGAGTTGGAAGACGAAGATGATAGACTATGAACAGATGAAGCGGGTTGAGATTGCTGTAATTACGAGCGAAGCAAGCATCTATCGGCTCTAAGGGCTGGGGGGCCTGGACAAACAAGTACAAATTTTCCACAAGCATGACTAGGCTGCCCTGGTGTGCTTGTCGATGTTACTGCGCTCTTCCCTCTACCTGTACTGCCATAATTGTGCATATAGGTAACACACATATCATGCAATGAATGGATCTGAGCAAAAAAACTACAAGAATTGGCTCAAAATTTCACCGTTTGGACATACAGTGATCCAGCAGTCCTTGGGACACTGTCACTCCTTGAGACAGTGGACTTTTTGAGTGCAATTCTCTTTCAAATCCTTAGATATTTGGCAGAGCTATGTCTTATAATATCTTACAAATGCTGAATATTTCTCTAAGGCAGAAGGGAAGAGGTTGTTGCTGGGTGAGAGACATGGCATATTTTGCAGCGATTGGGCAATTGATGGGCCCAGCCATGCAAAATCAGGCCAACCTAAATTTTGCATAAATTCTGGACACATAAAAGCTATGTTAGGAAGCAGATTACCACAGTTATCAGCCTGAATACACTTGTTTTTGAGGAGAAAACAAGGAAACAATGAAAATTTGTCCAGAAAAGCCATCATTTTCACTTTCCCACACACCAAATCTTGCAGGCAGCAGAGTGTCCTAAGGATTGATTTCCCATCAAATCCAGTCAGATTCTTGAATCACACTTTCTGGAGTGAGTTCTGTTTCGTTGTCCCCAAGATTTGGCCAAAATGTGCGCATAAGGGAGTAGGATATGGAAATATAATTTTTATTCTACAAAATGGATGTCGAGGTCCAAAAATCGGTAATCACCTTAGGGTGTCCCAAGGACCGCCAGATCACTGTTCAGCCAATTCTGCACCACAGGGCCATTTACCAAGGTTGGGCCCCTTCCGAGGCTGTGGAAAGTGGTAGTTCGAGGAGTATAACAATAGTTAAGAGATATCAGATAATTTTATCCAGCGTTGAATGTATTCGTGCCTGAATTTCATGTCACCGATGGCAAAATGATGACAGTCATTAAATCACATCTGAAGCCACAACCCCAGCTCAATGTCGACATAGTTATTACTCTTCAATTTATAAAGGGTACTTATTTTACTCTGAAGGACCCTAAGGTGGCCCAAGTGAGATGGCGCAGCAAGCCTTCCCCCGCCTACGGCGGTTGCTTAATACACTATGTACAGTATTGAGGCGCCATGATGAGGTTGATATGTCGAGGACGAGACGTGCTCAAGATGTCGCGCCAACTCGTCCTCAACACAAGAGGTAGGGAAAGGACAATCAATAACCGACTGATCAACGCCTGATGGTCAGCACTGCCGTGAACTGGCCGAAAACCTGCCGTTCACCAAACAAGACACACGAGTTTCCCTATTTGGGGGGTACCCCCCACCGTGCGAACATGTCCGAGATCGGTGGATCTGACACCTCTTGGTGGTATGCAGTGGTATGCCGGCATCATGGTCTTCGGAAGTCGTCCGACTCGGAGCAGGTGCTTCTTCGGAAGAGTCAGCCTGAGACGAAGTGCCTTCTGGAGCTGTAGGGGGCTTGAGAATGAGTTTGAAACGAGTTCGAGGACGTCCAGCACCAGATTTCCCCCTGCTTGACTTTCGGCCTCTCGCCATGGTGAGAGGTAAGGAATGAGAAGTGGTGCAATGCCACATCACCACTGTAGCTACATAATAGGAGGCTCCTACTCAGGTTTTCCACCACATATTATACGCTGTTCGATGCGGATTTTTATTTCCTATCGAATGAATATACTTTCAGAGGTGCCGGGCAAGAATTGCGGGTGCTACGAGGTAAATACTGTACTGTTTAGGGGGTGTATTGTGACGTTTCGACTATTCGCAGTGCGAGCGCATTGTTGAGCACGTTGCGCTCGCCCCAAATGAAGGTCTGGCTGTGTATACACGTTCAAACTTTTGATGCAATGTTGGATATCCCGTCCCTTCTACATATCTATCCCCGTAGATCTCCCAAATGTGCAAAAATCTAAAAATTACACTTTCAGCTCTGTATCCCCAGTGTAGTATTCCCTTGCTGCCGATGCGTGGACCACCGGCGCAGACCCTTTGGGTTTCGGACGATGCGTATCCACCGCCTGGATAGGTAATGCGTATCTAGAAGCACCCCAATCAGCTTCTTGCTTCCATCCCGAAGAGACAACTAAGTATATGCGTGGAGAGGATGACGCACCTTTCCTCGTCGCAACCGTACGCTTTGGGCGTGAGCTTGATCACAGTATGAAGAGGGATTTTAATGTACGGTAGATCGACTTGAGGGAGGTGGTGGAAATATGCGTATCTGAGTAGCACCCATGCGTGAGCACTTTCCTGAAACAGAGGACAACGACATACAGGCACCGCAAAATAGCCTACAGATTCGAAAGGGTTTAGTATGCGAAGGTTAATCCCAACCAACCTTACCTGATGGCCAATAATTAAGATGTTCTCCTGTCGTTCGAGCTCCATGATGACTGGCTCCAGGCGCACAACGACGTCACGGTAGGATTCGCCGCCACGATATCGGTAGTTGAACTTGTCGTCGTCACGGTTGGCGAAGTCGTCTGGATATGCTTGCTGTATGAAATCAATCAACTTGCAGCTTCGTGAGTTAGTGGATCAATATCTGACCTCAATTTCCTATCATAGGCTTCTCTCAGCACGATTTACCACTGATATTCAAAATAGGTGCTCACTTCATATGTCATTGCATCGCATACACCTTGAAATCCTCGTCAGCTCCAAGCGAAGCGCATATATAAAGGCACCCACCCGCATCCAACTCATCCAGTGACTTCCAAGTCAATTTCGGGTAGTTCAGCTCGCTGGCCGTCTGGATTGTTCGCCGCAAAGTCGAAGTCCAGACCTATCCAGAATAGCGTTTCATCCCTCTGAAACTTTCCACCAGCAGCATGAACCAAACGCACCGTCAACGGGGCATCTCCGATATTATCCTTGATCAACGCAGGCAAAGCGTGCATATATTTCTCTCCGTTTGGTGAGAGCAGCGAATCTCCTCCGATCTTCCCTTCCACATTGAATTGACTTTCGCCGTGCTGCAGAAATGAATGAAACCACCGTCAACGTCCCAATTCACTTAGACCCCAAGAAACTAGGACTCACCCTCGACAAATAGATGCTCCTCGGCTTCAAATGCAAATTCATCAAGTAAAACGCAATCCTACTCTGGAGGTACCCGTGTATTCGCGAGACCTCCACCTGTGCGCCCACATTCACGATCTTGAGGTACGACAGGTGTGGCTCGGTGATCGCCTCGTAGACCTTCTCGTACTCGGTGATGCGCCGCAGGAAGTCGCGCTTCGCGTCCTCGGGGTCCATGCCCTTGTAGTCGGGGTCGCCGGACGAGACTTTGAGCGCGACGTTGGCCGCTATGACGGCGGGGTCGTCGCATTGCGATTCGAGGAAGATGAGCTGTATGCCTGTTTCTTTGGCGACACGCGCTTCCATGCTTGCTCTGTATACACATTAGACGGACGAAATAAGGTGTGGAAGGAGAGATCACACCTCCGTGCACGTGTGCTGTTCGTCGCATCTACCATTGCCATTATTGAGCTTCCTCAAGGAAGAAATGAACGACGCACCATGAATCCCAACATTACCCCCATCCTTCAACCACTGTATGAGCATCTCCAAGCTATCGTGCGCCAGCTTCTCGCGCGACAAATTCGCTTCTGTATTATTGTGGCTGAACCAAGCGGCGTTGTGATCTTCCTTGATTCCCAATCTTCACATTTCATACGCAGCAGACAAAGCAAAGTTAGTTGGCTGAGACGCGTCTAGGCTAGCCTGAGGGTGCTCACTGTTGAGCCTTCTGCTTTGCACGAGTGCGGCGCAGCTGTCCGACATTAAAGACCTGAAACAAGGTAGATGAAGCATCGTGAGTCTCACGAGGTGAGCAGATGTTGTACCCCACCTTCACATCATATTCCAGCCACTACACGCGTTCATTCAACACGGTCCACTCTTCATGCAAGATCCAACGTACCTTCAGGTAGATCATAAGTTTGTTGCTCAAATACGACTTGCCTCTCGCAGGCAGTCCCACCTGCACATAACACAACGCGAACGGTCACATCGCGGATAGGGGCCACATGATCAGCCGAACGGACGTACCATCGCAAGCACGATCTTCGACTCGGAGTAGTCGGGTTTCGCGACTACAACCACATATACTCAGTACGTTCTCTCATCGTGGAAGATCACTCACGACGCACCTTTGTTCCCAATGCCCTTGACCGACAGAGGCGGTGTTGGCGCCTGCGACCCCTTCCGACTCACCACCGTCGACTGGTCGAACTGTTTCAGCCTATCGGGATCACCTCGGGTCGGTCAGCGCTCCTTAACACCCATCCAGCACCAAATACTGTCCAAAAAGTAGCACTCACATTGGCCCCCCCGCGCCAAACACAGCTGGAGGTATCCCGGGGGACATCGGATCGAGGGGCAGCTGGCCAGAGTCCTGCATGTCCTGGAGCACACCGGCAACGAGCTTGAGGTCCTGCGCGACCTTGGTGCCGGGAACGGTGAGATGACTGGGATCGGCCATGACGAATGCTATAAGTATGTTTTGGGAATCACGACGCGCGCGGTATGGTTAGAACGATAAAAGATAAGGGACCTGGAGGAACGTGGGGCGGCGGTGGTATTCTTAGCCAAGAAGCCAGGAGATCGGGGCCTGCTAATTGGCGCCAAGACATCATGTGATCCTGCCATATAGGGCTTTCACAACTTCAAAACTCCAAGGAAGAGACGTGACGGAGGTGAATATGGGTTCCTGAAAAACCTGAATGTGAGTATTATTGTGGGCTACATGGTACACATGATCGAGAAAAAAGAGCCTTGAAGAAAATATTGAAAGGAACGGGGTCGTGATCAAATTCGGTGCATCCTGACGAGAGCATCCAAAGGTATAAAAACGACGACAATCGGCCGATGGGTGTGCAAGCAGACCGAAAGGTTCGAATAGCAGTTAGCCGGATATATAAAATAGGGTAAGTGACGACGAGGGACAGAGACGATGGAAGGAGCGAGTGTGATTCGGATGGATGGATGTGCGTCGTGAAAGGTCGTACAGAGGTTGTTGAGTGCGAGAATTAAGAGATGTAGAGTTTGCATGGATGGGCAACGTCTAGGCGTGCAATCCAACTAAATCACAACCGATATCGATGAGCATGCATGACTTAAGTAGACGAGCCCAGCAGGATGCTCACCAAATTTCATCAAGAACGTAACCAGTACGTGAAGAGATTAGGTGCCAACTAGTATTATGCACGGCAGCACAACGCGCTCCAGAACCCCTTTCGCCGGCCATGCCCACCCTCGTCTTGCTCGCCAACTCTGTGCATCTGGTCGCGGTCATACATGGCCATACCCCTGACCTGACCACCAGGCTGGCCAACACCGTTCGTCGTGCCTTCGCGGGAGTTTGAACCGCCCTTGCCTGCTTGAGCTTGACCGTACAGGAAAGACTCCGATCCATTCATGCCGTTGCCATTAAGCAGGTGTGGAGGAGGGTTGGGCGAGTGGCGTCCATAGGCATTCGGTGTTCGCGCAGTCCCATACCCGGTTGGGCTCGGAGCGGTGGCGTAAGGGTGTGGTGTGCTGAGGTTGGCACTGTTGATGCCGTTGATGTCCTTCTGTTGTTGACTTGCTCGCCTGCTACCAGGTGCAAGAGGCTGGACACTGCCAACGTCTCTTGGGTTGCCACTCCGTTCGCCGTTCGCTGTTCTTCGACTGCCCTTGACATGGACAGGAGCAGGGCTTAGTACGAGTTGGTTGGGGGTTGTGCCGTCCGGAACCTGTCGTGAACGGCGGCCGTGATCTCGCTCTCTGCGGTGTTCGCGGTGGGGTGTTGCAACAGCTGATGCAGCAGTATGCTACACGCAGGTAGAGGATGAGTACGTCGGAGATGTAATGAGAAGTGAAGAACTGACGTTGCTAGCCTCCCATCCTTTGCCGCCATTGAGCAGCATCCAGTCGTAGACCCCGTCTTCCGGCTCGCCCAAGGTTTTCAAAACTTTTGAGAAAAGTTCTCGGAGGAAATCGTAATCCGGCGTTTCCTCGAAACCGAGTTTGCGGACGTAGTTCATGTAGATCGAAAACTCCTCTGCAGGTACGATAAGTCGACGAAAACAATGTGAAATGGCTCGAGGGAAACGAACCTGGGAAGCCTTCACACAATTCGGAAATGGATGTCGTCTGCTTCTTCTCGCCGATCTTCTCATACTTCTGCTTGTTGGTCGCCGCCCTCAAACCTTGCCAAGGCAGGCCGCCTCTTAGAAAGTACATGAAGACGTGCCCGAGAGATTCCAAATCGTCTCGACGGGATTGCTCTCGGCCCAGATGCGTGTTGATTGACATGTATCGCGCCGTTCCGGAGAGAGACTTTCGTTCCCGATAAGGAATATGAACCTTGGTCTTTGGATCGCGATAGTGCTTCGCCATGCCAAAGTCTGAACGCGCAGATCGTCAGTTTGCATCATAGTAACTGTCAGCTGAGGAAAGAGAGAAGGCGTGGAACAGAAACTGTAGGGGTTGATCAAGAATAGCACTAGACACCCCAATGATGTCAATCAAACCAGCCGTTAGGCTTTTCACAGCACAACCACAACATGCGTACAAATGCAGAGACATGACCCCAATGAATTGAAAAGGAGTAAAACCTACCAATTATATGGATAGTGTTTGCACTTCTGCCCCCTGGAACACCAATCAAGAAATTGTCTGGTTTGATATCGCGATAGATGAGGGATTTCTCGTGAATTGCCTGGACGCGAGTAACCTGTGTAAAGGATGTGTCAGAATCGTGAATGCGAATACAGCTGTAGGAGTATATGGAAGGCATTCGGCAGGCATGCATACACCCACGGGAAATGCCTGACAAATCATATGGATGTAAGGGGTTCTTACCATTTGTTTAGCAGCCAGGCATACCGTCTTTATTGTGAACTTGCGCCCGCACATGTCGAACAGGTCCTCCAGGTTAGGACCCAGCAGGTCGATGACAAGGATATTGTGAAGACCTTCCTGGCCGAAATAGTACACTTGCGGCACACCAGCTTTAAGGTTACCCCAGTGATGAGATGCAGGCACAGGATCAAGAAGAGGCCGCGCCTACGTGTTCCATTCATCGTCCTATACGAGCGAAATTCGTCTCGCAGTTGAGGAGCATCGGATTTTCGAGGTTCCTAAGCGTGCAAGGTATGAGGGGAGAGTGGCTGCGGACGATTTGATGCGTACGAATTTTATGGCCACTGGCTGGTTCGTAGTCACTTTGGCACCTGTGGAAGGGCTTCAGAACTACACTCGAATGAGCATACGGGAGAAGAGAAGGATCTCCAGCCTGTTCAAAAGCGCCGTAGGAGATCCGAGCGGCTAGACAAATAGCGCTGTGTTGGCATACCCCGGCAAGCACGGATGCAGCGAGATTCGACAGGGGTGGCACTGGAAAGAGAAGGTGGGGACACACCTTCGAATACGACACCAAAAGAGCCTTCGCCGATTTTCTTTCCAACTCTGTAGTGACCACCGACGATGCCATTGTTTGAGGAGACGTTCTGAGAGGGGTGGGAGGAGGAAGCGATGACATGGGGGGTCGACATGTGTGCAGGATTCTAGCCACCTGCGGGGACGTTGGGGGGAAGAGAGAAGAGGACTGGCCTGAGAGAGGCGGGGGCCAGGGAGAAAAGCAGAAGAGAAATGGGAGAGCATCGGAAGATTGGCCAAAACGGACGCTTTGATGTTCCCACGCCCCACATGGGACTCACCGCCAGCGACAACAGCCTGTCTCTGAAACAGCCAGTCCTCGTGCCCGCACATGAGGCTGCTCCTTCCCATCGGTGTCAGTACTTCCCGCCTCCGCCCCTGCTCAGCCCTTTCTTTCAAGACTGTCTCACACAACGAGCACCGTTGTCCAATGGGAGCATCGTTGCCTTGAGCTACGTATCTGATGTCCCTAGTCTTGATTGGCTCCCTCTAACAACGACGAACTGGACACTAGACTCCTATACAGTCCTATATGAGTGCCCGGAACAATGCCTGGGCAATACTCTGCAGTCACTGCCACCGTTTTGCTATAATTAAACCGCCGGGTGGTCGACCGCTGCTACTCCGCGCGACAATAGCTATCCGTTAGAAATGAATTGGACGCTGGATGGAATCCTCAGCACTCCCCGCAGGTTTCCCGCCTGTTCTTCAAACCAACAATAGGTAAGGCGATCATTCACCGCTCGCTTTTTGTATCGCTGACAACCGTGCTTTCACCCACTCGGGAGGTCTAACCCTTCTTAGGACTTCTGGGCTTGGAAGAAGGGAAGAGACTTTGAGAAGTCTAAACAGTTCTTATCATTCTTTTGTTGCAACGCCGCTTTCTCACCAAGTCAGAAGGATTCTCATATTTTGGCTTGTGCATCTACATCATGCTCATCCCAGCTGGATTCTGCCGTCTGTCTGCCCTGGAAGACCTGAGAATGACGGTCGATGACGCTTTCCTGTCAGCTTGCCACTCGTTTTCCCGCGTTTGACTTCTTCAATACTCGAATGACGACTGCGTTGTCTTGAGCCGGCGGTTGCACGACCCTCCTTCTTTCCTGCTTCCTGAACCCTTTCCGTATCTCGGAAATCACGGCGCACGGTACCGGCTCAGGTCGAACAGCAACGTATGCAGCCTCGAAGCAGCAGGACCTGATCAGCGACGGCGAAAAATCGTCTGGTCTGTCGGTCATGGAGTATTCACGATGTGGGTTGTGGCACCCTTCTTATGTTTACATATCATCAGACCGAAGGCAGGATGTCTTTCGAGTAATGGTGACGCCGGCGTCCAAGTACAGTGCCTATACGATTTCACGGATAATTGGTTTTTTCATAGTGCCGAAGACACGCGGACCGACATCACCGAGACATAACGTTAGCGCCATGTACCTGGGCCAGGTATCCAGTTTGGTTTACCGTTCAAAGTACTGGGTATAAAAAGAAAGAAAAGAAATCGAAAAAGGAAGGAATAGAGGGCTCTTACCATCGTCGCACGCCGCTGCCTTGGACGGCTTCTTTTGAGATGGTTCTCGTGAATGTCAACTCTTGGTTATTTTTCTGAACCAGGTAGAGAGGCGGAGGGTAAGAGATTTGGCTATTTCACCTCTAAGTAATGTTCAATTGGCGAAGACAGGTAAGACAGGTAGAGTTTGTGACTCATGGGCAAGCCGAAAGACATATACGTATACTATCACAATTAAACACAACTGCCACCTACATATGTATTTTTTCTGTCTGCCCATGAGGACCCGTAGTGCAGGGGAATGAGGATGTTGACGGTCCCCGATGGTTTTGCGGCATGGGAACGGGGTATCCGAAAAAGGCGAGGGTGGCTGTGCTGTGACAGATAACTTAGGGGCTGGCAGATAACTCTTTTCTTGTTGCCTCAGAACCACGAAATCTCCATGTCTCTAATGTTGAAGAATTGCTCAATATATTTATTTGAGGGCGTTCACGAAATATGAGAGCAGTAGTGTAGATATGACGACTAGAAGAGCTCTTTTCCCGGTGTCTCGGAGTTTGCCGGGCAGATACGACTGGTAGATACTTCGATCGTCAGTTTCTCTTCCGTTCCATCACCTACTCACTTGAAGACACGAGCTCTTTACGAAATTCACAGCCAGCTATACCCTTCCGATGGATCCACAGTCTACCTCAAGCCTTCTTCTTCCACCAGAGATCCTCGAACACATAATCGACCAACTGGCCCAATCCCCGGACGAAGGGAGCAAACGCGCCTTATCCTCATGGCTGCTTGTTTCTCCCACTTTTCACCAGCGAGCGCGTTATCACGTATTCTTCACTGTGACTATCTCTAACACGCCCAATACTGCATTTTCTGCCCGTATACGCAGCTTGCGGAGGCTCCTCGAGGACGATGCAGCATTCACCTCCGCCTCGCCCACGCGGAAGGGTGGTAATCTGATCCGGGCTATCCATGAAGTGGTTATCCTAAGCAGAAATGGGACAGAGAGCAATAAAGTCATCCTCGATAATACGGACCTCATCGCCGTCATGCGAAGGCTGCACACTCCTGCCTACGGGATCGAGAGGTTTGCGCTACTCCTCGACAATCTGTTAACGGTTGTTGCGTGGGAGGACCTCAGCCCCGAGCTCAAGCTCGCCTTTCGCAACCTTTCTAGGTCTCCTTTTCTCAAATCGTTAACTATCAGCCACCTCCCAAATATTCCTGTCAGTTTCTTTAACGGCACGTACTTGGAGAACATTTCCGTCACGGGCGCTTTTCCTGCCACGAGCGAGCGCTTCGCCCAATGCCTCTCGGCGTTCGAGGATGCACCGCAGCAAGATCCGGAGGCATCGATAGTCGAATCGCCGCCCATGCTACGGTCTTTCACGACGGACCATACGTTCATATTTCCGAAAGCTTGGATCACGAACCGGGATGTGTACAACCTCACGACTCCCCTCTCGCCGTTTCCCCAACTGAGGGATCTAAACATAATCTTGAGCCCGCTGTACTTTGCGACATTTCTAAGGATCACCTCGCATGTTCTGACGGCAGCGTCCAGGTCTCTTGAGACCCTCTCATTTCGATTTGTCGGAAAATTCGCGCGTGAGTTCCTTCCTGTCTACTTCTGGGACTCTAGGAGGCGTCGATGTTAATATTTGCATCCCCTCCACCCTCTCGTCATCTAGCTCTCCTCCCAACCTCCGTCACCCCAATTACCCTCAACACAATGCGCAACCTAACCTCTCTTACGCTCTCCCTGACCACCAACCAAATCGTCACGCGACGGCCAATCACCGAGATTGGGCTGCGACCCATCTTGCACATCCTTGAATCCTCCACCTCCCCTCCCTCTCTCCGACACATCCAAATAACCTTAACGCTGAGTATCCGTGACCCACGCGACAAGCTCATCGCGCCAGACACAGAGGAATGGGGCTCCTTCAACCAGGCGCTGTCCGATTTCTGCTTTGCGAACCTAGAGGAGATAAAGGTGAATGTGAGTTTCAACGTGTTACGGCCGTCGGGTGATACAGAGAGTAAGTTGGATCTGAAAAGGTTGACGAGTCATGCGAGGCGCGCTCTTCTTCCTTTCCTGGGCACTCTTGTGGGAGATTTGAGGTTCAGGTTGAGTGTTGAGTCGCAGATACGGGATTCGACGCTCGAGTTGATGAGTGGGAGGGATAGTAATGTGCCTTTGAGACCATGACATGTTTGTGTTCACTTCATGCAGGTTGTCCTTCACTGTAGGCGCCTAAGGCTATGACTCTGAGACGGGCCGCGTTGCCCCAATGTTATCACGTGTTTATGATTACGCGACAAATGCGGCCGATGCCTGCTCACCGACTTCGACTCAACCAGACCTCGGTTCACGTTCTTAGTCACTCACAAGGCAATATCTAGCTATCTACTTACTCAAACGACGAAATTTCCATCCATATGTCAAGCGTCTAAATTTCAATGGATCTACCCCATCTCGCGGCTCTCGGCGTCTTCACCTCCTACTTTGTTGCCATTATCGCCCTTTTCTCTCTCATATTCAAGAATATTTACGCGTCGAAAGGATATGCAAGTGAGAATGGCTACAAGATAGCTACCTTCAGCCTCTTGACGGCCGCGTCCTTCGCACATACATGGTTTTGTGAGTGCAACCCTACTGCATGGAGCGAGGCACTAACAGTGCCAGTGTAGATATGTTCAAGTATATGGTGGTATGTCTCGTTCATCTATTTTCTCGCGAATACCATTAATCGTGAGTTGTGATAGTGGAGTTTCTCCAACTACGAGCAGACCCACCTCAGCAACATATCCCTCGAGCTTCCCCTCCGCATCGCATCGTGGCTGCAGGACACTTCACTCTTCGAGGAGGCGTGGTACCTCGTCTGCTTCAATCCTCTGAACTGGTGGTGGAGTGAACAACTCTGCTTGTTCACGGTCGGCGCATGGACGGTTTTCGTTGCTACCGAAGGTACGTTCCATTGACTAGATCTCGTATTCTTGTTCCTTACGTCCCGCCTCACTCAAGGTCGTCGCCACGGGATCAAGCACCTATGGGCATACATGCTCCTCGGACAAATTGTGGCTATCTCTGTTGCATCGAATCTCTTTTATCTAGCCATCCTTCTCTCGCCTCCACCCGGCCTCCCTCGCAGGGATCAACACTCGACCAACACAAGTCCGACGCTCTGGCTTAACGTTTTTCTTTCCATTGCGACTGTCGCTCTTACACCCTTCACCTCCCGAAGTACCTTCCTCTGGAATCTCCTCGTCATGCACGCCCTCATCTTCCTCCCTCTCATATTCCGTGAAGATGCGACCACAGAAGGCCATCCTCCTCGTTTCGCGATGAGTACTAAGACTATACCGCATCATCCATATCGCCTCAGCAATTATACATGCGCGGACCGTCCTGACCGCCGTCCACTACCTCAGCCAAACCGGATCAACTGCTTCCTTACACGTACTGCAAGCTGCTTGGAAGGTCCTCCATTCTCACCCTGCCCAGTCATCCATTGGTTGGGACGTCATATGGACAACCGCGTCGTTCGTTATCTGGACCCTTGCACGGCCTGACCACCTTGAAAACGGGTCTAAGTACGTGTCGGCAGCGTATCTCCTGCTGGCGACGCCGGCTGCGTCGGCCGGTGTTACGGCACCGTACATCCTGCAGCCACGAGAAGTGCTCAGACCCGTTGATGAAAAAGAAGAGTAGAAAGCAAGCGATGGAACAACATGAGCGTTATAGTTTGCCAGGACATATCATTTACTGTTAATACTTTCAGCTCTCGACAACAGCTGTCGTAAGATCAAGGTATGAAAGCTATCATCTCCGTACGTGTGTCATTATAAAGGACCTTGAATTAGAAGTCGGACTGTCGTCTTCAGGGAAGAGTACCTTGAAGCATCAGCATATGTGCCGGTCTGAACGCACCAGTCAGTCGCCCCTATCTATTTCTGTTAGGATCCACCAGGATCCGCCATTGAACTCAAGAGCAAGCTGCGAACCTTCAGCGTCAACCTGCTTGACCTTTTTGGATCGTCTTCGAGCACGAGGGACAACCTTGCTGCTGACTATCCACCTGCCGAAGGGACGGAGTCAGAAAATCATCGTGAGGGTGCGCCTCGACCGGACCGGAAGGTGGAAATAACCAATCCCGAAAAAAGCCCCCAGGGTCCTTTACCCAAATCTCCTCATGACTCTCCTCACCCCAAACCTTCTTAAGCGCCGTGTGGGTGCCCGCACCTCCCCAAGGCTCCTTCCGCCCCCTCCACTGGCACCACCGGCACCTTCGCGTGCGCTATCACCATGGTCAGCGCCGGGACACTCATCTGGATATCATGTCGGCCGTTGATCCGCCTGTGAGTGCGCTGGATTCCCTCCCGCGAGGCCCCGGAGCTCAGATGAATAGCGGTTGTCAGCTTCTCGTGTGTAGCGGGCGGGATCATCATCACGAAAGCCGACATCTTCCCCCCAGTCGCTGCAAGAGGCGCGAGTCAGATCGTGCTGAACATCGCGATTCCATGTTTGATGTTCTCGAAGATCGTTCCGGCGTTCACTTCAGAGAACGTTAGCACATTAGGTGAGTATTTAAGGTTTCGTCGTATTGTACGCTCATCTCATTCTTTCTACGTCAGGACCGTTGGTGCTCGTCGCGATCATTTATGAGATAATGGGTGCTCTCCTCGCTGTGGTCATCAAGCAGTTCTTCTGGGTGCCGCATAGGTTTCGGAATGGGATCATCGTGGCGGGTGCTTGGGGTAACGTGGGCGACATTCGTGAGTCCCTCGGCCGACTGATGATTCAGAGTCCTGGCTAAACCTTCAACCTCGCTAGCGACTTCTGTGGTCATGAGTGTAACAGGCGCAGCACCGTTCCACGGCGTGACTGATCAGAATCTCGCCATTGCGTATATATCTGCATTTATTCTTGTGTTTCTGGTACGTTTACCGTGATAGTGATTGTCTGAAACTTCACGCTGTTTTCTTCGTAGGTTACACTCTTCCCTCTCGGGGGACACCATCTCATTGCCCAAGATTACAAAGGCCCGGACGTCGAGATCGAAGAGACTCGCGAAGCCATGAAGCAGAAGCGTGTATCCTGGATCCTCCCATTCACGAAATTTTTGGGCATTTCAGCAGCCCCAAAGAAGCCTGATTTGAAACACCCTCAAGATGTTCTGTCTGAGAAGGTCGAGTCGAGTCCAGTTGTTCATGAACCAGCACCCCGGCGAAGGCACGTCGCCTTCATCGATGACGCGACAACAGTCGTACCAACCGAAGGGGCATCTTCGCCAGTATGCTCTCCTCCGCCAACCGAGATCGACGTGCTGCCTCGAATAGATTCTTTGGACAGAATCGCCAGCACAACCGGCGTCGAGGCCTGGAAATCCGGTACCCCGACGAAGGTGCTGGTCTCACAGGAGGTTTTGCCGACCCATCGCACGCCGACGCCCTCGCTTTCTTCGCCCGAACCTCCTCGTACTTGGTCTCGCTTCTTGAGTAAAAAAGCGATCTCGTCGTTCCTCAAGTCGTTGTTCATCCCGCCATCTGTCTCGATCCTTCTTGCATTCCCAATCGCCATCGTACCAAAGCTCAAGGCGCTGTTCGTCGAGGTGCCCGGAACGTACATGCCCGCTGCTCCAGACGGACAACCACCTCTCGCGTTCATCCTCGACGCAACTACCTTCATCGGCGCAGCTTCAGTCCCTTTGGGACTCATATGTCTCGGGTCGTCTCTTGCCCGCTTGCCCATACCGAAACGGGGAGAGTGGAAAATGCTGCCCTTGGGTGCTATTTCCTGGCTTGCGATTGGGAAGATGATTCTGATGCCCGTCTTGGGTGTCCTGATGTGCGAAGGACTGACAACTGCGGGTATTATTGACGAGGACGACAAAGTGTTGCGATTTGTGTGCATGTGTGTTCAATCAACTCTTCCAATCTTTGAAGTTTGTTTCTTATGTGTTTCTAGATTCCTTTCTTGCCTTCCGACGGCCACGACACAAGTGAGTCAATATCCTGTTATAATACTTCCCTTTTGACCTTAAAACTCGTGCAGGTGTTTTTGACGCAAGTTTACAGTGGAACAGGAAGTGCAGAGCACCTGTCGGCCTTCTTGATCCCTCAATACATTATCATGTTCATTTCCATGACCGCTGTAATCGCCTATACCTTACAGCTACTTTTCTGAATGTTGCGATGCACGAACGCACAGCAACATATATAGACCAATAGATATTTTCCCTCTATACTGCCTCACTCGTCCAAAGTTCGTCACGGACCGATCGGCCGAACCTTGGAAGGCACCGTACACGTGATGACCGTGGAAACTGCGCACGGGCCATGCCGTCACACATATATAAACCTCCCGCCGCCCTTCTGGTCTCCTTAGAACATACTCAATCAGGATCTGTTTACAGAAACTGACCGAGTCTCGCATTTTTACAAATGCCGCATTCTTCATATCCACTCGATGACATTCGCGCTCACTCGTCATACTGAGAACATGGCCCTCTGCGAAGAGGGTCTCGAGGACGTTTGGCACAACTTTCTGGCGCTTTCACGAGCGCTCGGTGAAGTTGTTGCCAGCGAGTTGAGCGTCTGTCTGATGGATATCTTTTGATTTTTATTTCATGATTCGTCTTGTAGATTGTTGAATGCAATATAGTTCTTCGATGATTCTTGATGATTTTGCTACTGAAGCTTATGTTTGAGGACATCCGCGAGGATGTGGGTAAAAATTTGAGTCTATTGTGGGTTGACCATGATGCCAGTTGAAGTCTTGGGCTTCCGAGAAGGTTCACATTATGAGCACGAGCTCTATGCTGCCATGCATACAGAAATCTGAAAAATCCATATCATATGGGGTCAAAATCCTACAGACACAATAGACAGCGCGTTAAGAGAAATTAAGAACTGGCATTGACATGGTGAGACTAGTGTGCAGAGCTTTCCTCCGACGTTGTACAACGGGTCCTTAATTCATTGCTACGTGTTGTACTTACATGTAATTTATTCAGGCATCTAGGACGTCAATCGACGAGTGCTAGACTGCTGGCTCAGGCCCCCCATTCCCACCGTTTCCGTTCGTCTGTTGCGCCTGGCTTTGAGCCACCAGTTTTCTGCGCAAAATCGTGAGCAAGCACTTAAGAAAGTGGCTGGAGCACGGTATTGCAAACCCATCATGATCCTTGCCGTATATTCCTTTCTTTTGGCGTAGTCAGCACTAGCTAGACTCGCGACCAGTCATGTTCGCAAGATCACATGCGCTGACATAAGACGACCTAACGAAATAGGAAGGAAGCGATGTGAGCTTGCGAACAGACTGGAATAACTGGTCACGATTTTGGCTGGAAGTGTGACGGCCCGCCAAACATGAGTTTGGACTTAGCCGTTTTTTCGCGTTCACACGTTCACACACACCGTCAAACGTGTGATCCCGCTCTGTCCCTCCACAAATAGCATTCTGTAGACTAGATATCTACTTCATCCAATGCTCCTGCACCTCTCCCTCTTCTAGAACCTCCAGCAGATGGCAAACCCTGCACCTGAGGAGCCCAAAGTGATCCAGACATCGGCAACATGGACGGTTGACTCGCGAAGGGAACTGACATCTGAGGGCTCTGGGAATAGCCTTCGATTACAAAAAGTGGCTGCGCTCCTGTCAGATCATTTGCGGTCTGGGTGGCTTTCACCGTCTTCTTCTGCTTCTTTGTTACCACGGCTCCTTGCTCTTGCCCGTTGACAACTGGCCTCTTCAGTGCTGCTTTGGGTGCTGTGGGCAGCGGAATTAGAGGTGGTATGTCGAGCTTGAGCAGTTCCTGCAAGAGCTTGTCTCCGTAGGTCTCTTCCCAACCCCACTGGCCCGAGACAGCTGCTGAGAGCTGTTCCGGGCATTGGATTGGCCCCACATTTGCCAGCAAATCAACAACTTCATCGGAAACCAGCCCATCCGATGCGAACAACGCATCTTTGAAGTCACGGGCCTTGATCTTAGAGCACCATGCAACGACCGCGTCAATGACAAGTTGACAAGGCTCGCCTCTCTTGACAACCTTTGCCCTCATGTTCTTTGGCTTTTTCCCCGGGCGCGTGTGATTCAGGAGTTCGGGGCAGCAGATATCACAACATGGAACGGACGGGACTGTTTTCGGTGTGTCAGTAATAATTTTATGGTGCTTTCGTCTTTGATAACTTACCTGCGACTAGTACATGACCATAGATCACGGCCCAGGACCCTTCTTCGACAGGTGCCTGACTGCACCAAGCTCACCAACCCCTCGTTGGCCGCATCTTCACTTATCGGAGGACAATCACACACCAGGATCGTATTGTGCCGACCTCCCAACGACCCGCGTTGGACACCTCGCACCTTTGCATGATTCTTTTTTAGTTTCTTCAGCTCTGCCGCCTTTGCCTTTTCAGCGGGTGTAGATGCCGCCTTCTTCGTCTTCGTTTTATCAGTGCCACTTGGTGTCGCGTCCGGTTTGTTTCCCTTTTCATCCAGCATGATGCTGTACGTTGACGGCTCCACGAGCAGGACAGCAAGGCCAAGATGATCATGCGAACGAGCAGCTCGGCCTGCCCATTGGACAAAGGCTGACACAGAGGTTGGGAGTTTCCACTGGACAACAAGGTCGACGTCTGGGATGTTACATCCCTGGACAATTGTGAGTCACGTCAAACAACATGTAAGATGGCTGGAGACTCACCATTCCTGCAGCATCTGTGCAAACAAGGATGCGCACAGAACCCTCCTTGAATGCCCTCATCGCTGCCCGTCGATACTTTTTGGAGAAGCATGCGTTGTATGGTCGAATTATTCCAACATCTTGGAGATGCTCAGGTAAGAGATCTGTAAGATGATCGATGATCTCGGTGCCCATTGCAATGCTATCGCAGTAGATAAATGATTTGAGGATATCGTCCGGCCATTCTGCAAGCTTGTTAATGACGAAATCGAGGTCGGCATACGTGTTTAGTGGGTGTTGGATGCCACGGATCACAATGGAAACATTAGGTTGGTCATTCCCTATGTCGATGTCCAGGAAATTCTTCTGATCAAACCGTAGTACCCAAAGGACTTCTCTCCGAACACGGGCAGGAAGAGTGGCAGAAAGTGCAACGATTGGAGTCAATTTTAGTAGAAAAGATCGAATAATTCCAAGCTTGCTGTACTTCTTTCGAAAGCCTGACCCCCAGTGCGAGATGACGTGGGCCTCATCGATTATCACAGAGAGCACCCTTTTCTTGAATTCGGTGTTCTTGAGCACCTCCTTAATGAAGCGCCGTGAAAGCAGGAGCTCCGGAGAAATCAAGATGATTTGTGTGTCGCCTTTGACGATGCTCTGGACATCGTGAGTTTTTTTGACACTGCCTGAAATTGCTCCACATACCTTCAGTTTCTCTGTTATGCACCCGCCGTTACTGCTATTAACCGCTGTTGCGACAAGCTTGAATTCTTCACGGAATGTATCAACCTGATATAAGATGAGTGTGGGGCCCCTCTTTTCACAACTAGGCTCACCATCTCGTCATGTAGTGCGATAAGTGGTGACACCATTATCAACACTTTCCCCTTTGCACTTGGGTGAACATGAGGCCCTGCTGCAATGGCTGTCTTCCCTGTTCCTGTTCCCGCATGAACGAGAACGTCGCGCATTTCTAGCTGGGCATTAATAGCATCCATCTGAAATACCTGAGGTCCGTCTTTCCATCCGAACTGTTCTGCAATTTTTGCACTCAAGCCTTCCAGCTCATCTTTAGTGCATGGGCGACGATCCGGTACACTCTCTGATGCAGAATTTAGGGCTGAGGCAGGTTTTCGCCGGTGATGGGTTGTGCCTTTTGGTGCAGT